CAGTGTTGTGTATTGGGGTCCGAAATGGGGTGCCAAATTTTTCGTTGTATAAAGACGTACTACGACGCTTACTCGTGGCTTTTGCTCCGAACGAGGCTGGATAGAAGCAGCCAATGATATCTAACAATATCTACGCGCGGCGCTATGGCTCATCGTGCTAAGCGCTGGTCGGTTACGGCTTTCTCCACCATCAATTCCATGCTTCTGAAAACAAATAACTAACTAAACAATACCCGACATGGAATGGTAACCGGACGAGAGGCCGTGGTTCACCATATGGTTAAGCCGTCTTATCGGCTTTCCTCTCCTTGGATAAATATGTAAATCCTATCCTATCTTAAAGAACTTATCCACTTCGCTGTCGAAGTTATCCAAGGTATACAAGCGCGCATTTCCATATATTTCGGTTCTATCATTTGGTGAAAGGATTATTGAAAGCAGTTCAGGAAAAGTCAATTTTTAGTAAATCGTTCAAGAATAGAGTAAAATGGTGTTGGAAAAGACGTAGGAATTTATGTCTCTCTGCAAATGCCGCTAAATGACATTCAAAAAATGTTAAAATAATGGGGGGGGGGGGCCGGGGGGTAGCTAGCCTATGTCTGAGCGGCTGCTAAAATTGAGATTGTTGCCACCCCCGTTGACATCTTTCTGATTAGCCATTGGTGAGGTTAACAATGATGTCATGACGAATCTGCCACATTGCTAGTTCCGATGCAAGTTCAGCTTTGGGGTTTAACCATCGATGCCTTTGTGAAGTCTTTGATAATTTAACTGTAATATATAATCGTATAATTTCCGCTTTATATCTTGAATCTCTACTTATTTATAAAAAAAACTATACTTGTGAGAAGTGCGATTATGATAGAAAAAATAATGATTTAGCCATTGATTACAAATATGATTACCATATCTTTGGCAAATTTTTTCTAGCTTACGTTTTTTTTACAACTGCGACCCCGCCGGATAAAAACATCACATCTTGGCAACTTTCTTTTCAACTGCGATCACACCACGATGTCATATGATGGTGACAGCATTCGGTTCGATTTACTCAGCAGAACACTCACTGGTAGTGTTTAGGGCAGGGGTTCCCAAACCAGGGGTCGCGACCCCAAATTGGGTCGGAGTGATAAGTAGGTAGGGTCGCAAATAGGTCATGGGGTCGGTGAGGTCGCTGAGGTACGTACCTAGAGGATGGATGTACAAAACATCTAAGATTTGACAAACCAAGTTAAATTTAGCAGTTTGTACCATGGCTCACTGTAAAACAAGCCCATATGCATCGCTCTATGCTTATTCTAAAGAAAATGTAGGCGCTTATTGTGACATCACTGTTTGGTTTTAGCTTTTCTTACTTAATACCCCCACATGACCAAACAGGGTTGCCATATTGGCTTTTTTAACGCCAAATTTGCCATTTTTGGCTTTTTTTCAAACGCGTTTGGCGTCAAAATTTCCGTTTGGCTTTTTGGTGTTTTTTTGGCTTTTTCCAAGTCTATTCTCAGATTCTAGTGTCTATTATTAGAATCATATGAAATACAATATTTAGTGTGTAACAACTGAACAATAGCCTATTACCTGTACTTAGCTACCGGTACCTAACATTAGGATTTCCTGGAGAATCGATTTCCTTGTTTGTTACATTGACTCTTAACCATACCCAATAAGAAATAATTGCAGTTTCTGCAGCTGCTCAGACAGATGTTCGAGCAGGGTTGTAAACATTGCCTCGTTTTTATAGTTTTGCGTGTTATTTGTCTGTTTTACATTCTGCTTCCAAAAAATAGTTGTATAACTTAATTTTCATTATGCCTGATATGCAGTATGGTTTATGTGAGCTTTACAGCTTTAGTTTAATTCTGCAATTGCAGTAACGATGTGATTACCCACGCTAAAATTACTGTATAAGATATCAGTGGTCCACCTATGAGCGGCAGGGGTTTAGATAACTTTTTAATAAAATTGATGGTTTATAAATTTTGAAGGTGAAAAAATTTTCTATAGTAGAGTACGATATAGGGAAAATTTTTTAAGGTATATCACAAGTTCAAGTAGAAACATGTAGGTATATTACATACTGACAGACTGAAGCGGCACCATGTATTGTATATATTGAATGGTAAAATAATGCTGTCCACTCGATATTTATTTTACTTTCTACAGTTGTATAGGAACTTTACTTTCTATTCGTGTGCCTCACTGAATGAACTAATGGCTCTATATCATCATCAGTACGTTGCCAAGGGCTTAAAATCTGACAAATCATGGGGCTTTTGTACTTAGTAAAATTGTTGGCTTTTTTATGTCTTGATTTGGCTTTTTTTGATCGCTGGGGTCTGGCAACCCTGTGACCAAACTTAAAAGTCCAGTGAAACAAGCTCTGAAGTTTCATGAAATATATATTAACCATGGGTCGCACTGGAAACTTGAAAGATGTAATTATGGTCGTCCTGAAAAAAGCTTGGGAACCCCTGGTTTAGGGGTAGGTGCGCGGGTCTAGTATAGTACCACAAGTACTTCCAGTGGCCGTAGCATAACATATTTTGCATATAATATTCCTAACCCCTACCTGACTATGCCATCTAAAAATTACGCCACTACGACGTCACCATCACGTCATAAGGCTTGCCAAAGTATAATTACGATAGCCAGAAATGGCTCCTGCGTCGCCGATAAAGAACTCGCTAACGCCGGCAATCCCTCTCCTATGGTTGTATGGTGATCGTTGTGACGAGAAAACGAGAGAAATAGCTTGCTGCATTTCGGGTAATCATTTGCGCGATTTGGACGACCATCAGCATACTTTGGTGGGTCTTATTACACCACTGTGACGTCTAAATGACGTAATTTTTCGGTGACGTAGTCAGGTGGGGGTTAGGATTGACCCAGACTGGATTCCATGACAGGTGCACGCCCGAGGGCGCTAGCGCTCCGCAAAAATGCACGCGAGCGAAATCAATTTTGCACGCCGAAAATTTGCAACTGCTCACCAATGTAAATCGGTTTAAATGGTTTTAAAATCAATAATCCAGTAATATAAAGATGCCAAAATATTATAACTCCACAATTGTCGACAAATACCAGCCTGCAAGATTTGGTCTGATCGAAATATTGCGAAGCAAAAAGACCATGGACCTTTCCCCAACCTTTGACCCGCGAAAAATTCCTCTCATTGTTACGTCCTTTTTTGCATCTTGCTGATTGGCCAATGTCACGAAGTAAACAAGGAAGTCGATGCTCGGGGAAAGGTCCATATCGTGTTGAATGATAGGAAATAGGAATCCCGTGAGAATAGTTATGGACGAAAAGATCGCCTCCGCACCAATGGCCAAGTACGGCTCTGATTCAGCGTATTTTTCATACAATAATTTCACACGAATGTACTGAACAGTACCGGTATCTAAAGTTGCTCAAACACTCCCAAAATTAGTGACAAAGTATGAAAATAATGTTTGGGGTCAAAGGTCAAACGTCCATTTTGCTCTAATTTGACGTATTTTTTATCCATTAATTCTACGTAAAAACACTACCAAAATTAATGACAAAGTATGTCCATTTTGCTCTGGTTCAACGTATTTTTTGTCCAATAATTTTACGCGGATGTACTGAACAGTACCGGTATCCAAAGTCGCACAAACACTCTCAAAATTAGCGACAAACTGTAGAAATAATGTTTGGGGTCAAAGGTCAAACGTCCATTTTTTCTCTGATTCAACGTATTTTTTATCCGATACCGGTAATTTTACGCGGATGTATTGAGAGGTATCTGATGTCAAAGTCAGTTGCACGCGAGTGCAGTTGTTTTGCACGTCGTGAGCTATAATTGCACGCCAGGAATTCTTATTTGCACGCGGGAATTTCTGATTGCACGCCCGATTTCTCGTTCAAAAAGGCCATGAAATCCAGACTGGGGATTGACATATGCAAAAATTGACCCTGACTGTAGTTCAATACTTGTAATTCTAATTTTTTCCATGGTTATGACTGTACCGGTATGAAGTAGGCGAGGTGTCTGTGTAGGTTGTTGTCCACCTCCCCCACAGGCTACCGTAGACTACTAAATCCTGCACCATAAAACTTCTCATCGTTTGGCTCCTAGACGGGTCATATTTTACAAGAAAAACAACCATTTTAGTTTGTGTTCTTGAAAGACTGGGAGAGAACTTAGAATTATTAAAAAAGCAGTCCCAAGATCGGTCTTACTACTTACTGAATACAGCGCGAAACACCGCAAGAGCGCAAAACAGCGCAAAACAGTGGGGAAACAGCGCGAAAGAGCGCAAAACAGAGGGAAACAGTGTGAAGCAGAAAAAAATTTTGCAGTGAGTTTGGGGCGCCTTGTTTTGAGTTGGAGTACCACGGCAGCAAATTAAAAACACAAACCAACGTACGTAGCCAGAAATGCTGTAATGGCAGGTCTGCCCCTGCTTGTGACACATTTTGGGTGCCATAATTTAGAACATTTTCCATATACATATGGTTGGCTTTAGGGTTAGATAAGAAGGGACCTCCAGAAGTATGTGCACCAAGATGGCGCACAATCTGAAAATAGTATGTGTGTGTGTCTGTGTGTGGCGGATTCAAGTTGTGCGACATATTGCTGCACATACTTCTGGAGCACCAAAAAGGTAGATAAAATTTCGCATGATGACCTATAATCCGGTACATAACCTTGTAAATATACCGGAAATAGCGCCATAAAACCATGGCGAGAGGCGCCGTGGTTCTTTCGTGGCAGAAGGTGGTAATGACTGCGTCACCTGTTTTGCGCTGTTTCCCTCTGTTTTGCGCTGGTTTCCTTCTGTTTCGCGCAGTTTTCCTCTGTTTCGCGCTCTTTGCAGTGTTTCGCGCTGTATTCAGTAAGTAGTAAGACCCGTCCCAAGATTATTTAATTCAAATTGCCGAATTGAGATTTTTTCTTTTTAAATTGTATGAACATCCTTATGTACAACATCAAAAATAGATTCTAATTTGAGTATTTTCACAACCTATTTTCTACATTTTTACACAACTGCAGACCCACTGTTATATTAGTGTTGTGATCTTATATAATGTCTAATCATGATACACAAAATCATGATGCAGAAGTTGAGATTGCACTATCTGGTTGGTTGATGAAGAGGTGTAGACTGACAAAGAAATGGAAGAGAACTTGGTTCACACTACGTTCTTCAAATTTATGTTACGGAAAATCAGAAAATGTAAGTTTGCATACGGTATAGAGGTATGGAGAAAAGTAAGTCCATAATGTTGTTTTTAAATGCATATATACGGATTTCTATACGTCGTTCTACAATGTATCTGCAAATTCTAAATGTAAGATCTGTAAAGAATCATATGGTAACAATTTCATCCAGCAAAAATTTGATACCTCACAGAGTTTTTGTAAATTTCATTCACAGTAGAAAACTGAATTGATGCAGTTCATAATATTAAGTGATCACTTTGAATTTTCAGTAAATTTTCTGGACACCTCAAAACGATTTGTGATACATTTCAGTATGGTATACATTGTATGCATAAAAGTCAATGTGATCGCTTGTCCAGAATTATGGTGTTTTATTTTACAGGTATACCCAATATATTTAAACAACTTCTTTCTAAAATATAATATTATATGATAATAATTTTTCTCTTCTCAAGGTATATATTAGTGACCATTGCTTGTTATTGTAGTTTTGCTGGTATTACAATTTACAACTATGTAGTTCAGTAAAATGCTTTTGCAATTTCAATTCTGGTTTCACACAGAATAAAATTAACCACTTCTGGTTGAACTTTTATCCCTCAAAATGACATGTTATTAATAATTTTCTGGTTTAAGCTCATGATGTAGGAAGTTTGTGGGTCATTGAATTATTCATCTTCACCATTTATACCACTAGCCTGTAGTAGAAGAAAATGAAAAAATGGTATGTGATGTGATTTGGGTCCTCCATTATCTGCAAGGTCTAAAATTAAGATTAGGAAATGATCATACCAAATTTGGCCTTTACGGCTACGGCTATATGCTGTTGAATATCACCTATTTGGACCTGGAGGTCTTTGAATTTCTGTTTAGTACAAGTATTATTCCATCCGCTTCATCATTCATTTCAGTGTAATTTTACTTTCTACGTATTCCATTTTCAGGGACCATTTAAAAATATTCCGTTGCAAAGTACAGTGATAGAGGAAGCACACATCAATGATATGAGTTATGTATTTCGTTTGAGGCCTCCAAAAAGTAAAAGGGATTATATTATTCAAGCACCCGATGAACAAACTGAGCAAAGGTGGATGCAAGCAATTTGTTTTGCGAAAGTTGGTGCAAACAGCAGTGAATCTTCTCAAGCGTGCACTGTACAATAGCAACTAATTTTACTAGATTTTTTTAACATTTTGAATACCTGCTAATTATACATAGAAAAACGTGCAGTCAACACATTAATGACATTTCAAAATATGAATGCACATTGTCTATGGGAAGTGTTTAGAACAGTGGTTCTCAACAACTGGTCTATAGTTTGATACTGGTTTTTGCAAATTTTTCGTTTGTGTTTTATAGAGTGATAAAGCCCTTGATTTTTTTTTGATTTTCAAAGATGAATCGCCTCTTTATAGGCCATTGGTGTGTTAGCGAACGCTTCATTATATGCTTCCGAATTGTTGTGCAAAAATTTTACTCAAATTGTTTCATAGTGTCAGCACTACATGTCAGAGAGAAAGACAGTCATAGAATTCAATTTTACAGTTTAAAGTAGGATATGTTCACACCACAAGCATTTTGAAATCTCACCAAAGCAAAGAGCAAAGCTAAGTCATAATACATTATTCATTGTAATTTCAATTGTTTTACAATGATACCTGCTTTGTAGCAGGCTTTCTGGTGTGTTAAGGTTGAGAACCACTGATCCAGGCATACCTACACCTTCATAGGCATCGTACCACTTTTCTTGAGTATACAGTATTATTACATTGACATTTTGCCATATGTACTGTACTGTAGTCTATCTTAGCTTGATTATATATGGTTTGGTAATTCATTGTGTGAAGAAGTTTTGGAGGTCAGGGACTGTGAGTAAGTCTGCCAATTACAATAAGATTTTATATTGTTTTATTTTACATTATAATTGCAAAAATTAACTTTATTTAATTCTAATGCACAATTTCTGCACAATATGTCTTTTTTATGAATGTTTACTTCATATACTGTGTTTTTTCCTCTACTGCTGTGTAAAAGAAGCTTCGAATATGTACCTGAGGCATGACCAAGTATTTTAATTCCTAATTGTGGATGTTTATTTTGATGCCTATTTTTGATTCTAATGTCTTACCTGGACCTTATGGAACAATGCGTTGAAATCCTGTTAAATTTGTGAATGTTATCATTGGTATGAAGGGATAGCAGTGTATACTAATTATCAACAAGAACATGAAAATTGTTGCATAGATCCTGCTCTTTCACAGGGTGCTCCATTGGTCCCAAACATTTTTTTGTTGAATTTTCTAATGTTGACTCTGAATTCTTAATCACCCGATGGCTATATTTTTATTACTATGATATTTCTGCTTACGCAAATTAGGCATGAGCCAGTGTATTTTTTCTATTGGTATCACAATATCATCATCCAAGTCAAAATTACTTTCCAAGCATTGCTTAAACTCTGTGAAATTGGCTTTTAGTTTATATTGGATAATTTAGCTAAAATGTTTTTGTGAGTCTGCATCAGACTTGAAAATCTCACCATAATAAACCTATATCGACCACCTACATTTGTACACACGTATCCATAATTTGAAATTTTTGAATCTGTCGTGTTGTGATTGTGATTATCATCCTGTCACTGAAGTGATGACCTGTTTATTCTCTTCATGTGATGTTGCCTTGTTCTGTTCATTGTCAGTCCCTCAAAGATGGCTCTGCCCAATCAGTACCGGTACCTTGATTAGTAGTAAAAATATGTCATCACTATTACATATTAATCTGGTAAGTCAGAGCTCCTTTCTTACTGGATCCTGGAGACTTGGATATTCCACATCTTGGTAAATGTATGATTCTTTAGAACCACAGGCGTATTTAGTTAATGCTTGAGTCTGTTGCAGTCTTTACTATTCAGTATGTCTTTTGATTTGTGTGCTGTTTTTTATTCCAAGTTAAAACTTGTATATAAATAAAGTATAATTTCTTCATGTTTTTAAATTCACTGTGCATTTTTCTGGATAGATGTTATTGTCAGTGCCTTGTTGTTGTAGTCAAACCACCATTAGTCTCTTTCTGAATTTGCTTTCAAAATGTTGAGCAATCGACTTCGCTGCCATTCTGTCTCCAACATGACTAGGACAGTCATATCAGGGTGTCTAAAAAATGTCTTGTCCAACTCGTCCCATGTGACCCAATGGGACGAGTGTCACACAACATTTTGAGACACCCCAGATTCTGTAGTGATTTATTACGCACATAATCAAAGAAATTTTAAAATGAATACATGCACTTGAACATTGTACTTATCTTTGACAGGTCTAATGCAGGACGGTTTCACAGCTAAACTGACGCCTGATTATTACTTAATAAGGCCATTCCAAATAGAAACAAGCATTAAACAATGTCATTCAATGATGAATTGTTTATTTTTTGACTCAGGCATTGTTGAACTATTTGATATCGAGTATAAAGTTCAATCTGGATGATTATAAAAATCGCGAAAAATTTGTAAAAAGTACCGAGGAAATACGTCAGAAAAATTCGTCATGTGGAATTTAATTCTGCAATTCAGAATCTTTCGTAGATGTTGTTATTTCCGATATAGAAATGTTAGGACAGCATTGCTATCTCGGGCCGAGTCTTTTATCGGGTAATACACACGTCGTTGATGAGTATACGGGTTAGACCGTTACCTCTAACTAACGGTATGATATGACACTGCTTTCCGATGGTTGCCGACTACTGTTTTAACTACGTACAACGGTCGAAATATATTTTAACTAGATTTTTATACTATTTATTATTGTTTTGATCTTGAAAGTTTATGAAATTGGAATTTAATGAATTACGCCAGTGTGCCTAAATATCGATATCCTCCGACTGAGACAACAGAAGAATATTGTTAAAAATGTTCGATTTGGACAAATTTTAAATTGGTCGATAACAAAAATCTCCGATTATATTGATAAAAATGTGTATATTTATGAGATATTAGGTATTCTATGCCACCCTTATGCACGCAGGAGGCGATATGCATGTAACAAGGTGGTCAAAGATTGGTAACCGTCGATTTCTGTATTTTTCAAGCCATAAATATACAAATTGGCAAAGACAAAACATTTCATTTATATAGCGTTAAAGAATAGGTTTCATTTGTATTGTTTACGATGATAAAATAATATTATCTTATCAACGCCAATCACCCAGGTCTTAAATTTATTTGATGCAAAGAAAGCAAACCAACTACGTACGATTACTCGTACGTTCTATCGTCTTTTTCGATACACATGGCAGGGCATTTGTAACCATTTCCTGCGATTGTTAGGCCAAATCCAGAATCAAAGTCGAAGGAAGCGTTCATCTATAGTCAAAGCATGATTTATGATAAAACTAAACGCTGACGAAAATTCCCGCGCATGCGAAATTTCTTCAAAATTAGCCTCGAAACGAAAGCACTTCAATAATAAATATGTAATGGAAACAAGAGGACAAGTAGGGCATGTGCTACGAGTGGGTCACGTGAGACAATTGGGGCACGCGGGACGAATGAGACACCACAATTTTGAGCCACCCTGTAAATGTTATCCTGACTGATCTCATACCCGACGTGAAATCAGGCGAAATGTCGTGATTACACTGTCTTATCGGCTTTCTTTTCCCCGGGGTAAATGAGAAAATCGAATCTCAAGCTTTTAATTTCAATTGAAAAGTTGTATGAAAAACCAGTTGTTAGCAGTATTCAAGGATGTTGTGAAAAATTAAGTTATGTAAAACCCGTTCGAATTGAAGTTGTTTGAATCGGCCGGAAGCATTAATGATATTGTAGCGAATGTGCATTGTGTAACTATGAATTATAATGTATTTAACTCTTTCATTTTAATAGTGTGTTCCATTTCCCACAATAGATCATTTTATTGTAGCAACACTGAATACTGATTACATGTACTGCCTTTCTCGTTTCGACCAATTTGATGACGTATCATTCCGGCTTGCCGAGAGGGCTGCATAATATTGTGTTTAGATTCACTTCTGTTTTACTGCGTTAAGTGTGATGTGTTTTGGTTTACTCCTGATTTACTGTGTTAAGAGTTATGTGTGTTTCAATTTTATCCGTTTTGGAATTTTGGATTGTGCATCTTTCTATAATATACAACAACGATTAGCATCAACACTGTGTGCTTATTATCGTCTGAAGGAATCCAGATTGGAGTCACATTCCATAACGCGTGTCAAAACAACAACGCGGGAATAGAACTTAAATATAGAGGACTTGCACGGGTCACGTGACTTTGTTACTGGACGGCAATAAAACAAAAACGTCCATTTGGCTCCTGTCAGTTGCAAGTCGGATTATACGTTTCCGTTTTGTTTGGCTGTTGAAAATGGTTATTTCGTATTGTTCCGTTGGCTGTACGTATAGTTTAGACAACGAAATGGATCTTCAGTTATATTCCACTGATTTCAAAAGATCCGAACGTCGCGCAATGTGGATGTCATCTATTGCCTATTGCATTGACAGAACTGCTTGGTGTCAAGTCCAGAAGCCATCTTACATGTGTTTCACTGTTTGCGTTGATGGTGAGTGATAATGTAGTGATAGTGTGCCGTTATCAATTTCTTTAAATATTCACAAGCTCCCTCATTTCAATGGAAAGCAGATGACAAACTACTGTTATTAGTAGGCCTACTTCAGTACTTGCAGTTGCAGACTTGACTTGTGAAAGACAGTAAGGAATTAATAATCAATTGCTATAAGGTATTGTTTCCTTAATCAGCAGGTAATCTATTACTAAGTGTGAAAGGTTGAATAGATAACTAAAGTTTAACACCAGTGGTCATGCAAAAAATAACCAGAATTCAATTGAATTCGGCATCTAGGAATACGCTCGCCACCGCATCTCTGATCACCCTGGGAGTTTCAATCACCAGCGGTTCACATGACCGCTGATCGGTTACGACCATTCCCCACCATCCAAGTCCATGCTTCTGAAAACAAATAACTGGCTCCGCCTCCCCCCCCCCACCCCCCCCACCCCCCACCCCAACAACTGATCCAAAATGTCTTTTTATTGTCATTGGTTAAAAAAATATGCTACCCGGAATCAAATTCATTTACGACTATAGTGGCTGTGGTGGGATATGGACCTAAATTTCACACTCCTTGATCGTTAGATTTTAAAGTTGAAGTTGAACAACTAAAAACTCTTATCTGTATCCATTATCTTACAGATATGGGTGCGACCGTGCGACCATGGAATAGATGGATGGCAAAGTATAAGTTGCAACAAGACCACAGTGGCACAAGACCTCAGCTTGCGTGACTTGATAATACATCCTCGGTATCCATTTATTGATGCTTATCGTAATGACAAAGTAACTTGTGATTACTGTGGATTGGTGGAGATAAAGTGTCCATTGTGCTTTAACGAAAGCAACTTCAAGACGACCCTATCAGGAAAAAATTGTTTCGGTGGGTCTGGTAGTGAAGGTTTCAGTCTGAAGTTGGACACCGATACTACAACCAGATACAGTTGCCAATGAAACTTAGCGAGGCGTAATATTGCGACTTTGTGATCTGAAAGGAAATTCTGATGGGTAGCCGGCTAGCCGCAACCTTTTGTTTAAAGAATATTATGAGATATGACTTAAGAGTCTAAACTTTTATTTGAGAGGGGTGTAACCCAAGCTAATTTGCAAATGGTATTCATGGTACCAAATATATCACACACTTTACAGTAATTATAAATTATATTTGAAAAATAAAGCACATCAAAAATGTATTTTTAAAAAACAATTGGTTTTATCTGCAGATACTAGATTGATATTGAGATTGACCATTTCAATGCTAAATTTTCTTTAGTCAAAAGGCACACTTGATTCGCAAAGATTTGTGAATGCGCACAGTACACCAATCTGTCTAATGTTTTGATTCCACAGGCAGGAGGTTGTGGATCGGTGCTGCTCAGGATGGGATATTTTTGCCTCTAAATGCATATTACGTGTTTCACATGAATCCATCATGCTCAGATTTGACTGTTTTCAAGGTCTGAAGGCTTCAACAGCCTTATTTCATGGGTACATAAGAGAATTTTCAGTGTGGCATGCATGGGTCAGTTGGAGTCACTAACCTCAAGATATCTATAAGCAAGGATAAGATAATACCTGGAAGTAACATTCCCTAATTTAGAGTAAAAAATGTAGGGGGGGGGGGGGAATTTCTATCAAATATTTTACAGCATTATGGTTCTTGTGAAAAGGGGTGTAGGCGGCTTTTTTTGAAGTGTGGTAGGTCTAGTCGAAAGACACATTAAATGTTTATGCTAACAACTGCAAATTAATATTGCAACGCATACAAGATGACAGAATTTGTTGAAATGGTCCTGCCTTTTGCCTTTCTTCAAAATCCCCTTTTTCTAACTATTCTCTTCCTCTCTGCGGATGGCAAAAATTTAAATATCGATGGGACATATAAGCAGCTGATAATGGATTATCTTCCCTTTTTCCTGAAAATAAATTAAACACTAATCATCATTTGACAGTGCCAAGTTTGTGTATCAGATCAGTAATAAATTACCTGCTAAATAACAAAACAATCAGACAACACCTTCTGACCATTAATGAAGATTTCTTTCGATTTAAAACGCAACTATGCCTACCAATGTGGGTAGCTTTCAGGATAGAATTTATCTGTGGTTGGGGACAGATTGCAAGGTGCAACATCGTACGATTACCATTCTATGTCAGGATTAGTTAGCCAGTTATTTGTTTTAGAAGCATATACTTGATGGTGGGGGATGTTCGTAATCGACCAGCGGTCGTGTGAACCACCCTCAGTGGAAGGAAAGCTGCAATCCCCTCGCACATAACTATCCCCGCATGGGATTGGAACCTGTGAAACTCCCAGGGGGATCAGCGATGCGGTGGCGAGTGTATCATAGATGGAGAATTCAATTGAATTCTGGTTATTTTTTGGCATTAGCACTGGCGTTAAACTTTAGTTATCTATTCAACTTTTCACACTTACTAATAGATTACCTGCTAACTAGGAAAACAATACCGTATGGCAATTATTGATTGATACCTTACACGAGTCAAGTCTGCAAGTAGGCCTATGCCTACCAATAACAGTAGTTTGTCATCTTCTTTCCATTGAAATGAGGGAGCTTATAAATATTTAAAAATTTGATAACGGCACATGATGACTCACCATCAACGAAGTGCTGTCCGCAAACAGTGAAACACAAGTGAGATGGCTTCTGGACTTCACACCAAGCAGTCCTGCCAATAGATAATATCCACATTGCGCGACGTTCCGGATCTTTTGAAAACAGTGTAATATAACTGAAGATCCATTTCGTTGTCTATACTATACGTACAGCCAACGGAACAATATGAAGTAACCATTTTCAACAGCCAAACAAAACGGAAACGTATAATCCGACTTGCAACTGACAGGAGCCAAATGGACGTTTTTGATTTATTGCCGTCCAGTACCAAAGTCACGTGATCCGTGCAAGTCCTCTATATAGGGCGATAGTCTTTATCCCCAACATCTCTCTCTTTCTCCCTATATTTTGCTTAACGCAGTAAAACAGAAGTGAATCTGAACACAACATTATGCAGCCTTCTCGGCAAGTCGGAACGATACGTCATCAAATTGGTTGATACGAGAAAGGCAGTACATGTAATCAGTAATCAGTGTTGCTACAATAAAATGACCTATTGTGGGAAATGGAACACACTATTAAAATGAAAGGGTTAAATACATTATAATTCATAGTGCACATTCGCTACAATATATTGTGCTTAAAACCACTATTTTGTACATAATTGTAAATTTCAAATGGCAGGCATTTTCTACACCTAAGATTTATCCTACCTTCTGTACGTATACGCATTAAAACACTTTTTAATAATGATTTATAGCCTTATCTTAGGTTCTGTATATCTTCACCAAGGCAGTCAATATAATAAATCTTTGAATGTTTATCGCCATTCGCATTAAAAAGAAACAATTCATAGCAATATTGTCAGGGAAACAGTTTGGTGGCATGTTATTTCACAGAACGGATGGATCGGCGCCGGTACATGAAATTAGCTGAGCACGGTGTTTGCTGTAGAAATCGGCGGACAATAATGACGGAGGCTGTCAAGCGTGACGGAATAAAATCAACGAAATGTATGTTGCAATATCTGGGCCCATTGTACAAGTTGAAAAAAATAAACGTAACAGCCTTCTAGTGATTTCAACAATCTTCACTTACTGAAAATTTAAAATCGAATGGTTTATTAGTCGCAAAGAAACACGAATGAAGATTTTTCCTACGCCAACAATAACAAATTAGCAAAACGATCCATATATCTGCAGCCTACATTTCGTGTCAAATACTCAACAAAATGTGAATTTTATTTTAACAGAACAGGTAATCGCGCAGGAGAAAATGGAACTGCGCTTTTTGTGCATTCAAATGTTCAAACTCGTGAAAATGCATTCGTAAAGTCACTAGGTGATGATAAAACTTCATTTGGTAAGGGCGATGTAGAACATATTCGAATTTTCTTTCTTCTTCGTTACGAAGTCAGACAAATCTCTCAGGTGAATATTAGAGACCTGGTTAGAATCTTATGCTGTTTCATTGGGAGACAATAGTTGTAATTTGTTCGAAATTATCATGGCATCCTTTATTGGTAAGGTGATTTTGAAATACGAATTCAACATTAAGGTATAATTAATATAGATCGCTTGAAAAAGCTTAACATTTCTCAGCCAGTCACAAAAAATATTTTGACTGACTTGCCATCAATTCGATAATGTTTCACTACGCTTGTGACCTCGGAGTTCCTGATCCAGAATTATCGAACTTTATTTTATGCGAGTCATATTAAATGCGTATCTAACTGTATATTGTGTATTGCTATAAATGAAAATAGCATCGAGTAAATATAAGAATTTGAAACTAAATTCTTTCTTAGAATTGTTCAGAATATATACTCGCTATGTTTCAAGAAGTAGGTTTACTATGCGCATTTATGGGTTGTGCAGGATTTTTGTGGGCTCAAGTAGATCCGTGTTGGAAGAAAACTAGCGCCGATCTCAATGTACAACCTTACGATATTTGTTATGGATTGTATAAAGGATGTACTATTACGGCAGCTGGTGAATGGATATGTGACCCAAACTTGTCAGAAACCCCATTGGATCTCGATATTCCAGGTAATTGTTTCTTTCACTTATAAGTGTAGGTTGATCGGCAATTTTGAAAATTAATCTGTTATCGCAGGTTTTCTGTAAACTCTTTGTGTGTTTTCAGCTCGAACACATCTTTCACGAGCTTCAGAAATAATAGCTGTTATACTCACAGCCGCTGGACTTTTGATCGGAGGTTTAAGTAGTGATTGCTCTAATATCAGCAACATGACTGATGAGAATAAAAGAAAATATCGAACAGTCACTGGTTGGATTTTTATAATAGCAGGTAAATTTAATATAGCGTCTAAACATTAATCGAATTATTGTATCCAATCAGTTAGTTACTAACTAACTAGATTTTACACCCGAAAGATGATGCCAGTATTTAAATGTCGGGGAAGATTAAGCTAATAAATGTACTCACTTGTTAAAAAAAAGTTGTAAAAATATGCCATTATAAATATATTAAATTATAGATTATGAAAATTATTTGAAAAATGTTTTTGTATTGTACGTGTTGTACACAATAGGAACAGTAAATGAATCAATCCGATACGGCAAACTCGGTCATATTCATTGGAAGTTACCACAAGTTCAGAACATACCTTCCGAGGTGTTTATTATTCTTGTAATTTATCCACAACGTTTCGTCGGATTATAAACTTGTTGGGCGGTAGAAGTCATTTTTTCTCTGAAATTTGTGCAGCGTGTTGCTATCGCTTCTGCTAATTTTTAATTCTCTTCCAACAATCATTCTTTAAGAATATAATCGCAATTGTGTTTCACCAAATATCTGCGAACCTGGATCTAAAATCTCACACTGCGTGTCTGTAAGACCACTTTCTGGAATGAACTTCGGCAAACAGTTGTCCCAATTACAAGTTTGACGTGCTGTCCCTGATTTCAAAATATATATGTCACATCGAAGAATAGGTACATAAGTGATTTGTGACATATTTAGTATCATCGGAATTTTCAGCTGTAACCGTTGCCTATATATACAAGGTGTCCATAAAGTCCCTTTACAATTTCAATTTTGTTATGAAGTCACTTCGCAATATATCTTAACCAGGTTTGCAACCCTTTGCAATTTAAAACGTAGACGATTTCACATTTAGTTTAAAATGTAATCGTTTTTATATCAACACAGCTATTATGCCCGCTGGAGCAGCTGCCTGGTGGACGAGAGCAATTGTCATGGAAAGATATTGGTACAAGTACACGGGAACGCCTGGACTTCAGTTCACTATAAATAGGGCAATTTACATCACGTTTGGAGCAGCGTTTCTCAACATTGTAGCGGGTAAGATTCTGTAATCGATTAATTGTATTAGGCTAATAGACTCACCTCATTTATATATTTCACAATTACTCGTTTAATGAGCCTATAATTTAATTACAATTAAGCAAATGGCCACAAAACGCAGAAAAGTTGATGCTAAGTGCAATGGGTTCAATGGCGCTGAAAATAATCAAATGGAATTTTATGAGATGCAATGAGGAAATAAATCTATATTCTATTTGAGAAATGTATCACTGCTTGATTTTTATTATAAAAAGTACCATCCGTTCAGTTTTTCAACTTTCTAAAAATATGTGCGGCCCGCCAATGACTTGCAACTTTAATTTTGCCCGTGAGCGACAAAAGGTTGCCGACCCCTGGTGTAGACGAAACCTTGTAAGATTAGTTCTGATGCGCAGACAGAAAAAAGAGAAAAGGAATTTCACTTAAGGCTTGTTTCCTCCAAGTAGGTCATATTTAAAACGATTTGCTTCAATGCGGAACAGCTGCGCATCATGTTCTGCTGTTGCGTTTCAAAAATTGAAATTTAGTAACTGCTGCGGCGATAACTCACTAATTTTCGAACATGCAGGCTTATGCTTCACAGTCTTTTCTGACAACGGATGCTGTAATTCATCACCAAAAGAAGATACAAGATACAATTACCAACCACCGAAAGAAATGAAACCACATAGGACTCCAAGTGCAGTAGAATATGTATAATAGCTCAAAATTCAAAACTAGATTGGCTATAATTGATTTTGTGGTATTGGTATTAAATCAAGGATTTGTTAAAATATTATAGTATTGAATCGAATTTCACTATAACGCAATTAAAAATTAGATTTTGATGTTTTTGAAAAAATAACAAAATTCAATAAATGAAAAAATAAAAATTATTAGAGTGATTCTACTATTCGGTGATACAGGGATGTGAAAGTGCGTCAAAGTTTAGCACATTTGTGGTTATTGCTTGTATGGATTTTAATCCTGACTTAAAATTATGTATTATCACAAAACTATTTTTTTCAATAACATTCAGATAAACTTTTTACACTATTTTATTAGTAATACATACTCAAATATATCCACCCCACATTGAAAACTTTTATCCATACTTTTATTTATACTTCTACTCTCCCATCGGTCCGGGTTTTAAATCGTGCTTCAGTTACATTTTATTTAACACCTCGTAAACACTTGCTATACCATGTCCATGTTTGGATATGCATTACCGGAGTTTAACATTAATGATTCAACCATCACCAACATGATCTTTGACCTGCTTCCGCGAACAGTAAAAACGTTCATGGAAAATTTTATGAAAAATGTCGTTCATTCCACGAAATTATTCTTAGCTCGTAAATGCTGTACAAACATCTTTGAAAAATAACAACAGTTTCATCTCTTCAATTTATTGCCATACTATTAATGAAATGCCGTAAACATATGTATCCACGAATGTTATGAAAAAAACTACAATATTTATCGAATTCGATATCATCAATTCGTGTGAAATAAATTATGAATGAAGTAATATGTTACAATGGGTACTTTTCGTGGGCGTTTATCAAAGTCCTGGTATTGGGGAGGACCAGTGACGCAAAATATAATTAGAGATATATGTGACTGTAATTACTAAATGAGCAAAACTATATTTTTTTTTATATTCAATCAAACTATACATTTATTTATGACAAAGATTTGAATGACTCAATTAAAATAAAACACATTTTCGCTTTCATCATGTTCATAAATATCGAATTCAAGATTAAAAATAAATTATACATCGTCTCCTTCAAAAGCTGGATTTCCGAACGATACTCCAAAATCGCTGTTCAAAACGCTTCTTATGTTAGCAACGTCCTGTTGTAATTGTGCTGCTTTTGGGTTATTAGGATTGTCATCAGTACTTTCAAACTCTGGTCCTGGTCCCACCTAAACCATAGAACACAATTATTTATTTATATTAAATATGCGATGGTGTCTTTTTGTTGTTAGAGATTATGAAATTAAAATAAGTATCGGTAAATTTTAGTATCAACATCGTCTTATATACTGTATATTTCCCGGTGCTATCTTAGTTTCATAATTTCATATTTCATCGCGACTTTTTTTGAGGAAAGGGGTATTTTCAAACATAGTTGCTTAAATCATTGGAAATGAATTAACAAATGGGTTCATAAATAATAATAATCAATTATAGTGTTCATGACATTTTTGTCGAAATGAGAAAATGAACAAAAATGCATCACCGACGTACAGATTTTATCTAAATTTTGATGAAATAAAATGGAGACTTTTTTGCGGATGTGCGAAGGGAACAAACACCCCAGCAGTCGCGCATAATCCAGATAAATTGTTATTGTAGTCTGGGGTTATTTATCACGAAAATAAAGAAGGATGGAACACGAATATACATACCGTAATGTACAAACAATAATAATCACGTAAAAATGCTATTTTTCATTATTTAAAACAAATATTTAAAATTATTGATAAATCAAAATTTGGAAATTAACGACTGCCAATATTTAACTGCAATATTGAATCATAAAATACCTCAGTGACTGATGGAAACATTTCAGTATCTCGGTTGTTCAGGTCTTTGTCGTTGAGAGTGTAAGATAAACGATATTTCTTTCCTCGTAACGGAGCACTGAAATGCACAAGGCGGATATTTCGTGACTAATAACCCATAATTTGAAACGAAAAAATGCGCTGTAAATTACAAAAAATAAACTAAAAATATAGTACATTTTAGAACTAAAATCTACCATATGATTACGCGAACTTTTACCTACTAATGAACATTTAGTAAAAAGCTTTTTGTTTAAATTTCGGTTGACAGAACATTAACAATATAGTCAATTATCTGATGAGTTTTGAAAAACCCAATTTTGTTGAAAATTGGTAAAGATATCGATCACGTAAATTAGCTTTCATCAGCTTTTACGCGGAAAACAGATAAAGCGCTTTCTTCAAAATGCAGCTCTGCGCTATAAACATGACATTAATTAGTGGGGAAGAGCTTTACGCTAGATCGCAACTCAAGAAGCAAATCTTCGTCACCCACGGCTTTACAGTAACCTAATTGAGTAATCACTGGGGGCACGTTTACATGCCATGCGATCATCCAAGCGGTTGGCGTATTGGTTAGTCAAACTATTTTATCGTTTAAGATTAATTAAATGTGTAATAAAGTTCAAACCCTGGATAATCCAGCGGCCAACCTAATTCAATTACAACTATACCGAGCGAATATACCAATCAACTATGAAGGATAAAATAAAAATAAAAAATACTATCGTCGGCAATAAAAAATACAATCGACGTATTTCAATTCTTTGGATGGTTTTATTTGTGTTTGTTTTTATATCCAATACTCTAATCCTAACTAATCGTTATGAGTTTCAGTCGGTAAAATAATTGCCTAACAGTTACGGGATAGATTAACCGTTATGCTCGTTCCATAATATATTGACCTATTACCTACACTCACGTAAATGCAAACACAGTTTTTATCTCCATTTTAGTGCCTTTCTCGCGCCATTATCACCCCGAATTGTTTTGTAACAACAAAGATAGCGCATTAGTGGTTGTATCCCAGTAATTTTGCAAACTCGATTATGACTCAAAATGGGATTAGCAAAATGTCAAAATACATTTTTCATTTATTCTTATCAAAACTCTTAAGAGTATAAGCCGTACAATAGTACGTTTTGAGAGGTATACGCATAGTAATTTTTTTTTATAGATTATCATATTATTTTAGCACATATTGGTAGATTCTCACTGGCATCCCACGATTAGGTTTTTGTGTGAGTGTAGGTGGCCCGCTTAAAATTAATACTGTATATGAAACATCGTTCTAGCTAAGGCGAGACTGTGAACTTCCCCTTACTGCCAATATGCAGACAGATTAGGAACCGTTTGACATTTACTTTTTAATTCAACCATAAAAAACATAACTTTGCACCATGACTTTGAATTCGTGCTATCAGAGCTACAACGTGGATTGCGGTTTTTTATGCAACACCAACTTCAAAATTGAATTTTGCTGAAGCTGCAGAATTTGAAATTGAAGCTTTTCTCTACAACCAATCATGTTATGAGGATGATAATACGTCTTCCCACCTAACGAATAATAATCTTAAAAGGTGGATAGCTTTGAAATCACCAAAGCGAAAAACCGAATAGGCCTACAAGTGATTTTTTCGCGGATTTTTATGAAAAATAGATAATGAATATATGACAGTGTTGAAATTCCGCCAATCCTTCGACCGTTGAAATTTTGAGTTTACTGATACATCTGCGCTTTTCGAAACGGTAAACAGAACATATTTTAAAATGTTTCATATTTCAAAAGTATTTGCTGTTAACGCAGTTTTCAAATAACATAAGAGAATTATATGACCGCCGTATGGCGTATACCCGCTCTTTGGAATTTAATCGGTCCTATGTGCATAAAAAAAATGCCTCGTGCATTTCACATCAAAGAGCAATCAATTGATGAGCCGCTGACTGAATGCGGCTGTTCGCTGTTAGGACATTATTTTTTATTTATTATCTAATTCCAAACAATTTAGAACTGATTATGTGCATTTTATATAAGTTGTTTTCTTTCTATTTGAGGCTACATTTTTCATACATATATGAACTATAATTTAGAGGTTCTGTCCGCTTCCGGTATCTAAATAGTTACTGAGCATCTTGAAAATGATGTGATCGCTTGAAAATTGTGCAATTACGATGGTTTGTGTGAAGTATTTTTTGTGCGAAACACTGGGATAATTTTAATGGCTACTGATATCGACGTACTACTACACAAACTTGCACAGAGGGAGTATACTATATGACAGAGTAAATTTTTTATTTTCGTGGCGAAATTTAGCTTTTAATTTAGATGAGTCACTGCCGAAATTATCGGCTCAAATTTTATGCATTTATTCCATTTTCAGGCAAAGTTACTCGTTCAACTCATCTCTATCGCCTCCAGGTTCTCAAGAATCCTTGAGATCCTGGAGATACTGGAATTGCTATCATTTTAATTCTTCTAATGCATGATATTTTAATTATGTTTTGTTTCGACATCGTTTTAAAAACGAATTTTTGTTTTAAAACTGCAGTCTTCTATCGCGTCTCGACGACCGACTATAAAATATTCAGCGACTTGTTAAGAATCTAACGATAATAATACATGGATTCGTATTTATATGATTACACGACAGTATACCTTCGTAGTACATATAAAGCAAGTCCTATCAGCACCAAAACTCCCAACAATGTTCCGATGACAATGCCCGCAATAGCGCCACCATTCAGTCCTCCATTTCGATCTTGTCCTGGACCAGATGACTGCATTGTTATTGAAGAAACACCAAGAGAATTATCAGCTGAACATAAGATAATTTACACTATTACACTATTGTCGGCATTGTCCATATATTTTATTGCATCTGGGTTGCACCCAGACCCTAAACTGCAATTACATAACAGTATGATTCAAGACTTCAACTATCGGGCCATCGCGCTCTGACGGAGCTCCCGCGGTAACGGCGATTTTGCTGAGGCGGCGATTATAGGTTAAAATTGTAAAAAACTGGGTCCCCTGAAAATTTTATTGGGTTGCTTATTTTTTCAAAAAAAAAAAACTTGAAAATTACAGATTTCAATTTTTAGTAAATTTTAATGGGTATTTTCATATTTTAAAGTGTTGCTGAACATCTGTTTCGCTTAAAGCAACGCCACGATTTCATAAACCCGCTGATGGCAAACAAGCGTAGCTTTCTCGCTTTGTGGCGATTTCTGGGCCATAAAAGCACAACATTCCGTTTAGTTTTTGAGGATATTCTTGGGTCGCGAGACCAAAATAATTTTCGCTTGAATAAAAGATTGGGAATCAACATTCAAACACAGGCAAATCCAAAGATAATAATTTATGTTTTAATATTTTTGACGTTTCGTTTTTCTATTTAACTTTTTGTGTGGTGACTTCAACGAAATTAAAATTGAATATTACTCCTAGCGGTTCCGCGTCCGTATTTCAGCGGATATCGTGCATAGCGAAAGTCGGAAGTTTTTTTAGGGATACGGCAGACTGCGTTACCCGGTACTGTAAAATATTTGATAATACAGTTGTGACTCGGATCATTTGGTATACCAATTCAAGTTGAGACTGGAAGCATGAATCACCATCGTCACAAGACCTGGAAAAGTTAGGACCGGATGTTTCACAGTGCCAGTATCGTTCAGAATATGATTTTTGGGGGAAAGATTGGTAAAAAAATCGTTTTGGCCCACGTGTCCATATATTTAAGCATTGCTTTCATGTTGTGATATTATAACAAGAATATCGCTCGGAGACCGACGACTTATCGATCAAAAGTTGGTGAATTCCCAAAACAGAAACCGCAGTTTCGATTCATTTGATATGACATTCATTAGCGACACCATGTGTCCAGTCACGAATTAATCAATAACTCGCTAATTTTACGACATAATGCATCCAAAATCAATAGGCTTATGGTCCTAGTATGATGAATACACATGCAAATTTCAATTCAGATTCAACCTCGCTTTCGTGAGATATCGCGTAACATACGAAAGTGTCCAACAGACAGACAAACAAACAAACAGACAAATACCACAGACAATACATACTTACCGTTCAAGATCGATAAGTAATATCAAAAATTGTATTCCTTTCGTAGCCTATTTTTTTATCACTTAGTCTCATTATAGCATTTTGTTCCAAAAAAAAAACATCGAGGTAAATAATACTTACGAGAAGTTAATTCCGAATAAATTTCATTAGCGAGTTTCTTTGCAATGTCACCAGATTTAGAACCTATTTCTTCGTCAGTTACTAGGATTTGAATCTTATCTTGGTCATTCAATCGAATCACTGCAATGAAATCAAACAAATGTATAATTTGTGAAAAATGAGGATTTACTGTTACAAAATATGAGTATAATATTGATGTACCGGATAAAACGGAGTCGAACTCATCGATCATTTTTCCTAGAATTTCTTGCTGAATAGCAACCATGTCGGAAGTGACTTTGGAAATAGCTGCATGGCAACTCTTGTACTGTAATAATATACAACTTGGATCAATTTAGTTCGAAATAAACAGTATATAGAAGGGCATTTTGTCGAATATAGAATTTATGATGCTGTCCACACTATATGATCAGTATTTTTAACAAGGATCGATCACGTTTCCCGAACGAACGACTTAGTTATTTTATTTGCTGCCGGTTTCGAATGAATCGTTTCGTAATTGACAGCGCTTTATAGATCAAATGATTGTCGCTAAATGACTCGTAGGAGTTATATATATATAGTGGGTAGCAGTCTAGTAGAACATGAAAAAGCTACCTCGGGTTTTGACATGAAACTTTCCACAAAGTCTCTCATGGCTTGCTCAGTGTATGGTGAGGTATAGTTGAAAATAAGCATTGATCCACATGACGGACAACAATTTCCAACTGCAGTTATTGGTTTTAGGCAGGAAGGTGTAGGGCAATCCATGTTTGAACAAATACGAGAGAAAGCGGCCTAAAATGTACGAAAAGGAGTTGAATGACTTGCAACTTATACATGTTCACATTAAAAAGCAATATCATCACCACAAGTCAAATAAAGATAAGAATTAACTAATAGTGTTATCTAAAGACAGTATCCGGTGATCGCTGGGGAGTAAATTTGTAATTAATTGCACTTTCCAAATTTGAAAATTAACAATAGTATTCGCATATACTAGACTGCATGTTCACCTGCACATTGTCGGGTTTTAAACAAGAGCAGCCAGTAGCGTCTTGGCAACCAGAATCGTCAATATTAACTTGCCCACTTCCAATGAATTGATATTTGCCTTCCACTACTCTATAGTTAGCGAATCCCGAGGAATCCAGGACCTGGAATGCATAATAATCAAAGTTTTACTCAGTGAGAGATATTAAAACGAGTAAAAAGTTGTTCTTGTACCTTGGAACGACAGACTCTACTTTCGAATATAAATATACGAAAGACAAAGAATGATACTATGCAACAAGTACTTCTGAGTTTTACCATAACGCACAGTAACCGCAATAAACTCGGAATCGTGGCGCATGTTTGAGAAATTATGATAACTTTATTAGACTTTATTTTATAAAATAAATTAAACTCTTCTTTTATTGCTACAATGCTTTACGTATTGTATTTACGATATTAGTACTATGAGTACTATATTGTTGGTCTAATATTAATTATATATTATACTATACGTCGTTATTTCAATGTATATTTCTTGAAGCTTACCCTATCCCAAACCGACAGTCCTTGAACTTGAGTATTGGCAGAAAGTTCCGTTGTGAACGAATTAGATGTAAGGAATTGTACATCATCATATAAGCATGGAACCTAAACAGATATTAATACATGATTACTAGTATTATAATGCCCACTATTTGTTATTTCACACATGTGTGCTCTTGATGATTCTCTAACTAACCTATAGCCAAATTAAAGCAAATCTTTAAAAAATCTGATTATATATCGTCACGCTAATAACTGAATTGCGTAAGTCATTTTTAGCAGTTTTGAGAAAAACGTAAAAAACTTCCTAATGATAGTGCTATGCCATTGAGAGTCAATAATTTGCCATAGTTCAATATTTTGATCGTAGCCGGATTTAAGTTAATTTGTATGACGCAGTCATTTTTTATGTTTAAACATATATATTTCATCAATATAACACGCTCTGCACATCCACCAAAATGAGACTAAAGTTAAATATAAAGAATAAAACAGCAATGTACCCTTATTATAAAAGCCAACCAAGGTGAATTGGACTCAGGCAGTGAATATCACAAGTGCACGCCTTCCTATACTGTAGTATAAATTGAAATTTATAAGCGCTAAGCTAGAATCTGAGATGCAAAAACTCGAAAATCCTTCGCCGAGGTTATTTTGCCTTTGTGACGTCACAATAATCCTGCGTCAACAATGATAATTCATTATGACGAAACAATTGAACAAATTTGCATATCATACAAAATCTCTATTTTTAGGGTTTCGGAATTCTTAAAATAAAATCTGAGTTAACAGACAGGTGCGCAGCATTACATAAATACCTATTTTATGAAAAACTCAAAACCGCCAAAAATGACTTACGCAATTCGGTTATTAGCGTGACGATATATATATTGTTTTTGTTGTATGACATTGTTCGATGTAATTATAGTTCAGTTATAAAGGCCAGAAATGTTCACAATTAAAACTTCAGTTTATACAATGAAATCAGCTTGAAACTTGACTTGACCGCTTGATTAAACTTAGATCAGATCACTAACGAGAGCATAAAGATAGTGTTTCAAATGTATTTTAGTCGTACTTTCCCCTATTCGTCCATTCACAGGTCAAAATTTCTAATCAGTTGAGTGTACTAGAGATAATATAAACGTTAAATGATATTAAAAGAACCAAGAATGGAGCAAATAAGCAGAAGGGAAGCAAGAAAGATGCTATAACCAACTATTACAACCTGCACCCTTAACAATTACGTTGTATTGCTATTAGTTCAATTTATATTAATCATTTGTAATTAGTTATTGTAAAACTTTTTCTTGCCTGTTCAATATCCAGAAGATCTTGTCGACTAATCGGATTTTGATTTCCATCATATGCTTCCCAATTTCCTGTCTTGAACCAGTCGTCGGCGTCCGAAATGAAATGAACAACTACAAGAAAATATGAACGTACAGCGATGGGTGCATAATGATCAGCTTTTCAAAGTTAGGAAAACTACAAATCTTTTATTTGCAACTAATTAAAATAGTCAGTCTGGACGCAACGACCAGCTTTTGCGCTCACTAAATATTTTAAATTCTGACCGTGTGAGTGATCATTGTCGACGCAAGGTGCCAATTCATCGCTTATTCCCCAGTTCACATCATCGTCGAAAACGAATTCACCGTTCATCGGTAATATCTGGAATGTAATGTTTATATAATGTATTTTGCTGAAATTCTACAAAAATAGCTAGATGGTAGTATAATTAACTTACCACTTCAGATATTGTAAGATCCGATTGTACAAAAATAGAAATCACCTAAATAATAGAACACGTTAAATGTGAAACGGGGTAACTGTGGCGATTAAAAGCTTGGTCATGTAGATATGTGCAAGTAATAACTAATATATATATTTCAATTAGAAGGTTTGAAAGCTGATTTTAAACCTAGTCTCTTTGTATCAAACCTTGTTTTTTCGTAACATGGTCTCTGTAAACTAGGCTGCCAGAATGGATACAGAAGATCCATTTTCCTAATATGGCACATTTTTACCTGAAGGCTCTGTTACTTACTTTATCGGCCTCAAATTCAATTTTATCTCCAGCACACGGATACCCGTGATCTGCATCTGACCATCTATTAGGATTATCAAAGTTTGTGTTGGCGGTGAAAGTATGGCGATGTGATTCCGACTGGCACCGTTGAACTAAAGTCAACGATATTGATAAGCGTAAAATGTTTTTTTATGATATAAATTAGGTCGTATATTTCGAGCATTGAATGAGACTTGCCAACTTGCAAAACTTTTGAAAACGAAAGAAGTTCGATTCGATCTCATTTTCATCCAATTACGAGCCAGAAATTATAAATCACTAGCATAAGTTGAATAAAATTTGAGAATCTCAATAGAAACGCTTAAATAGATGCACCAAACCACTATGAAAAAGAATACCAAAAGTATTAAGAAAATACAACTAAATATCACGAGTTCGAGCGAGTTTCAATGTGAATATGTATTTTGAGTATATGATTAGCTAAATCATTTTCCTTTCTAACTGTACTAACCTTTTCATTCGAATAGACTGAAGAAATTAAAGGGACAATTTATACAAGTATAAAAATTGGAGCCTCGAATGTCTATATCGAAACATATCGGGGAAAGTCGTCATGATTCCTATTTTGTAGAATAAGGAAAATAACAATGCAAACACGTACCTGTTAAAACAAGTAACCAAAATACAAAAATGTATTTGCTCTCCATACTTTAATTTATAAAGCAGATGCTTCAAACTTCATTGCCACACAAAGAAGCGAAAAATTGGCATGTGTAAATCATTACTTAGTATTTATTTGGTCGTAAATGGAATATGATGAACAGCGACAGACACCGAGTGACACGTGATGTACGTAGATTCGCGTTACGAAAGGCAATATTTTACTGATAATGACGAAACACTGAATGTGCGCCATTACATTGTTACAGTCTTGAGTCCTTCAAATATCCGATTATCGCTCTGGGTTGACGATACGTTTTTTAATAACGTTTTGAGTACGGAATTACACCAGAGCATGTTTCGTGGGTTAGATACACTCATAGTATAAGAAAAACAAATAAGCTGTTGTCTATACTCTATCTATAGTCTATATATATTAGGTAAAAATTAGTATATAAACCAAGCAGACCAGCAAACAGCAGTTGCGATCACTCACATTTGCCCCAATGTGATATGATTTACATATTTATCCCGGGGGAGAGGAAAGCCGATATGACGACTTAAACATATTGTGAATCACGTCCTCTCGTCTGGTTACCAGTCCATTTCGGTTCTGGGATTAGTTAGCCAGTTAGGTAACAAAGAATACTACAATCAAGGTTGTTTTGCGGCACATACAGAAATATGGTTGACTACCAGAAAGACAAAAGCATTACCGTAATTGTTGTCGAAAACTAAACATCAGACACGAGTAAACTTGTAATTTGACGAACAAAAAAGAACAGACAGCAAAATTCATTTACCCAAGTCATGGTCGCCTTACAGATTATTTAAGTATTCAGTAATATAATATTAAATATATATTTGATCAGCTATTGCTAATAATGAGAAAAGTCCACTGCAACGTATCACATGTACTATTCGGCATTTTATAATATTGCTATATTTGTGCGCACCCAAAAAACAAACAATTGGCCTATCAGACATAGTAGTCAGGAAAAATAAATCAAACAATAGATACAACACCGGGGGTTGAAGTATAAACTGAAGATCAGAATCTAGTTCCTGCAATGTTTCTAATAAGACAGTCATGTTTTTGTTTTTTTTGAGATGAAAATTTTTTAGCAAAATAGATTTATCGTAAAATAACAGAGGGCAATGGGGCAAATTCGATATATCGAACATAATTTCATATTTTCAAAAAGTTTGTTCAAACTGAAATCTGATAGATTTGTGTGTGTCTGTAAGTTTTATTGCAATGCATGGATGTGTAATAGATGTAAAAAAAAAGTTTCATGCATATTTTTGCAAATATTGTTCATGATTACTATTTTGGCTCGCTAATTTCTTAGTCAGGCTATTTCAGAGTGCGCCGCTTCGAGGTTGGTCGTCCCAAATTTGCATCTCACCAATCAGGCGTTTATGGTCACCATTTACGAGTTGTTAATTAAAATATTTCAGGAATCGAGGAACTATGGACCTTTTTACCCGACGCTTGGCCCCTGACAGATTCTTCTTATACTTTATCATTGCAAAATTTTCAACGCTGATTTTGAGACTGTTTTGGAGAGTTAGCGCTTACAAACTGGCTCAAATGTTCAAAACTATCATTTTTATTCAAAACAATAAACCACTTGACGCTTATAGGTACTGATAGCTAATTTTAGGCTACTCTATCGCAGCGTTTGCGGTATCAATTTTTGATTATTGTAAATAAACTAAAAGTCCCCAGGAGACCAAATGACAATTAAGTTATTTGATTTACAACTATTATCTGGAAACACAATTAAAAACTGAAAAATATCACGCAAATCTACCGAAAAGAGGCAACGTTTACAACCACGCTTTTCAGCGCGGCGTCCATTATGCACGTTTGGAAATTAAAAAATTGCACCAAATCAAACGTAGTCCACAATAATAATGAGTTGTCTCTAATATTTATGGAAATTTTTGTTCGCAATCGTAGTCGGGCGAACGATTGTTTTTTTCGAAATTAATTTAATTTAATCGTGATTAGGGATGCCACTTTTGGCACTCCGCTAAGTTTCTATTATTCGCGAATTTAAATGGATCGTATACCTGAAAATACGTGACAATTTTGATGAAAATTTTCAACAGCACACCTGCACTGCGACTAAGTTATTGTTCGCCCTGGCTTGATTGGATAAATAATCAGCTACCGACGTCTAGATAATATTTAATTTTAATTTAAACTTTGTTCTGAGTGAAATATCCGCGTACATTTGAAGAGAACTATCACCGAATGAGTTTATCGGCCGGCAATGTTAATTGACGATCATGTTTCTCATCCTAAAATATATATTTAGTTTGTTCTGCGTTTGTCAGGCTTCCACTCGAGTGGCGGTAAACGAAAGGGGGATATAATGTAATACTACATACACGTCTTTTTCCAGCTGTTACAAAATAAATAGTATTTACTTTTAATTTTGTATTTAAGACATTTTGGATTATTTCTAGCAAATGTCATAACGGACAGGTGGGAGTAAATAATACTTGGGGAATGGCAACATGTGCACCGTTTTACATCAACGTGTGCCAGATTTCATACCAGACCAAGCATACTGTGCGAATGTCGTCTTACTTTAGCCCCAGCAATCATGTTTGATCGAGATGAAGAGCTTTTCAGCGCGGCGTCCATTATGCACGTTTGGAAATTAAAAAATTGCACCAAATTAAACGTAGTCCACGATAATAATGAAGCCTCGAGTTGTCTCTAATATTTATGGAAATTTTTGTTCGCAATCGTAGTCGGGCGAACGATTGTTTTTCTCGAAATTAATTTAATTTAATCGTGGTTAATTTTATCGTCTTCAATCATATCCTTGCAAGCATTTCCTATTTAAAGTAATTCAGATGCAGTTAGAATGTATTTGTCGTATTACTCTATGCTGCTAGCATAAATATAAAATATTGTACTAACATTTTGAAGATAAATAATCGGTAATAAGGCCGGCCTTAATTCAATATAACAAGAAGGGAAATACCACAGTCACATATACTAGTGTGGGACTAGGGAAAGCAGTGTTACTGTGTTTATGACATAACAGTACAACTGTTCCCTGCTTGTTTTCTCATATGAATTCCATCAAATTGCCTCAGTCCTGATACAAGTATAACATAATAATAACTCAGTATTATAAGACTCGCAGACAAGTTGCAACTGTAAGTTTTTCATCATTATTTATTATCATTGATGATATGTATGACTTAAATTTTTTTATCATGATGGAAATAAGTGTGGCTTATTCACTGAAAAAACCTTATCATTCTTGCTATATAGCGTATTCCGTTTTCGAGTTTTTCACTTCTAGATTTGAGCTTTTTTGTAACTTAGAGCAAACATACGCATGCAATAAAAAAAGCTTAATAGAATCAGATTCGGAAAGATTCAATTCGAAAATTTTTGATTCGAAAAAAAAATGTATCCAGAAGTGGCAACCCTAGTTACAATTATCCCCAGCCTTTCTTCTGTGTACAGATAAAATTGTACTTAGGCAGGGCTTCCCAAACTAGGGGCCGCGGCCCTGGAAGGGGCCTGCGAAGAGAACACCAATTTTACACAAAGTACCATATATATTGTACTTTTTCAGACTCTTGATTCGAAATACAATTATTATACAAATAGTGTAAAACAAAGATTTCACGATTCCGAGTGATTACATCATCATAATACCGTGTTTTCCCGAAAATAAGACACTGTCTTCAATTTTCTTTCGAAAATAACACTAGGGCTTATTTTTGAGATAGAGAAAAATGAGATTTTTTATTATACAAAATATGAATACCGATTTCCGTTTACTTATAAATAGCACGTTTTTATTTAAAATAACTGCTACATATAGACTATTAACCATTTAAAAAAGTAGAAAATATTTCTTGCTATCGACTGGGACGCAGTGGTTCTCGAACTTCATCGTATTGTGACGCCCTTAAAAAATATGCTCAAGTTGCGACCCGTGAAAAAACGTATTGATACCTTTTAATAAAAGACCTTTTTTGCAATGAGTTTCATATAAACGAAGAAACAAAACTTAACGACAGTCAGTGAAATCGCAATTAATGGGCCTTGGTAGAAAAGCCTGCTTTATATAAATACGAAATCGCAAAGACGATGGGAATGCGCAACGTTTTTTGAATCAATGACAAATAATCTTTATCTACAGAAAACTGAATTTCCAGAATTAAACTTTCTTATTATAGTCAAATCACAGGTAAGATCGATTTAATCTTTCTTTTTTCCAGTGAAAGTAGAAGATATGGGTTGTTTGGAAGGTTCACGAATCACGAAATTTTGCGACGTCCTAGCAATATTGAAACGACGCACCTCCACGGGATTGAGTCAAAAAAAAAAGTTGCGCTATCGACTAAGTCTTTTTTAAAGGCGAGCGCTCATATTGAAATCCTTTTTTAATTCAGGCTTGGTCGTATCTTCGGGGAAACACGGTGAATGATCGCGCTTGCATAACAATGCATATTCTGATCGTGAAACCCGATTTGCGGTTTGCATAACAATGACGGCTTTAATCGTTAAGCTAGCGCTTTCCGAGGACGATTTGCTGAGTGCGCCTCGAAACATATTACACATCATATTTATTCTAAATGTTTTATTGTTTCAAATGACGTGTTTATGAATCAAAGTCATTTTGCCGTTCTATGTGTTTACTTTCTGTACGTAGGGTCTATTGTTACGTAATATAAGAGATAAACCCTACATGCTGCAATTTCGTATAGGCTTTCGTTTAGCAGTTTATTCATTTGCTGAACCGAGTTCATCAAACTTGAGTGATTTCTTTAGCATTTTAAAGAAAAATTAAGCAGAGATAAAAAAAAAAAAGAAACGTTAACTTTTTGCCTTTATTCCTCGGGCCTACGTGATTGAAAACCTCAAAAGACATTTAGTACATTGTTAACGATGACAAAATTGTGTTTTGTTTCGAGGCAGTCTATTTTTCGTGTAGGTGCGCCATGAGTTTTTTCCCTGATAATTTGGCGTCGCACAAAATGATGCCTTATGCTGAGTTTGATCAATAAGAGTGAACAATTCGAGATAAGGACCATGCCGTCGGTAGCCAGACATCGTAATTCATCGATTAGGCCTTTATAAACATACATTGAGCCTTGCTATGCAGCAAAAAGCATTCGTACCCATTACACTGAATAATTGAGAAACGTTAATCTGAATAAATAGGTGCTTGTTTTTGTTATTGAGTGGACATGTTAAAGTTGAGAATTAGCTGTGCCAATAAAACATAAAAAATGCATAATTCGAACTGTTTGGCATTATTTAACGTGGACAAGGGCCGCGAAAAATTTTAATATATTAAAAGGGGCCGCGAGCTCAAAAGTTTGGGAAGCCCTGTGTTAGTGTGCAGCAGGACTCGTGCAGCAAACTCAGTAATCTGAGGCATCTTGTTTTTCTAAGAATTTGTTTCTTGTGTTGTTACAGATATATCATTACGAAACTCTAATTTCTAATTTGCTTCGACAAACCCGAATCAGCAAAATGCAAAAAATGTTTCTGTTTTCTCTTATTGTAGCAGCAATATGGAACCAAGGTAAGTGAGTCACAAAAATGTTTGCAAATAACTAATTTTGGAAATTCTGTAGCGGCACCCACAAGCTATAGGCTAGACCCGCTAGATCATTGGTTCTCAAACTGGGGTCCGCGGTCGCTTAGGGGTCTACGAGACAGCTTTAACCTTGGCATAGAAGCACTTCAATTTGAAGTAAAATTTTGATGTCATGCTTTTACTGTGATTCTCCAAATCACGACACGCTCTGCCGAAGACGTTATTACGTAACAAACTTTGGTGAACGTGGCAAGTACCTTAATAATAAATTTAGATATAACGATTCATATGGGAAATTTTATTTTACTGTGATAAGTGCTGGAGAAAAAGAAAAACCACAGTGGCACCGTTCTATCCCGATGTCACTAAGATGGCCCTAAAAACGCTCATTCCATTTACAACAACTTACGAATGTGAGGCAGCTTTTTTTACGTTACTTGCTATTGAAACAAAATGTTGAAACAGAATGTTAAAACGTGAAACATAATTTGAGAGTTGAGTTATCCAAAATATAACCCAAGGTAGAAGCTGAGCAGGCTCATTGAACTGTTTTAATGTCATTCAATCGATGGATGCTTGATATACCGCGTTGCTATTTGTGTTCATTTCTTTGGTGTACCGCGAGTCATCAGAAAAATTGAAAGGGGACCGTTATGCATAATTTTTCAAAAAGTTTGAGAATTACTGGGCTAGATAAATGTAACAATGCTTACATAAAAACGGCATAAAGTTCCTCAAGTATCTGGTACCACAATTGGTGCGACTTTGGTAGGCGATTGAGATCACATTAACAAGTGAGATCGCATACCAAAGCGGCACCCAATATTTTATATCTATACTATATCTGGTGCTCCCGAAGTATTCGTACCAAGATGGCTCACAATCTGAACACAGTATGTGTACTAGATCAGGCTTGTTCAGGTTGTGCGTCATCTTAGTGCGAATACTTCCGCAGCACCCTATACCTCTTTATATCTTTTAGGATTGGCGTTAACTTGTTATGAATGTCTCTACTGCAACTCGGTTAGTTCTTCTGACGTTTCTGAAGTTTGTTCCGACATCTCAGGGCTGACAACAATGTGCATCAAAGTAGAGGGAACCGTATGGGGTGAGTGCTTTACAAGAAAAATATAAGTATAATGAAGGGAAAATAATAATCGTATTTTGGTTACGAATTTAAAAAATTACATATTTTATTAATTACATATCTTCCAAGTAGTCTCTTATTAGGAAATGCTTATTAATTTTACGTTTTCTATAACAGTGTGTTCATTTTATTCGATATATTTACAGGCATTGGCACAACAGCGCGGGGTTGTGGATACGGAACGTCAGAAACATGCAGTTCGTCCTCTTTTTACGGGATTACTGGAACCGTTTGCTACTGTGCCACAGGTACGTACAATGTTGTGGTCTCCCGAAGTACAAGCCCACGAATACTTCTAGTCGGCGTAGCATGATGATTTTTGGATATAATATTCCTAACTCACACCTAACTACGTCGTTAAAAAATTACGTCACTACGACGTCACGCGTTATAGAGCTTGCCAACGTTTAGCCACGATCGTCCAAAATGGCATCTGTGCCGACTATAATGAACTCACTAACGCCAGCGATCTCTCTCTTATTGGTAAATTGTTCGCCCACGCCAACTAGGAGTACTTGTGGGTGCGTATTCCGGGAGACCCCAATGTACAAGCTCCCCAAACCACGAGTTAGGTCACCCAAGTAATATACGAGCAACGGTTACATAATCCCCAAACGACGACGAGGAGCTAAACAATTCTCTCGTATACAATTATATCCACGGGGTTTGAATCTGTCAATCAACGCCGAGTAATCAGACGTGCAAAAGAAATTGTGTATCATAAGTTCTAGGGTTGGGAATTTCAGGGAAAACAGTTTAACCGTTAACCGGGTAAATTTAACCTGTTAACCGCCGCGTGAAATTTAACGTAATAATTTATAATTTCAGCTTGTTACGTCACAATGCTTATGAAGCAATTTCGCGAGTTCTTTGCCCGGTATTGCTCAAAATTATTCACGAATCAAGATAGTTTCATGATTGCTCTGCTGCAAGAGATGGACAGCGTGGTTCGGGTGTGTGGAAGTATTTTAGAAATCCTGATTCCGTTGTTACACGTCATTTATGTGACAAATTATTAGTATTCGATGTGCAAATTCTACTTCGAGATATATATCATAAATAAAAACGGCATCAACTGCGCACTTGTTTTATGACATTGAATATCCGATTTTGCAATAAAAAATCGTGAACAATATATTTCGAAATCGACCGAAAACTGATTCTGAATTCATCATTGTCAAATTTCCATAATCAGCAATTTTGGTACTCCCATTATTTTTCACATTTATTGAGTCCTTACCCACACAGTTAGTAATATTCTTTTGAATTACACGCCACAAGAGATAAATTTGCCATGACGTAATCATATTTAAAGAGATTGTACGATATAAAAATCATTTGTACCTGAGATGTCAATTAACGGTAAAAAAAATCGCAACCGTTAACCATCTGAAATCGGTAAACCGGTTAACCATTCCCAGCCCTAATCATAACGCTTAGCACAATGAACCAAGGGCAAAGACGTGAAATGTTTTTATATTCACTTGCCAAATTAATGATATCTGTGTTCAATACACTACTCTCTCTTTCTAGGTAAAACCTCTACTTTATATGAACTTGTAATGTTTTTCTTCAGATCTCTGCAACGGGGTTGGAGTCAACGGGGCTGAAGTCAACGGGGCTGAAGTCAACGGGGCTGAAGTCAACGGGGCTGAAGTCAACGGGGCTGCAGTCAACGGGGATGCAGTCAACGGGGCTGAAGTCAACGAGGCTGAAGCCGTCAAAATCAGCGTCATGGTGGGATCTCTCATTGCCGGAATCCTGGCAAAGATACTGATGTAGCTCTGAAGAAATATTTTTATGAATTCATTTTTATCTTATTCATTTTCGCCAGAAGTGTGTAAAGTATATATTTCTGGATACTTTTTGAAAAGGGCTCAAATTGTGTGTCATCTCAAATATATATGTTGAATTTTGTCTTGAGTGTAATATAAAAGAGGAAATTAGGTCAAGGAAAAGTATGGAAATTGGCATTATTTCCAAAACAAGTATCGCCTCGCATATTAATGACAGATTGTCCCGGGCCATGTTCAGGTCGATAACGTCAATTAGCTAATAAAATTCACCACAACAGTGTGTTCTTTTTTCATGAATGATTCACGGGTCTTCCCGAAATGTCTGTACCAGGTCAGGGTTAGGCCATAATTTTATTCCGATTTCCCTTATTTTAGTTCTATTACGAGTTCGGCGACTGTTTGTGTTAGCGAAGTGAATATACCATCTGCCCATAGGTTTCAGTCCCTTCATACAACTTGATGTAAAGTAGGCGAACAAAATTAGTTACCTTCATATTGGTACACACACTTCTGGAACAAAGATTCAAGAGCAACAACCCAACACAGCCGGATGGCATATATACAGTATTATTTGGCCTAGTCCAACTCTAAAGGGTATTAATGGTGTTTTACAGTTAATGTTCTATAGTAGAGTCGTATATTTCACGAAAAAAGAGACTCCAGCCGTGATGCAGAGTGCGAATCGTATAAATAGCGTGGATTTCAAAATCGCCAGTCACATGTGTAAAATGTTGACGCGACTCAGACAGGAAATCTATCATTATCAATCTTTTATAATGACTTATTATTGGTTTAGCATGTATTTTCAGTCATACATATCATCCCTGGCACTGTGATGTTTTGATAAATATGATTTCGACTGCACCATACTTGGCAGAGGTATCGAGATTTTTTAAACCTGAAAGAAAAGTAAAAATAATGGTAATTTTCACGCGTAGAGGCGCTCATTAGAATGTTTACGTCTTTCTACGCGCATTTCCGTTGAAAAAGTAACATTTTTTGCATTGAGGGGGGGTGTGCACTAATAATTAGAGGTGTGACGTCATCAAAATTGCCAATTGAAGCCTTGAACTTAAAAATTCTGTAAATACAATCGTGGATTTTAGAGTAACCATTCTTGCTATAATAGTGATTTTGGTATTGTTCTGTTGGAAAATAACACAAGAAAACGTTGAAATAAAAATTAATTAATTAGGAATAATTATTAACCCTCTACTAGACACAAAATCTCGCAAGTTCAATAGAAATTTTGGAATTTTGGCGTAAAAATTTTTTCTTTAGATGAGTGCGTTTTACATATATTGCTGAATAGAGCTATATCAGACGCTAATAAAAAGCCATGAGTGAAGCTTTAGGGCCTAATGGTTGACAAAAAAATAACCAAAGTAAAATGGCACCAGAACGACCGGCTGGGGAGGGGTTGTGTTAGTTTGCAGCAAAACTCTTGAATCACTTCAGATAGTTATTTTCATTTTTGCTTTATCATCCTTGCGTTATACACATACGGATACACCGACACGAAAGGAAAGAAGAAGGATAAATATTCGGGCCCGTAGAAACCAAATTGATTGTAAAAGTCAAGTTCTCCGTAGACCAGTGGTTCTCAAACTTTTTAAGCCGCGTCCCTTTTTTCAGAATAAGTCTCGCGCCCATCTAAAATATAACTAACTAACATTGAGCTACAAATAAACAGCTAGGCAGGCTGAATTATGTTTTATTCAAAAAAACACATTAAAAATACGTGGATGGAACGTAAATAATGTAATAAATGAAAATTTCCAAAAAAAGGGGGGGGGGATTAATTCTAACGAATATTTTTATTTGGCTTCACGCCCCCTCAGAAAGTTGTCTATGCCCCTTTTGTGAACCGCGCTCCGTTCTTGACAGACGTGGAAAAGTCGGGGCAAGTAAGGGCACATATTCATTACGCCTCTGTTTTGATTTAAACTATTCTTTGTAATCTATCCCTTTTATTTGTGTTACTGTGCAGCAAGAATCTTGAATCATTTATTTTAGAGTTATTTGCACTTTTGCTACAGCAATGTCGCATTATATGCATACATATCCACCGGCACGAAAGATTAGAAAAAGGATAAGTAGTTAGTCCCGTCGATAGCAATAGTTCTGTTCGCTCAAGAAGTCTGGAATATGTTACAAATGGGGTTCGCTTTTAAGGGAGTTACCTGTATTGAGAGCCATCTCTCTGTTCTTGACACACGTGGAAAAATCGGATTTTATTTAAACTATTCTTTGAAATGTATCCCTATTTAAAATGTATAGAACACAGAGGGAACTTAGTCAACCGCATCATCTTAGAAAAGTGAGGTAGCTTAGATAAAAAGGTTTTTAAAAATGTAGAACGGTTATTGAAATCTATTGTTAATTTTATTATATAGCTTGTATGCTTTTAATGTTGAATAGTATCTGTAGAGTGAGTGACTGCAAGTACCTAGAGACGAAAGCAAGGACAAAAAATTTAGATTGGAAGGTAAATGTTTGATTTTAAGTAGGTTGGAGAAGGTTGAAAAAAGGGTACCAAGTATGTGTACCAGGTTAGGGTTGGGCCATAATTTTATTCCGAATTTCCCTATTTTTGTTCTATTACGAGTTTGGGGACTGTCTGTGTTAGCCAAGTGAATACCCCCCTGCCCATAAGTTTTATTCCCTTTACACAACTTGATGTAAAGTAGGCGAACAAAATTAGTTACCTCCATATTGGTACATTCTGGAGCGCCGAAAAAAGATTTGCAAACTTATTTGCGGGCCGCAGTTAGACGACCAATGTCTTAAAATAAACTATAACAGCTATAGCTCTTCTTTCAAAGCAATTGTATAATGTACACGAAGCGCCTCCTGAAGCGTTTTGCTGAAGTCAACCGACTTCAGATTTCCAGTCTCCAGTCCAGAATGTCGCTAGAATGCAATTATATTCGACTTTTAAAATTTTATCTGAGTCCTGTTTTGTAATTTTATTTTTTTTATTTTAATTTTTGGTAATTTTATCATAAAGGAGAACACTTTTGTATTACTCTCTGTAGAGGTTGCGCGAGACTAATGCAAGGATGCCGTAGCAGGAATAAAAATACCATTCTATGCGATTCAAGAGTCCTGCTGCACACTAACCCAAATGTATTTCTGTAACATTTCGTTGTTGTAACAATTGTTGTTAACTGCTTGTCTGAGGAAGTCTGATTTTGATCAGACGAAACATCGCAAAAATACATTTGTGTTAGTCTTAGGCATGATGGATCTTCCTTATATTCATCACTTCAGGATCATGGACGAGAGCCATAGCTAACACTCGACACAACAATTCGCCCTCAAAACGGCTGGTGGCGTTGTAATATCCAGAGCCTGGAATATTACCAGTCCTACAAATACGCGCCTAAGCCACTCAAAACCTAATTTGCTTCTCTGCCATATTGCCCCAAAATCAATCCAAATATCGAAGTGCCCGATACACATCTATAAACTGGTTTATGATAACTGGGCATAACGTCCGTTGATTCCAGTGTCCTCGAAGCTCGAGAACCCAGCTCTAATACCTTGCAAATAAACCTTTCCATTTCAGTGGTCGAAAACACAACAAATTTTCACTTTCGAAATAAAGGTATCAAATTTATTGTCATTAACTGTCCGACAAACAGACATAACTTTGGGACATTGGGGACGGGATTTCGATAACACCACTGATCAAAAGAAAATCATGCGGCTTACTTTATATATTTACTAGATATTTCACAGTTAATTTGAACCAGACACGGGCACCAATAGCTAGGAACCACCCTAAAAATCACGTCCTTGACGCCACGGAAAACTACTGACGAATCTCTTATGACATGGTAATACCTATTGTTCCAATTAGCCAATGAGCAACGTGAAAATTTTCGAACAAACCAGTTCAGGGGGGAAAACATATTTCCGCTACTGTGCATGTAGCCAATTATTTACCTAAAATTTGTAAAATCTAACGTGCAACCTGATGATCTATGGCCAAACAATAAGACTAAAAGATTACAATAAATTAGGCGGGTAATTTTCAAAAAACAATTATTTTGACCAATCAAAAACAAAGAGGTGAAGAGTGTTACATGCGAAATAGAAAGCGGGGAATCAGTGGATGGACAATGTTTCGTCGGAGTCGTATCGTCATTAGAATTTCTAGTTATTAAATCTCCAGGGCATAACAGCGACTCAACTAACTACGCACCTATAGACCACACTCGACAAAGTAGTAGTAGTACCTCTGACAGGGTTATGTGTTAAAATTGTTAAAAACTGGCATAAAAACTGGAAATTGATTATAAGCATGCATTTATTAGTGATCGAACTGCGACTGATCGAGAGCGATCGCACTGTATGTGAATTTTCTATAGGAAAGTCGAGAAGTGAAACAATCAATGCTCTATGATATAGGCCAAAAATAACACGAAAAAAATAAAACATAACATTTCAGTATGGATGAGAAACAACAAAACAGCAATACCGAGTTTAGTACTAGATCGACGTAATCGACCAAATGAGGACGGCAATAGAAATCATTATCACAATCCAAACTTGACCATACGAGATCCAATACTAAACGGGTAATATAAAGAATAAAAATAAACATAGTAGAAGTATTCCAAATGCCAATTCAACCTTCTAAAAATCGTAACTACTTCGTAATTTTAAACCAAGTATTATTTATTCCTAGGGTTATCAAACGAAAGGTGTGATAATAATATTTTATTTTAAAGTTTACGGGCAGGGCAATATACATACATGCCTAAACAGGATCAAATAAATAGTCACTCTCACGCTCAAAATTACAAATTGAAATTATTTCTTAAATTAAGATTAAAAAACGTTCGATTGACGTTGCCATTAGACTTAAACTATAAGGTCCGTTGACGTCACAATTGTCGCCGTTGATGACATCAGAAGTTGATGACGTCGCTAGGTGGTGTCATTTCGGAGGCGGACATATTAAAAATAGAGAAATTGTGGGGATGGGGCTGGTGGGGAAATGGAGTAAAGCCGACGTTAATAGTATGTTTCGCCTTCGACCCAACCTAAAAACAAAAAAGAATATTTAAAAAAATTGAATGGTATAAAATGTTGATTAAAAATAAACTAAAATTAATTATTTCAGGAAAATATTTTGCTAAAAAGACACAATATGATTCTTATGTTTAGAATAAAAATGATAAAAAACACAAAGACAATAACGTACCTCCTGGGTATCTTCGAATTAGATATTTGCGTCCTTCGTCGTACAAGAAAATAATGAGAGAGAATGGCATGGGTACTATCCACCAATCCCATTCAAGCGGGTACATACGGAGAGCGACATCCATACCGGGGCAATAAGACAGGAAGGTGGCGAGGAGGGTTTCTTCGAAAAGACCGGCAATCAAGACCTTGTTTCTGTAAATAAATAAATATCAAATTTTAGAATGGCTGAAAGCGTAGCTAATTGTTGGTATGTTGGCCAAAAATCTTTAAAACTGCTAATAACCCCTCAGATAGCAAGCTTTTTATGTGGTACTATACTCCCGCAAAAAAGCAATACGTAAATAGTATCTGAAAGTTCAAACAGCAAAATATTTTTAGCTTTGTTACCTCATTCCTTGTTGGAAGATGGACAGACGACGTGTTTTGCAAATGAGGAGATCGGCCCATTGCACAACGACGATGGATGTGAAGAAAGCGGTGTGGCAAGTAAATTCAATAATCTTGCGCTGGCGGTAACTCTGAAAGAAAATTGATATTAAAGTTAGATAAGCAGATCATAGTACGCATGTAAACAAATGACGCTAAATCAAACTTTAATTTCATCAAATATACTGGGTGATACTAAAATTATTAAGTTAAAGCACTCGTATTAAAAAACGCAAACTGAATGGAGATCGTTCCAGAGACAATTTCAGAGCTGTGTTTAAATTGCTTGTACGCGTTGAACAGTGCATGAAAAATTCATGTAATCATTCCTTTCGGAAAAGGTCACAGCGGTGTTTCGGCGCGCGTTATGCGGTCTAAACCATGTTATTCACAATCGAACGCCTGGATATTTGAAGTAAAATGGCTTGAAATTTCATTTTCCTTTGTAAAACAATTTAAAAGTTTTCGGTCTAAAATGAAACCATAAAATGTAATTGGGTTCAAAATCCACTCAATTATTAGTAAAAGGATAAGAAACAGCACTCAGAAAGACATAAAATGAGTGAATTAGCACTCCAAAAAAAAAATTTGCACGTAAGAAACTGTAACACTCAGAATTAAGCTATGTTATAATACAAATGAACAAAACGCCCTATCGGCCACTGCACTTTTTGCTACGGGGAAGGCGCACACTTCAAATATTAACTCAAGTCCCACTCGGACAGACCCATTCTTGTCCATAGCTATCTTCAAGTTGATTATTTTCTCTGTCATCCCAATACAGTCTGAGCATTAATAAGCGAGAGGGAAACCATCCGTTGGATGCCATTATCACAAAATAATTGACGAATCCGGTCATGGCTTGTATCATACCTATGATGTCACGAGAGAAAAACTCGTTACCATAATGGTAATTAAATACACTTTTCTGTGTCAGGGGTTACGATTCAAAACTCGGGATTCTGGGGGTTTCCTAGCGCTGCGCAAGTGTTGTTATCTGCCATGGTTTGGCCCTGTCTTACCCATTCTTGTCCGTAGGAATCTTCAAGTTGGTTGTTTGCTTTGTCGTCCCAGCGAAGTCTCAGCCCGACAAGCAGACTTGGGAAGAATCCGTTCATCATCATAATAATGAAATAGTTGACAAAACCCGCCAACGCTTGCAGCATTCCTATAGTCGCCAATTTGAAATCATGGACGCATTAGTCGATATTTGGGAGAGATAACATTCGCCTCTTAGCATGCGAGGCTTTTTCGTTTTGGAATTAACATGAATAATGGTTGGGAAATATTGCTTGTATGCTCGGGAAAGAGCAATCTCCCAAAATATTACTAACTGAATTAGTAGAATGAAGTTGTTTTATATTTAGTAGCCTAAGTGTTTGACAATTTACTAGATAAAAATATCAATACAATGATAATAAGTGTGTTGAATTTGTCGAAATATGCAAATTTGACAACTAAACTTAGACATAAATTGGGATTAGGGGTACGTTTGCTAATGGGAACAGAAGAAATCATACCGATTTGTCCGTAAGCCATTGAAATAAGACGTTCGTTGACAAGTCTGTCGCCGATGGGGTCACGTGGTTGACGTTTCATGATGTCACTTTCGGCGCTTTCGTATGCAAGAGAGATGGCGGGCAACTGAAATGAGAGAGATTTGGCGCGTTTAAAATTTAGAATCACTTTGTGTTAACTCATATTCACAATAAGTAAATAACAAGGCATTCATAGCCAGAGGTAAGCGACAGTGGGGTAATATACAAACAAATCGAGACAAGGTAGGTTTATTTATAAGGCGGGGTACAGTGTTCAAGTTATAAGCTCATATTAACAATACCTAACCAAGTGGAAAGTGACGATCGAGACATATTCAACATGGAAGCAAACATAGCCAAGAACCAGGCGAAATAAACATGACATTTCAAATTAATCTTGTTCTTGTTATTGGAAATGATGATGAATATTTCCCTATAACGCCTACACATTACTGAAGCACCTGATTCTTCGATACAATATTCAGAATTTGACGTGGGAGTACAAGTTAAATCGTTTATGACTGACAAAAAATGATAAACTGTGTCAAGTCCGTTTTGACTTACCAAATCGGTTCCCAAATCAATGCAGAGAATGGTAATGGTTCCAAGGGGCAGAGGGATGTTGCAGACGATAAAGAGGAGGAAAGGAGAAATCTCAGGAATGTTTGATGTCAGGGTGTATGCAATTGACTTCTTCAAGTTGTCGAAAATCAAACGACCTATAACATGAAGACAAAAACTTAAAAAAAAACATTCTACAAAAAATATATGGTGTTATCCAAATAGATCAAAAATTTCAAATGTACCTTCTTCTACACCAGTAACGATGGAGGCAAAATTGTCGTCCAACAAGATCATGTCAGCGGCTTGTTTTGACACGTCACTTCCAGCGATACCCATAGCTACACCAATGTCAGCTCGTTTCAAAGCGGGAGAATCGTTCACACCATCTCCAGTCACGGCAACAATGGCTCCCTGTCTTTGGCATCCTTCAACGATGATAAGTTTCTGCTGAGGCGAGGTACGGGCAAACACAATTTCGGTGTGGTATTTCAAAATATCGTCAATTTCGGATTCGCTCAAATCACGAAGTTGAGATCCGTGAACAACGCAAGCCTTGGCATCTCTGCGATTAATAAAAAGCAAATTAACTTTATGTAAGCATAAAACAACCTAACAGGCTTGCACGTAATTGACAAAAATCAATTCCGTAATTACGGCAAAATCAATTACGTAATGACCCCGTAATTGCGATATTTTTCCACGCATTTAAACCTATCATAACAACCAATTGAATCCACTTCTTTTCCGAATGGGACATTGAAGTTGGGTTTTCATATTCTTGGCAGTACTACACGCCGGCGGCAGATGTTAAAGACAAATATCGGGGCTCCCGAAGTATGCGAACCAAGATGGCGGACATCGGAATGTAATATGTGTACTAGGTTAGGGTTAGGCCATAATTTTAGGTATAAATACTACGGGAGGCTCTTGGATAGTCTTCGAACCGATAATAGGACTAAAATAAGGAAAATTGGAAAACAATTATCGCCTAACCCTAACCTGTTACCCATGTTACGTTCCGATGTCCGCCATCTTGGTTCGCATACTTCGGGAGCACCCAAATATCAAGGAGTGAATTAAAATTAATTTTATTCAGATTTTTATCTTTTGTGTTAGCTTTGGTTTTCCTTTATCACCTTCGCAAATTAACCGTCCCATTTTTATGCGATCAATTTTATTTTATCATTACCGACACTGGTATACGGATATTTATGAAAGCGATAGTTTTTTAAAACCACCTTAGTACTGAATAAAAATTACGGGTTTCTAATTTATTAACCAACGACGAGCGTATTCTCTCGTATGATTATACTTGCGATTTCCTCGCGACGAAGACTTGTTTTTGCAGCGTCTTCTGCATTATCCGACATTACTGCCTTGTTAGCATTTTATAATAATAATTATTGATGTCGACTTATTGACGATATTCCGATTACCATGCTTCATTTTACATTTAATCATTTCGGGGACTGAATGTTTACAACATTATTTGCGATAAATTTAGATCAAATATTATTTATTTGCGTATAATTTAAATACCGAACTTATATGATATGCCTTCTCCGAAAATACAAAGTTATATCGCAAAACACTGCATTTTGTGACATTTATTTTACACTCACGACATTTATTTGCTAACTCAAGTCGGCGATCCTATCGGCCAAGATTGACACAAATTTGGTCGAGTGCCGGTGGTATTCAAGTCGACGATAAATCAAAATAAGTTGCCGCATTTGGTAAGACAGTTAATCATATATGGTCGAAATATTGAGAGGAATTGTAAAAAAAAAACATCATGAGCAAGGCCAAGTCCGGACTGATATATAACGATAAAACCGTTAACAGAACATCAAGATTTTGTAATAGAAAATGTATCTCGCACAGAATAAACACACTGGCTCATATTTGATAGCAGTTAAATTTTTAGCGGTCCGCGAGGAATCCGTCGTTTTGTTGTTTCTCTGCCGTTTCAATCGCTTTACCGATGCCGAGAAGACGAAGTTGCGTTGGTTCATTACGCAATCTCTCTTTTGTCGTCATATGCTATTTGATAAGCGCGACATTAATTATCACGGCGAGGTATTGGCGCGAGTGATCAATCGCTCTTTTCGCTTATTGGGTTCCAATTCGTCGCGAAAGCTCTTCGTTAAATTTCACAAGATCGTCGTGTTGAAAGGTTATGGAAATTTTCCTGTTTATACCCCAAGTCTAAAATAAAACAGCCAAAAACAGTATGATATTCCATGTTCATATATCAAGTGTTGATATTAACAGTAAAGAATGGTTAAGCATTGCTAATCCACACTTGGTGGGGAAATCGGTCTCAACGCAATTCTATCCCTTATCTACGGTTAAGTTGCGGGAGAAGTTAAAACCAGGTGTGTTGGCGTCAAACGGCCCTGCTCAGTTCTTCCCCCTTAACTACGTTAATAATTTACATTGGCCATGCCAGATAAGTTGATAATAGGTTAGTAAATGGCAACGCGTCATGCCTTCCTTCACCTACGTAACAAGAGAGAGAAAAGCGAGAAAAACGGCTGCGAATACCGGAACTCTAACTTCTTCTACTTGTTGAGCTTTCATTTTTCGCAATCGACGAAATTGACTGCTTTGAAGAAAGCTCGTTTCAATGCAATAATTACGACTTTACGTAATTCGTAACTTCCCTTCCGTAACTCCAAATAATTACGTAATTCCGTAAATCCGTAAATTACGTGCAAGCCTACAACCTAAAGAGCCTTTTAAGATATGTTTGAATTTTTACCTTGGGTTGACTTCATCTACAGATATGTTCAATCGTTCGGCAATATCTTCGACTGTCTCGTTGCCTTCCGAAATGATTCCGACACCTTTAGCGATAGCTTTTGCTGTAATCGGGTGATCACCAGTAACCATGATAACCTGTGACGGAACAATGACGTAATAATCGTAAACTTAAAAACATTGTGTCATGCTCGATTGAGCGTATGGCACAATCAATATTTACCTTGATTCCGGCACTTCTACATTTTCCAACGGCATCAGGTACGGCGGCACGAGGAGGATCGATCATAGACAGGAGTCCAACAAATGTCAAGTTGTCCAGAGGGAAGTTGACGTCATCAGTATCGAATTTGAAGCCTGGTGGAAATTGGTCAGTTGGGAGATATTCATGGCAGAAACCTGGAAAGAGAAAATAATAATAATGATTAGTAATGAATTGCATTTAAATGGCGGCGGCCAATCATCGGTAAATGATTAGAATAGCTGGTATGCATTACGGTACGAAAATTAATCTAAGTAAATTTACTGTCGGGTCGATACTTTTTGTTCTCAATAACGCCGTCTGGAACCATAATGGACCTGGTATTTTAGAAACATCGAATACGTCAAATAAAGGCGTATATGCGAAATGGGCTTCTAGATAATATTAATATCGGGTTGCTGGAGAGTAGATGAAACGTTGTTAGACCAGAGAACGCCCTGAATAAATTACATTAATTATACATAAACTGTACGTGTCTGGTATCTGGTACATTGGGATAATAACGCAGAATTAGTTTTGGAGAAGAGCAATTTCAAATGCTTTTATCGCTCAACTAGGAAGAAATATTAATTCGCCTTGACTGTTTAACTATTAGGACAACAGTTGGGAAACGCGGGTAAATAGTTTGGGTGAAAGAGAAATAGAAATAACCGTGTTTTCACGATTTTTTTTATTAGTAAGCAAGGGCAATATATCATCGCGATAGAGATCGACTGTAAAACAACAACAGGTTGGACGAAGCTAACATATGGCGTTATTCCAAACCGCTTGATAATTCCCTGAGCAAATTTCAATCAATTTCAAAACTAATCAGCGTTGAAATGATTAACGAAAATCGAAAAGTATCAATCACGAATGAGAGAAAACACATCAATTAACAAATTCGTTAAATCGAGCGTACATGACGAAACAGAATGGGATTAAACAAGAACAATGAGCTGTACGCAGACGACGTTTAATCTCAAAATTGCATCGTAAATAGTATGAGAACGCCGTGTGATTGGGATGACAATATTGATTATGTAAAACGGAATAATATGTGATTATGTTAGATTTATTCCCGTGTGGAATTAAAGTGGATCGACCGAAATGACGTGAGAACCCCAAGTTCTGTATTGCAGAGAGTTAAATTCCATAATATAATTGTATGAGACTCGGTGACGTATAAGCAGGCTGTCAGTTTATATTAAAATTGCGATCTCCTTATACCTATTGTCGAACGCAAAACATGAACACCCACTGCAATAAAAATTGCGCAAACTCGATTTTCGAGCAACTGAAGTATTGCTGGTATTGCGAAGCTTACCCTATCTAATTTTGTCACATTGATGAACAAACACGTGAGGTTCTGTTAAACGAGTGGGCCAAATTCGACCAACATTACATTTATCTTAAATGATATGGGTCGCAAGCTTAACGAAATAAACGCGAGCAAACATAGCTCACGGCAAATATTTGCGGATGGGAGCAGGCAATGGGCTGTAACAATTCTGCGAACTTTGAGGGTTTTCACAAAACTTTGAGGGTATTTACGTAGCAGCCATGTCCCATAACCACGAGAATATTGCTGCCAATACATTAAAAAATGTGAATATATGACTACACATTAAAGCAGGAAAATAAAGATCAGAAATTTCCATCAGAGATACGTGATAAAAATACGAAGCCTTATGGCGTTTTACTAACTTTTAACCAAATATCATAAAACTAAGGAATAAAATTTTAATGCGCCGGTATAGGAAACCTTCCATATTACAACAGAAATCAATAGGTCATACTTAACCAAACATATAAAGGGCAATATACTTTGAGCTATATAAAGTCATAGTATGTTACATAGCAAACAACACAGTGTTGCGTAACACGCGATGCGATAAGATTGATTAATGAAATATTGGAAGATATTTTTAAAACGAAAACTGCTGTGTCATGCAAAATTTAATTAAATTGTTAAGTAATTATAATTCAAAAGTAACGGGGGTTTTAGCTTTAATGTGGAGAACAACAGCGAAAAACTAAGGGTAATGCACTTATGTGTTTGTAGTTCTATATTAACTAGCGTGGTGTTATAACTACTGTGCAGACTTGAAAATCCGTATTACAGCAGCAGGGACCAAATGTGTTTCAGTCTTGGTAATATCACCCTTGCTTTCTTTCTATTTCACACTGTTATTTGATTATAAATTCTTACCAAGTACACGTTCTCCTAGTCCACCCAATTCCATGTAAGCACTGTTGAAATTTTCTCTCCATTCATCATTCATTTCTTCAACTTCTCCCTTGTGCATAATCTTACTGCATCTGTCCAAAATACGTTCAGGTGCTCCTTTCATAACCAACAAATATCGGTTGTCATTTGGATCTTCGGTCTCGTGAATGGATACCTAGTCAAACGAAAATGATTATATGATTAGAAAATGATAAATTGATGAATTTGACAATCTTGTTTGATAGTTTGAAAAACCAATCTTATGAGTTGTTAAAGGTACCGTACTGTATTTGGTTTGTTATTTTTGATCTGTTCCTTAACTACTATGAAAATTCTGAGTATCATATTACAAGAAGGCCATACTGTGGATAACTCACATATGCCCCAAGGCTTTCTGGCACAATCTATAGTCAACATGCTTTCTATTGCCCAATGTGATATTTTCAGTATACTAAAGATTTGCATATCTTTGTATATATATATACAACAACCTCATGGAAAATTTATGAGAATAAAAGTAAAGTAAATTCATTCATAACAAGTATAGGTAGAATGTAATGACATCATCACCCATTAATATACTACAAGATGAAACTAAAATCGGGTATATTTTCCCCTTGCATGGATTCTTATGTTTAGAATACTTACTTGATATTTGTTAGTAGAGTTGAATGGAATTTCAGCTATTTTAGCATTTCTCAATCTACGTCCTTCTACATCACCCAATGAGAGTTCAACACATTTGAGCAGAGCAGATTCAGAAGCGTCACCTATATGATACATATTTATTAAATTTATTCTTGGAATGTATATGTACACATTTGATGAAACGAAAAATAGAATAGTGAGATTTTTACCTGCAGTGTCTCGCTTCAGAACAGGGATGTTATCCTGGTTAGGAAGGAATGAAGCACGATTGCAGAGAGTAGCAATACGAGAAAGTGCAACCCATGTTTCAGACTTTGTGTCATAGCTAGCACCTATTAAAAAAAGAACACAATTACAATAGGTTCTGCATCAAAACTTTGTTTATTACAAGAATTAACCATCAGAAACATACCAGATTGATCTTCAGTTGTGTCAGCTTCCACAATGCCATTGTCAAACCACATATGAGCGACTGTCATTCTGTTCTGGGTGAGAGTTCCAGTTTTGTCAGAGCAGATGGTTGAAGTTGATCCGAGAGTTTCAACAGCTTCCAAATTCTTTACAAGGCAATTTTTGCGAGCCATACGTTTGGCAGTCAAAGTCAAGCATACCTATGAAAAGTTAAATGAGATTCAATTTCAGGACAATGAGATTTAATTCCTATGGCTTTAGACCCCTTACTTTATAACTGAATTAGTTTCAATAATACACTTAATTGAGTAAAATAATCAACAAGAATTCAATGGAATATGTAAGGTTAGGCGTTGCTTGCTAAGCAAGTGGGGTTAAGACATTTTTTTTCTTCTATAAAGAGCAATATTTTTTCTTCTATACTTAACAATATGAAGAATTTTATGCATGGTAATGCAGAAAATTAAATGCTTACAGTGACAGTGGCAAGAAGACCTTCCGGTACATTGGCGACAATAATTCCGATAAGGAAAACAACAGCCTCCAATGGAGAGTATTTCAAGATGAGAGAAATAACGAAGAAGGAAACTCCAAGAAACACGGCAACTCCTGCAGGAACAAGAAAATGGTTAAGATTTTGGCAAAAAAGTAAGTAAATAGCCACTTAAAGTTCATTAAATAATTCCAAATGAGATTTTGAAAAGGATTCAACTACAGTATTTAAATATTTCATTTTTCTAAACAACAGTTTCATTAAATATTTAATATTAATATTTAAACATGCTATTTTCAGACATACAGACTCTTCGCAAAGTATTTATCTTTAAATTTTTATTATGTTTTAAATAGTAAACCAGTCGCTCACATACATGAATTTTTAATGCTAGAGGGAATTTAAAACAAAAAGGACTAGAAATATATACGAGATGATATTTATTTAGGAGCCAGATTTATGTGTACTATAATGCATTATTTTCAAAGCAAAAACACAACACACTTTAATCAATAAACATGATGTTAATGACTAACCATGCAGATTCTTGAAAAATGTAAGATATGTAATGATCCATGCTCATGCAATAAGTGATAAATTTACTTAATTACAAGATTTTGTTAATTTCCGAGAGTAAACACAAAAACATTTTATTTTCGATCTTGTCACTTCCAAGGAGAAAGCAGAGAAATTTGCCTTCGCATTAGTAAAGTATATCTTTGTTAGACTACATCTAATTACACACACGACACGATGAAAAATAAAGAAGTGAAAATGACAGAGAACAAAGAGGCACAGCAAACCACCATATCAAAAAAAAGCAAGCAGGACAGATCAAAAGGACTGCACGAATCATCACTCTTCTTTGTGGTCGCCTGAGCGAAATAATTATACCTGTAACTAAGTGAATAAAGTGCTCGATTTCGCGAGCAATAGGAGTGGAACCGCTAGTGATTCCGGAAGCAAGAGAAGCAATACGTCCCATAACTGTATGATCTCCACGTTTCACCACAATTCCAGTAGCTCCCCCTGAAGTCGCAAGGTGAGAGAAAGAAAGCATGCAGATGTTAGTGAAATGAAATTATAATGAAAATCATCCGTCAAGGCTGAAGTGAGAGAAGCAAGCCATCACCGATTCACCGTATGATAGCAAGGAATGAGTATAAATTAAAAGATTTTGATTATGAGTTTGATGCACAGCAAGCAAGATTATTTTCCATTCTACGGCAGCCCACCGCATGATTTGCCATGTCACATGGCTGGTACCTGAGATAATGTGAATGAAATGTTCAATCTCTCGGGCAATCGGAGTGTCACCAATTTCGAGACCAGAGGCTAGGGAAGCGATACGTCCCATCACCGTATTGTCACCACACGTGATAACGATGCCACGTCCAGTTCCTGAGAGGTTTAAAATTCAAATTGAAAAACTTGAACGTCATTAAATATATATTTCTCAGTCACACAATAGATGATATGTCTATTTATACAAAGTTGAGTAGATGGTGTCACTTAATATCATTCTTAGTTAGGAAATACTACTTTATCTATAGCCAATACGCAGCTTTGTATAAACATACGTAACATTTCTAACAGTATTTTCTAAATAGAAGAGTTCTTTCTGAAACCTGTAGTGAAATTTATTAGACTGCTACTAAATAAAACCTCAATGACTGCCTCACCTGAAATCATGTGGATGAAATGCTCAATTTCTATGGCAATTGGAGTCATTCCTGAATCGATACCAGTAGCTAAAGAAGCAATTCTTCCCATTACTGTATTATCTCCTCGTTTTATGGCAATACCTTGAGCTGTACCTGCATTGATTATTATAAACCACATACTCAACTGCATAGATATATGTTCTTAACTTGGCTCAATCTACTTACTGCCACAAACATTGGTTATTGACAAACTAAATATTTCTGCATTTGATTCAATGTCAATACATCTTTCACCTGATTAGGCTAAGTCTGCAAAGTATGAAACCGAGATCTAAAAAATTTATAATAAACTTTCACAATATTCTTAATACTGGTTAAACTTCTCTATTTCACACTTCCAATCTGGAAAACATTCTTCCGAGTGTATGACTGGATATCTTGTGCAATCGAACTAAGCAAATTGAAATTTAATTTTTATGTATGTCCTATCCTCCAGTTGTGATGTCCAATGCATTTGAATTAGATAGAGATACAGGAGTCTAAATATATAAGCTGACCAACCTGGAATAAATCAAGTAAATTTTTCTTGATATATAACTAAATCTTGCACATATCCTCACTACAACTTCAATTTCGTTTTATAATAAAGGAAAAGCTATACCTTCTACACAATTTGTTGAGAAAAAGCCAATGTTTCTTGTTTCGAGAGGGTTGGTATTCGTGCATTCTGGTGACCTGCTCTGAGGCTCAGATTCTCCAGTAAGGGAAGAGTTGTCAACCTTGAAAAATTTAATTTATTGAAAAATGAAAACAATGTACAGTACAAGTATGATTGAGTCGCAGAATACTGAGTTAAGTAATGCATGCCTTAATCAAACCAGAAAATTTGACAAATAAATTTACCTTCATTCCATGGGCAGAGACAATACGAATATCGGCTGGAATTCTATCACCGCCCTTTACTTCAACAAGGTCACCCAACACGACATTTTCAGCCAGAATTTGCATCTTTTTGCCATCTCGAATAACCAAACATTGCTTAAAAAAGATTTTATGAAATTATCAATCAAACCATGCACAGCATTTAAATCGATAATCTAAGTTAAAAATTTATTGTCCATCAAAATTTGGTTGAATATAGGATATTGGGATATAAAATAAAAATATAATTGTAATTTACTGGCAGCTTATGCTTGAAACCACAAAAGGCTGCATCAATAGCATAGGAAATGACTCATCCAAAGCAGCATTTGTTGAAATAGAATTTTGAAAACCCACTCAGCTATTATGTTAAACAATATAAAAAAAACGATGATATTTGAATAAAGACTGGCTAAATAGTAAATCATAATGTGGCCATAATCACTCATGGATCAAGTTCCATTGTTAAGTAAATTCCAGGTTAGCTACACTTTTCTGATGTCAAACAGACAATTACGATGATCTCTTTCTTTTCAATAATTCCCAAAATATCAAAATTTGGACCATGAATCATAGGAAATTCTTACATCTGTTTGTAGCCTACAAAACTATGAGAAAGAAATGTGCATAAAAAAGAAAAGTGAAATACCTGTGGCACCATGTTTTTGAAAGATTCCATAATTTTAGAACTTTTTGATTCTTGATAGTATTGAAAGCAGCCAGTGATGATAACGACAGCTGCAAGCACCACACCAAGATATAACTGAAAAAGGACAATATAAAATTTAGTTCGAAATTTTTCAAGAGCAATTCTGCTTAATAAAAACAATGCATGTAAAATAGCAAAGATGTTTTATAACTTCAACTAGCAGAAAATTTGGTAAAATCACTGATTATTAACTTACATTATCCTTATTCGGATCACTAGATTGTGTCGACTCCACAGTGAATGCAGCAAAACATAAAATTGAACCGATCCAGAGGAGAGTTGCAAAACCACCAAAAAGATTTTTGCAAAACTTAATCCATTCTGGAGTTGTTTTTGGTGGAGTAAGACAATTAGGTCCATCTCTTGCTAGAAACTCAGCAGCCTGTTTTTCCGTGAGACCCTTGACAGGATCTGTTTGGAGTCTGCTGATAAGTTCTTCCAGTGGAATGGAGTGTTCTACCTGTAAATATAAAACAGGGCGAATGAATCAAATGTAAGTCAAGATGAGAAGAACACTTGAGCCCTCAATTTCACACTAATTCTGATTGGCTTATTTTGTCTCCACGAGAAAAAGCACAAAATGTTTCAGAACCAGCCATATATAACGTAATCCAATTCTCAATATCACTTGAAATTCAGATTCACAATAATTTAATATACATAAGTCAAGTATAATCTTGTAATGGTTAGCTATAATACAATTCCAACCCTTGTATATACCTCTTGGATACGCTTTGGTCAATTATTAGATTATCATTAAAAGCAATTTCAGTTGATTCATCATACAAGATAGATTTTTAAAAACTTTTGACTTACCATATCTAATTCCTTCTTCAATTCATTCATATCCTTCTTCTTTCCCTTCTTATCCTTCTTTGTCTTTTTATCATTAGCCATTTTGCCTTTTTGAGGTGGTTTATCAACTAAAATATCAGTTTCCTTTGCAGGCTGCTGTTCAGCAAAGGTGGTCTGTTCAAAAGTAAAAACAAATGAGAAAATATTGTTATCACAAATATATTGCTGTACACAGAGTATTGGAATGGATTTTAGAAGTTTGTGAGTAAATGTTGGAAAAGGCATATTTTGCTGCCTATTTGTGATAATCTTTTCAAGTTTTTAGTTGCTGCAAAATATTTACATGAAAGTGAGCAAAACAAGTTATTCCTAGTTTGTCCTTCATGCAACTTCACAACCTTGAGTGTGTTTATAACTTATTACATCATAATAAATTTAATACGCCTTTAGGATATTGTTCAGTAGACCTGACTCATATCAGCTAAATCGTCCCTGCTAATAACGATATAAAAGTATGACTCAACAGTTGTTTGCTTTCTAAACTGAGCTCTAGTTTCTTTCTGTGAACTCAAGATATATATGAGTTACGTCACGGTGTGACGTTTGCAGTAAACTGAATGAGACCCAAGTAAAATACACGATATATAAGTATTTAACGATCGCAGGAAAACGGTGCTACCAAAATGAAAATTCACAACTGCCGTTATCATTGCATTGATATTGATAAGGGAAGTCTAGTAGAAGGGAGAAGTGCGATATCGCACGAAAAAATAACACTCACGCGGTGAAATTTATCGATCAGCTAACGCAAAATCGGTCGAATTGGTCCAATCTGCATCGACCGTTCACACGGATGTTGCGGCACAGTGGGGGGCGAGTGAAAAAACAAAAGGGATCATCTGTCGCTATGGATTAGCTCGAAATAACAGAGTACATTTCACGCTTCTAGTATCTCAGCGTGAAAACAAAATTAAAAATTATCTACACGATACCAAAATACGATGCTGGATAATATCACTTTCTCACACCGCAAGGGAATAGTAGGAATACGAATAGCGATTGGGTATTGCTATTTCGAGCTACCACAAGTCATAATGAGCCGTTATACAAACAGAAAAGGGCAAACGCTTTCCAGCTAACAAAAACGCTCCAATCTAAACGAAAGCGATGAAGAATTTATGTCAAATATAACCGGTTTTAACCGAATCTAACATGTATTGAGTCATGAAATTCTACATTTTACATCATGTCATTCTCATGGCGTATGATTCGTTCCAATGCAAATATTTTGTTACTTGCGTAAGAACAAGACACGGTGATGGCAAATATCTGAATTATTTTGTTTCGTTTGTAATTCAATCGATACAAAGCCAAACCAAACTATAAATTTCAATGCGCTCAGACATCTCGACTTCGTTGAATTTCGCCAAATGCTCGCGGCTTTGCGATCAATGACATATGGCTAATCGGATTTGAAAAACGACAATTAATCTGAAAGACAGGTCCGAATTGGTATTCAACTTTAAATATGATGATAATTAAAACTCGTGTACTCGCCGACATAGCATTTCGACATAACTTTTTTAAATGTAAAGTATACGGGTCACTTCGAATCGTTAATGAATTTTCGGTATGTTTGCACGCTTGGTTGACTTTTCTAATTGTTAATTGGACCGCAAATTAAATCGAAAATATCTAATCAGGTTAAGCGAAACAAGGTAATCCCAATGCAAACTAAGGTCAATTGGTCAGAAACATCGATTCACTAATTAAATTGCGCAGATCATGTTTGCTGGACTGAATAAGTGACAAACAAAAAAGGTAATCAAGAATTGGGTTGGGCGGCTACAGGCTTCGTGTAGAGATTGGCATTTCTGCACACGGTAATCTAACACAAAATTTACCGTGTCAGATAAGGAGCCATCTCCAATCGGCGTATACGCCCTATACGATTGTTTGCCTCGAAGTGAAATTCTATGTAGTGTCACACTACGTGATTCCAGACCGCAAATTTCAAGAGTACCTTGTTCATCTGTACTTCGATTTAATGGGGATAGGCTGCTTCTGGGGCAAGTTTAAAAATCGCGACAGACGGTATTAAAAATTAACCAGGTACAAACAAACGAAAAACCGAGATCCGAAACTGACAATATTCTCCAAATTACGCAGAAGCTGGCCAAAGTGTCCGAAAGGAAATATTAGATGTTATAACACAGTATGGGAGTTCAAAAATACGACGAACAGAAGTAATCGATCGAATTATAATGGGCATTAATTGATGGCGATAAAGAATTATTGACATATTTTACTATCGATTTATGCTTTGCATATTTTATGGAATAACATTTTGATTTACAAAGTTGGTAGGCGGTTTACACTTGAAAAATTTTGCATCGAAAATTCGCAGAAATCACTTGTGCGTAAATTACTTAGAGAAGCTGTAAGCCGCATTGTTTGTGGAAACAAAAACGTGCATGGAGAATTTAGAACCAATGAAGACATGCACGACTTCTCACAAATAGTTTTGTGGTTGTTTGGGGCAATCAGAGTGTTCCAGAGCAAAGAACGTGCGACGGGACCATTCCTTTAACAAAACACTACGAACTGGGCTCCGATAACAAAAACAATTCAACGAAATGTAAATGAATTTCCAATTGCAAATAACTCCATCGGAAATCCTAATCAATCACGTCCCAAGGTTAGGATATCGATATATGTCAGTGCGGACAAGTAACACAAGAAGTCATTTTAGTTGTTTCACACATGAAATGTGACAAGGGAGAAGAGTAGCGCGTACTGCTAATTCGCAGGAAACAAGTGCAAGCTGTCCCTCTGGGCCACAATCGATGTTTGCCAGTTTTGTAACATGCAATTATCGCAAGACGAACCAATTAACGAAATACAAATATATCATTAGCATTCGTCCGGTCCAATTAACTTTTCCTACTTTATTACAAACCACGGAGCGAGTGTGGTTTGTGTGTGTGTGCGGTAGGAAGCCCACAAACAAAATATTTAGAATTTGTGAAAAATATATTACATATTCAAAAAAAATATACCATACACATAATATAGTTTTGATCAATTTATTAGTATGATTTGTACTACTCAATGAAATGTTTTGTGGATATATCATCAAAATATGTTTGTGCGCGAGTTCGAGTTTTCAACTTAAAAACATGCCGTAATCGCCGAGGTCAGTCACGTATCGTATTTTTATACTTTTTTTTTAACAATCGTTATTGACCACGGGCGGCGCGCGTGTTCAAGTAGTCAATAGACCGTACAAAAGTAACAACTTACCATGGTGACAAGCAAGACTTGGAATTTTGAAGAATTTAATTGAAGGAATCAATTGTTTTTTGCCTCAACGTTATTTATGCTATTGTTATATATCGTTGAACAAATTCAACAACAACAGAATCAAATTAGCTATTCCAAGATTGGCAACGCGAACTAGTCCCACTGGCAACTCAGTGAATTGTGAGTTTCTAAAGTGCGTAATCATGCCGAGTTATACATTATCATTACCGTCGAGACAATACGACAAAAGCCCGGCACTGAGCGAGTGCTGTGGTACAGCATGAATTATTTAGTCGAAAACCAATGGAATTTTACGTCATTCAAGCTTGGCTCGCCTTGTCAAAGGTTTATAATGACGAATAACTCATTTAAAAATTGACGAAGACCACTGACGTTGACGCAAAAGCTGTTGTACCGTGCACCAACTCATAAAAACCTTGATTGAAGCAAATGTTGCTTATTGATGGGAAGCCAACTATGGCCCGTGAATTAAGCGTGCCCGCGAGTTGATTTATGGCTTCACTTAAAAATTACGATCTTGAATATCTATATAGAAGTGTATTAGCACACACACAGTGCGATCACGCAGTATTTATCGCCAGGAGCGAACTCTTGCGTAATACTAGACATTGTACTCGGATATTATACCGCTGGCTATGTTTGCAAAACCGATGAAATAATAAAATGTAACGCGATATCCACCGCGAAATGTTTTATCAGCCAACACTGAATGCAACGTTTCTGTTTACGGAGAAAACCTTATTATCAGGTGCCAGCGAACACACATCGAAGCTATAGAGAAAATAGGCGCGTCGCGATTGAGATCACTAAACATGGGCGAAACATATTGTAAATTACTTCAGTTCGCATAACTCATACCACAGATATCATTATCGCCGTTTCATAATAAGATAAATGATTGAGAAAATATAACAAGACCCTCCCGAAATAACTATTGCTAATAACCAAGGTCATCGATTAGGAGAAATGTTGGAAAAGAAAAGGCGAACAGAGCCAACCATCGGGAAGCGGAATTTGGACCTAGATGGAAATTTATTTAAACAAACACTGGCCATAAATAGCGCCAGACCAAGAAATTCGAATCAGGACCTAAAATACCAATCTGAAACGGAGGCCCCCATCTTAACCAAAGTATCTTCTAATTATCAACTTTGCAATGATAAATTAATATATATATGTGAGAAAATGATAATGTCACATTCGCTTTGAACATCTCATCCCGCCGTATGTTACCGCAGATATATTTCTGTAACAAACAAACGAGTGAATTTCTGCATTCCCATATTCACCTCTTTAAATATATCTAGCAATGCCCACTGTTATCTAATCTAATAGACAATTACCTATTCCTGACAATAAAATTAAAACTGAATCTTGCAAAAATATAATCACTTTCTGAATTCTAGCTGATGGCTGCTTCGGCTCCTCTGACGGCTTTTTCAGTATTGGGGCTACCTGAGGCTGCGTCGACCTCCTCCTGTCCACAGATGACTGAAATCAAAATCAAGAAAGTATTAGAATCAAAGGACTATTTGTGCTGTGTAGGAGTATTGATATTAGAAAGGTCATGCAGAAATCTCTATGCCTAAGATTCCATACCAGTATCTACTTCTTCTCTTTATAAATAAAATGTTCCCATACTAAAAATAGGGTTAATACAGTATAGTGGACTTGGTCGGCAAAGTTATATGGGAACATGATGGTTGTACTGAAACTCAATAAAAAAGATCTTTTATGCTGCATACTGATGTTAATCATTAATAATGTAGTTAGGCAGCAAGCTCGAAATTGCTACTCCAAATCACTCTATTGGTCGCATTCTATTACGGCGATAAGACGATAAGAAATCAGTTCCTAGGGTCCTACTAGCTCCAAGAAGACTTTTGCTATTTAACAATGCTGTCCTGGCACAACTACTCTTGACCATTATACCTGTGGGGCTATAACTAAATACTGCCGTTTCAAAATTTTGGACCAATAAAAATAGTTCGTTGGCATGCTTAGTTAAATAATCTCTTTTGTGCTGTGGTCTATCCATCATTTTATGAAAGTAGAATCTCTTTCAACTGGCTAGTTACTATTCAAATAGGTCGACAAGGTTGTAGCTCCTCTAACTGGGTTAGCGCAATAGTGAATACGCTAAGCTTTGGCATTCGCTATGTAGGGCGTAAAACCTGCTTAAAAAATCAATACAAAAACCAATATATCAATAATAGCGGGTGCAACGGAAACACTGCGCGATTCTGTCATTGAATTGTCCTTTTGCCAAAAGTAATCATCTCGCACAGAAAAGGTAGATCTGTTTGAACTCAAAAAATATGTAACATATTGGGCGCTTCCAGTTTACAAATCTCGTACAACTATACATTGCCGCTAATTGAATACGCGAAATGAGAGGCAACCCTGTCAATTTTATATGGAATTAGATACTCCCTTTTATCAGTGAACAAAGACCCCTCCTAATGACTTCACCAATCAATTTGAAATGATGTGAAAACAATTCCACTGTACTTTGTTGAATCGAGGAGCTGATTTTACAAATACAAACAAAAGTGACGTCACAGCTCAACAAAATTTGAAAGTTTTATATATTAGATTGTGTAATTATGATTAATTTGAAATCCGACGAAATCAGGTCATTTTGGTATGAGAAATTGCACAGCGGAAAGCACATACAGCTAGCCATTGATTTGATTTTTTAATGCTGTGTAATGAAGGTTGAATATCGAGCGAGCAAATGCATTACGAGATTAAAGAATACTGATGGACGATAAAATCTCATAATTTTCTATCGGATTTGCGGAATACAATATTATCCTTATCAATGTAATGAGCATGCAAAACGCCAATCGGGTTACCATATCGGTACCTTCGGGCGAAAAATTAAATATAGAAAAATGGCCAAAAATAGACAACTTCTTTCAGACTAAAATATTGGCGATATGCCTATTGTGAGAAAAATAGATTAGTAGCATACATGGGGCACGTGGATTGAATCGTATATATCCTCTGAAGTCTAAATGTATAATTCATTTTACGAAATAAACCAGCCTATTGAATTATTTATTTTCTCGTCAGAGCAATTTAAATATGAGCAGACTTGAGTCGAACACCACGATTCGCGATCAAGTGACCATCAATGAAATTGTTGATGAAATTGGACCTTGCTCAATTGAATAGGCGAATTTAAAATCATGCCCCCTTTTATGCAATTTTATTAGTAAGAATTAAATTGAAAATTCCTCGGAAAACAGACCACTGAAATCTCCTCTTCAATGGCGATAGTTACAGAACGTCAATCTAATTACAAGTGGTATTTTCAGCTACGAGATATTTTTGTCCACCAGGGAATTAGAAATAGAAACGACCTAAATATTTTAATTTGGGTTGTTCCACAATCTTGTATTGTAAGATTACGATGGTCTCGGCGTAGTTCATCGTCGCCGATCAATTCTACACATAAATAGCAGCCCGTCAGAACGTTTTGAAGGTTATATGCTTCCAGTTAATGAAGTCCGCGACAGTCCCTTGGATTCCCAGGGGGCGTAGACGTGAAAATGTAAGATATTTTGGATCATAGTGAATATTATTTATATATTAGTGGCGTAGGTGAGCGTGGCAAAATTAACAATATCCTTTAAGACGCTTATTCAGAAACACTGGTTTTGTAACTTCCTGAGACTATGTACATATATCTTAGCTACATGCTGGGATAATAAAGCAGTGTGTTCAGCGATTCTAAAAATGGCATTACTCGAACACGAATAGTATTTCGATGAACGGTTATTTGGCCGCCAAGCCTACGAAAAAATTTCCACGATGAAGTGCCTCTTCGTCTGACGCACACGTCCCCGCCAAGGTCACTAATACAAAGACACGATCGATATGAATTGAGTATACGGAGAAACTCAGCCGCCACATTTATTCTAGTATACCGATTTGCCATGTAACCCCTCCTAAAAAAAGACGTTCGAAATTGTAAAATGATACATGCCTCAAAACATGGAAATTATTTGAACGTCAATTTGACGAACATGATTCGCTAGTAAATTTCCACGCGTTATTTATCAGCACGGCACATTTGTAGCTTGGATTTAGTCAACCACCAGCTTTGAATATAGCATATTCTTTGTGTTATGCCATGACTGAGACTGTAATGCGCCAGGCCACCGAAAAGTATAAAATTTTTCACAGTGGAATTACCCAACGAAACAAATTATTTTTCAACAACTTGTTATGGTGGCTCAAGAATAACTCACCATTATATTATATTGATTCAGCGTCAGAAATTTATTTTAAGATACTTGTACGCGGCCATACCAGAAAATGGAAAATGTTTCGTCAATATTCTGTGACTGGGAAATATCATTTCCTGCTAATGCCTAAATCATGTGAGTAAATGATTTTCGTTTTCGATTGTTGTAGTGCGCGGCTAAGGAGAAAAGATAGTTAACACGTGCTAGAGAAAAGGAAGCAATAAAATTTAAAATAATAAATTGCGCAAAATGAGCCAAAAAATTGTATGTTCCATTTTGCAGAACTTATGATTTGAGGGTTATTTATTATATATCAAAACAATGTTCAACCCTACATGACTGAGTACTACATTACTGGGCAATTCATAAAAGCAATATATACATATATGGACCATCCTTGATGAAATGTATGTGAACACAAGGAATGAGATTTTCAAGGTTTTAATAAGGACATATTTCTAAAACCATTCTTATTCGCCGTATATCCGAGTTACGCACAACTCAGTTTGAAGTATACGGGATTGAAATCCTGGAAACCAAGGGAATACCTAATATCCAAGCGATTAGCTTAGAGGTTGTATCAAAGCAGTCGGCCGAATGACGATTAGAGTGTATAAGAAGGTAATTATCCCCATTTAAATTTAAAATGAGAATTTGAATAATTCTTTTGTGGGAAGATTACGAAAAGGCACCTGCCACGATACTTGATCGACAGTCGGCGTCAACACATAATTAGGTAGTCGGAATAATGTTATTGCATACTCGGATCTTAATTAACAGTTTCCTGTCAGGCAGATGGTTTTGACATCATAGTTCACGTGGAATGGACAAGCTGATTCAAACACAATATACATTTTTTCAACAAACAGGACAAATTGAATTCGAATACACGTGTTATGAATTTCGTATTATTGATCAATTCCATACGCGTGACCACCAGTCATAATAACTATTTCCACACGTGACCTGATAAACTGTAAGGTCAGCTAGAACGCAATATAATCATAGCCGAAAATTGGGAATTTGCGCGGCAGATACAAAAACAGCGATAACAACAAACAAATTAAAGATAATTTTAGTTATACTATAGCTAGAATTGAGGGCAGAATATCTAGTGTATGATATATTGTTTTGGTTCTTTGTTCAAACTTATCCTAATTTTGTGAAACATTTCGCGCTTCACAGTAATGGTCATAAATTCGCCCGTCATTGTCAGAAATCTGCTGTCATTAGGCAGGCTTATTTCGTCTCTCGTGTAGGAGTTAAACGTAAAGTAAACAATATCGCACGTCCCATCCATTCATTAATCACGCTTCACCGACCATACGAGTACGCCGGCCGTATGAACAAGGCGGCAACGTGACGCTCAACAAAAAGAAACGTATTTTTCAATTGAAGAGTGGAAATGTACCAGATGCAAACCGGGCGTAGTGTAGTGTGAATAAAGGATATGTTTCAATCGCCAACAGAGCGAGAGAGGATGGTTAAACTTTCCATTTCAATGACGGCAGCCACGTGATACAGTTCCCAGGCCACGCATTGGGTCATCGCTTGCTACTTTCAAACAATTATTTAAAATATTTAGTATTCATAAAAGTGACGCACGGGACTGCTACTGTTACGCAATTATCACGTGCTAAACAACGTACGCATATCGAGTCAGAAAATGATTGGCCATTTGAACACCAAATTTAGTTAGGGTCAAGTATGGTTCTTTATCGAAACGGGCAATCACCCGATATCTCTAGCTAAAATTTGGTAGCAACCAAAAAATTCCATGAATTATTAAAGCCATGGTGAAGAGGGAAATAGGGTGATATTCACAAAATAAACCAACTATATTGCAGATAATTCATTCAAGGTGGAATTGTTCATGATTAATTACCACTAGCTAATGTATGAAAATATATAACTTTACATTCATTGTAATTCAATTTAGTATTAATAAAATATTTTATACCAATCAAACAAATCTTATATTGACGGGAATCAAGTTTTATTTATAGCCCACCAAGATAAAACTTAGGGAGTTAGCCACATGAGTTATTTCTTGAATAACTTGGGTTAATTTGAAATTGGGAATCTACATATCATTTATTGTTATTTTAGCTAAGTAGAAAATATCCTATATTGCTTTCTGAAACAGGGAGAATTGGAAGAATCAAATAGACTTAATGCTCTTCGTGATCAAGGTTTACATCAAATGACAACTAAATTACCATGATATTAAACATATGAAATTAAAGTGGGGAAGGCAAGTTTGTGCAATAACTGTTCGAGCAAATAACTAATAAATATATTGTCAAGTTAATATAACCTGGGATAAATATGCAATCTCAAAAAAATGACAAACTCAAAAAATGCGATGACTATACAAAGCCAATATACCATACTGCAACAGGTAAATTAATTCTATTTCATTACTGGGCTAATTAATTGATAGGCATGTCTTATTAGGATGAAATTAATTTAACCAGTCCCTTTCATTGATTATCAGTCAGCCAGTAGTGAAAAATTTAAGATTTCCTTACCACAAATATTACCATTCCGCAACAACATCTTGCAATCGCCGAAAGGGCATAGCAACCAGTTAGTTTTCGCAATTTGGCTATCAGTCGGGCTCGACTGCCACAACTTCCAATAAATATCGAGATAGTGGGGCTTATTTAGATAACTAAAGAAATAAACAGAATACTTTTATTATGCTATTGGAAATGGGCAATTCTGTTATTTAGATGTATCTGGGCTGTGATTGTGGTCAAAGTGTACTGTTGAATATTTTGGCAAGACAACAGTGCTGCGGTAGAATACCTCTACAAAATGCAGATAAACATTGGACATTAATATACATCAGTACACAGGCCTATGATATTACGGTCTGGTTTGTATAAGTTAGCTGTATGGTAGTTTTCAGAGTTTATCCATATACTTGTATACTGATATAAGTCAATTTATACTTCTCAATGATAACATTTTAGCTACATTGAAATATAACGCATATTTGATAATTTATTGATTGAACGGTATTATTTCAAGCCGCTTTGCTACAACTTCGAGATCTTAGTGATGGCGGCCGCCTGTACTGCTGTACCGTACGATGTCAGTACACGTTACGGCGTTACCAGCTGTTGCCGTATCACAGCAAAGCAGAAGTTAGTGCTATACAGAAATAGCGCGCGACTAAAATAATAGGTATTTCGTTTTATTATGAATTTAAAAACATTGCTACGAAATTATCGAACTTACCTCTTGAATTCCATCGTCAGCGGCCCGCTGTTGCGCGTTATCGTCAGCCATGTTTCCGAACTAAAATGGGAAAGGACCTCCCGCCTCACAGACCACTTCTGATCAATACTTCGGTCGAAGACTTACAAAGTTGGTGTTCCCTAACGATATCTTTTCAAATACTACGAGTCTCGAGTAGGATTTGATTTCGTTTAGAATCAAAATGTGAATTGATCGTCTATTTATTTTAGGTATTATCAAAAATGCCAAAACATAATAAAAGAAAAAGTTATTTTAGTTCACTGCTTTTCATAAACATATTTTTAACGTGATGAACACTAATAAGACACCTCGACTCTTGACTCTATCTAACGGCGAGGTATAGCATTTTCAAGTCGTTGGCTTTGGTTTCAGCAAACACCCGGACTGAGACGTAAAAAAACACTGCAAATGCACTTCGCTACTGAATACATCGCGTTTGACGATCCTATCGGTAATGACCTAATCTTTCCAAAAACAAATATAAAACATCCAGGTGTATTGAATTTTAATCGCCGATGGCGATTCCATCACACGCAAATTACACGATATTTTGTGCTAATGACCACGCTTGTATGTTTGTATTATGGCAACATATCAACTGTCGGTGATCCGCAATCAATTATTGACCACTGGGTATATATGGAATATTTATAGAATTAAATCTTACCTTTTATTATTTTGTCTTTGATGTTTTCTGGTCAGCAAAAATCAGGAAGTTGGAAGTTTTAGATTCAAAAATTAAACCAAGACCTGGATTAAATTTGCACAAATAAGATCGTTAATAATTTTGAACTCAAAATTAAAAGATTGCACAAAACACTTTGTTCTTCTATCTGCCTTCCAACAAATTTGATTCAATTCAGTGTCCCATACTCAGTATTCTAACTATACCCGTTCAGGCATATTATCTGAATTCGATCTTATGTAAGCTGCAAGAATCCCACACAAAAAAGACTAGTTTGGTTTCAATTTCATAGAGCTAACAGTAATACGAAATGCGCCCGTGAAAAAGCAGAATATTAAATTGCATTTTAAGTAATCGACTCTCTTTGAGGTGCCGAATTTCAAATGCCAAACAATCAATGATCTTGCTAAATATAATATTGGTTTCTGATGGCTTTTATCATAAAAGCATTAGGTATATAAATTGAAGATTACTTAGAGCCTCTTATTGAGAAGAAGTATTTATCTATTTTGCCCATCTTCTTTACACTTACGTCATGAATAAAAAAAAATCATGGACCGCAACCTTATTATAATTCTAACAACACGACATAATAGTCATCAAGATATTTATGCTAACCAAAGCTTTTCAAAACTAAAAAAAACTCTCCATAATGACCCGTCATCTACAATTCTACAGGATGACAACTCCCTCCCAGGGACTTGAATTTGCTATTCACTCTACAAATCAATTTCCAAATACCAAAAATTAAGATCTGCTTGCATACTCCTTCATATATATAGCTGATGATTCCAATTCAAACGGATGACCTAAATCTATTGAACTATCTCGTTTGTGTTGCTATATATACACTATATAACTACACGAATCGTTGTAATGAAGGAATGAGGAATGAGGCTTATATATAGGCATTTATACAACTATCATTTACTTCATTAGTGCAGCTGCTGTGATATAGTATATATTCACACTCAGATCGATCATTGCTTCATGCAATGGCATGACCTCTCGGACACCCTGAGAAAATTTCACTTCCTAATGAAAATTTGCAGTTGACCTGGTAAATGAAAACTCCTGGAACTGATCCCGAACTACTTTCTATCCAATCATTTTTCATCGATTTTCGTGTTAGGATAAAAAATCAACTTCTTAAGTCTCTGGATATCGATCTGTACCGTTCCAAGCAGTAAATTACATAGCCTACATCTGAATTTGTGTTGAGAGCACAAACGACGTTCATGTCATAACGTCCAGAAGTTAAATATTTTTCAATTTTTATCGATTGTGTTCGACTTTTTATAGAATATGAATAAGCTTAATGCCAATTCTACATTTTGTTAACGTTATTCTGTTCGGAGTAATATAAATTAACACATGTTGTAGGAGTCAAAATACAAAAAATTATTGACAATGAATTGAAAAAATGTTGGAGGTTTTGATGCAAGAAACATAAAAATTATTGGAACCTCATCTCACAATACCGCAGTACCACTCCCCTTTCTGTGACCCGGAAATAAAAGGTCAGTTTTACACTTACCCGAAGGCTGTAAAGGAAATGTAAATGTGACAATGCGCGCATTAGGTGGTAAATACTTCATACAACCTCCAAGTGTCAGAATTTCACGAACAATGGGTCTATTTCATAGTATATGGCAGCGGTTCTCAAAGGGTACGCCGCAACGAGTTGCTTGGTGCGCCGCGAAAATTATCAGAATTTGTTAAACTTAACTAAAATATGATTGAATATATTACATATTGTATTTAATATAAATGTTTTATTGTTTCTTAATTCAAATGATGTATATATGAATCAATGAATTCATTTTGCCATTCTACGTCATTTACTTTCTGTTACGTAGTGTCTGCATCTATTGTTACGTAACAATAGAGATAGAACCACTTGTTGCAATTTTGCGAGCTGCAGTTTAATTATCTGCTGAACCGAATTTAGCGAACATGAGTGGTTTTTTTAGCATTTCAAAAAAAGAGGTAGAGATGAAGAAAACAAGTTGACTATTTGCCTTTATTACTTAGGAGGCCTACACAATGACACATTTTAAAAGGCATAAAGTACACATTAACGATCCTAAAATTGTATTTTATTTAAAAGCACATTTTTTTTTGTGTAAGTGCGCCGTGAGCTTTTTTGCTTGATAATTTGGCGCCGCTAGAAAAAAAAGTTTGGGAACCGCTGATTCCCGGACATATATATACTATATGGTATCAGAGATACATTGAATTTGGCAAACAATATGCAGGAAGCAAACCTCGATTGATCGAATGAAGACATCGGGTAAGTTCATGAAGACGTGTTCAAGAATGCCAAACGATAGGCGTAATAATACGGATGAATATATAGCCTACAGGGGCGTCCTTGCAAGAATAAAAGACATGATGAAGATCCAAATATTTTCTAGGAAACCAGTTTGCTAAGTATGAGAAATAGCCTTCAACGAATAATCTCAAACAGTCTCAGGTATGTCGGAGATCTGATAAAGTTTTTAAATATTTATAAACTAGACTAGCCGCCCATGAAAGATTTCTATCCCATGTTATCACAATACAACGTACCCTATACAAAGCTATTCGGGAATAGTCTCTACCATCGATGTAGGCCTTCTCCAGCTCATGACTACGCAATATTATCTGGTGGCATACTGGCATCTCAATCCTATATTATTTGAGGCAAAAAGATATCTATTAACAGAAATTAAAGTTTTTTATTATTCCAATATAAATGTGATTAACCAAACTACAGTATGCAGCAGCTATAAAACATTTTGTATAAAAATATACGTTTTTCAATGTTACACAGTGGAAAGCTAGCACGTAAGTGTATATTAGTCGATTACAATTTAGGTCCATACAGTGATTTAACGTAATAAAGTAGCCTACTAACTACAATAAAAATAAAATGTTGTGACACCATACCAGGTGGTTTACTACAAAAATAAGATATCAATACAATAACTGTATTGTAAATCGTTGTAATATACCAATACACATATATATCCAAAATACAAATGATTCTTGTAATATTCTACGGAGTACTACGTCTGATACATGTCAAGAATTATATGGTTGGTTGGAGATAAATCATAACATAAGTCGATTAAAAAGTAAGTGATAGACTTTGATAACTAGCAAAGTATTGAATATTTACAAGATCAAAATATTGTATAATACGTAGTTTTTTAAATTCAGTCTAATATAGTAACAGAGCACGATGCAGAGTCTTTTAACCGTAGTGGTACATGGTCGACAAAAAATTACAAGTGGAAGTTTATTTATGCTAATATTAACATAATTCTCTACTAATAAAATGTAATATTCCAGTTTCTGTACACGCCACGCCACAAAATTTATTTGACGTCACAAAGAAGTGCCACGCCGCGAAGAACCCAATGATCAGGTGTTTGCACTGTCTTCAGCTCAACGTCAGCAATATAGTTGAGATCTGTTCTTTGCGGTTTCTTGTATATTGGACAAACATATGGTTTCTGGTCTTTGTTACCTGGAAATTAAAGATATTAAACATTTTTTATTCAAAACAGGTGAAATCTATATTTCTCAATTTCTCAAAATATTGTAGGTAGTAATGTACCTCCGGTCAGGCATGCGATGAAAGACTTTTAAGCGTGTTTACTCAGGTGACATATATTTTAGATAGCGATAATTACTAGACTATCTAATTGCTATGTTTTCATAACATTCATTCATAGGCATATTTGGCGATGATAATTCCTATTGTCAGAAATTGAGAAATTCATAAAAAGGAAATTACCAGCCATTTTACAACATAATTATCAATATACTAATATTTTCAAGAACAAAAAAACACCATGATAATAATACAAGGGACGAAAACCTTGTATAAAACATCTGGTTTCGTTTATTGAATGATTAGTACAAATAAATTTGAGATTGAGGTTATTTAAATATAGCTGACCAGCAGAGTTTCAGTGTATAAAGATTACAAAACGGATTATATTATTTGTTCTACTTGACTTCTTAATCTAAAAAATAAACAGATTCTAAAGGACGGAAGGTCAGGTGTGATCGATTAATTAATTGCAGAAAACGTCTGTATCGGTTAATGACATCGACGGGCCTATTTTGTAGCTCTCATTACGCAAGAGATACAGTGTTTGCTAATTGGTTTTGCACGGCTATTGTCAATTTGAACCTCGTCGTTTCAGGCCAACGTGAACCACTGTGTTTTTCAAATATAAAGCAATACTCAATGTGACAATATGCGTAGATGGTTTCAATTTCAAGTTTATAAACCAACCAAACGTTTGGAAGAGAATACAAGCATAGCATTATATCAATGTCGAAAAGGATACAATTAACTAATTTACCACATATACTCTTTGTTAAATATAACTTTTTAAAACGATAAAATGATATCATACCTGATCCAGATGCACTGACAGCATTAATGAGAATGATTGGCATCTGTTCAAATAATACTTTTGATCTTGACTCGATAAGTTTCATTCCCCGTTTGTCCCACGCAGCTCCTTCAAGGTACAAACCGTAAACGTATACGCCCTCTTGTGGAGGCAAATTGACGTCTTCCTTGTTCATGAATTTTGTAACGTCATTGTATATTTTCACACTGTCGAGTGCCCAGCCTTTGTGAGCTCGAGTTACCTCCTGTAAATTTAAATTGATAGTTAGTAAGCTGACAATTTGTATTATCAGTTAAGTTCTACTGAAAACTCACCTGCTTCATTGCTGTTAAGAATCCTTGTGGATTGAAGAATCCGGTCATCCAAAATGAATTTGGTCTTCCTTCAAAACACCAGCTGTAAAATTGTGAGTTTCTTTCTAGCAATTCGGTGAACCAGAAACCAAGAGTGCTGGATGGCCAAGAAATCTGAAAAAATATTAATTTGCTTTAATAATACAAATGGAGCAAATCCATCAAATTTGATTTTGCACTCGATAAACTCACAGAAAGCCACTTCTTTGGAATTCTCGCATCGTACATGCAATCTAGAGCATCCCTCAGATTTTCACTCATAATGATTGTTCCTTCAATTGCCAGCTTAAGGTCAAGTAGAGTTGATCGCACAGTATGTATTACCTGTTTATAAACACAGTATGTGTTAGTGCAGAATACCTTTGTGCTATTCAAAACGAATGCAAAAGCATTTGCTGAACACAGTAAAACAACAATTATATCAGTGGTTCTTAACCTTTGTGAGCCTGCCAAACCCCTACGCTATTCCGCAAGCTCCTGTCGAACCCCAAATTTTCGAACTAAAAGAGCAACCTAAACTTATTATTAATTAAGAGAAATCATGATAGTTAGTTGGCAAAATACCATAACCACTTGTTCTTTTCGTATACTAGTCAGGTATTATTATTTCGTAATCGTCTAAATTACATAAACATGATAGTAAAAGATTTGAGACCTACTGTAAAGATAAGAAAACGGAAAATATCCCAAAATTATGCAAAGTTTACTAATAACGATTGAAAGTGTGATTCGATCGTCCTTTCAGTCAAATTCTTATATAATACCAGTATTATAAAACGAAGTCTCTTGTGTAATAAGATTGTGAGAAGAAGTAGTTTGTTATTTCAATATTAAAAATATCAATATACCTTTTGCATTCTGTCGATTTCTTGTCTCAAGAAAATATTCATTGGTTTCAGGATTCCCATTTCTTTGAGACGCTCTTTTACCTAAATGAAGAATCGAAGTTTTGTTGAGACATAACTTTCCAATATGATATCAACGCATGGCTAAATATTAATAGCACCGTTACAACAAAATTATAAATAGCATAACATTTTGTGGTATACTACTCACTTCGTATGGAACATATGCCTTCGGAAGTTTGCCAAGCATATCATCTGCAATTCGGAACACGTAATCTTCTCTTGTTTCTCCGCCCCCTGAGCTGCTATCCTTCGGCTGAACACTGAGAATTGTGTCTAGAATATTCTTTGCGCTCTTTGTTTGATAAGTAATATCTGCATTAGGATGCAACCCAAACACTTCGGGTGTGTCAGTCGATTTCAGTTCCTGGGTGAATAAAATATGAATGTATAAAAAATAAATTCAGTTAGTTTAGCAGTAGAAATATATATCTTTAGCTGGTATGTTAAAAATGGAGGAATAATTTATCGTCATCACGCCATATGGGTTTTGAAGCCCATGCTTGTCAGCTCATTCAAAGGGTGATGAATGGTTAAACCATATCAATTTGTAAGATGGTATGTCAAAATTGGAGGAATAATATATCGGCATCACGGGATATAGGTTTTGAACCCCGTGATCGTCAGCTCATCCAAAGGGTGATGATGATTGGTTAACCCATAGCAATTCAAAACTATTTCGTTACTTCCGAAAGAAAGTTTTTCTGCGTATCAGTGACTGCTCATCAGAGTGTTGTGTAGAGTAAATTTCCTTGTAAAATTCTGAAATATTTGATTATTTTGTTACGCTTACCTTGATGTAGTCAAGATATTGAATCACGGTCTTGCAATGCGGAATCGAATATCCTTTGTAGAACACGAAGTTTGAATGAAACATCGCTTCACTAAACCATACTTTAGCAAAAGTGTTCAGCAAACGTTTATCATAATCGTCTGTTACTCGACCACCATATTGAATCTCACCTAAAATTTGTTAGAACGAAAAATACAAGGTTTGGCAAAACTCAATATACAACAAATAATAACCAATGATAGAATTTACATATATCATGCTAATCATATGGCGTGGCCTTGATTAAAATAAGTGTTGTTTACGTATGCCCACAATTCTAATCAACGGATTCGAAGAGTTCCGTCTGACCCAGAGCCATAAATATCTCTGAGTTTGACTTGGTTATGACAAAATTGACTAATCCAAAATATGACACCGACTGCCCAGCTCAGCGACGGAACAAACAAAATACTGCAAGTCATTTACTTGGATTAAAATTTTAGTCCAACCTTCTTCAGTAGCCTAACATTTTGAATTCGGTTTATGTAAGAGCACAAGCTTCGGTTCTACAATGTCCAGGGGCGTAATCTAGTCAATTTCAAACTGTAACTTAAACTTATCTTACCTATCATGTACCGGACAGTGTTCCATGAAACTCCCTTCTTTATATCCATATCATCCAAGTGATTTTGAAGGAATTGGACTGTAGCATTGAAATCAGCTTGATTGAATTCATACGGAATATTCCAACCAATTGGTCCAAACTTTCTTCTCTCTTGCACGGTCGTGTGTAGAAACGCGACACCGTACAACAGAGGTTTCCATTGTGGCATATTCGACACTTCAAGCTGATCTTGGCTTATAGCTAAAGAAAATGAAAAATGAGTATTAAAATGAAAATTATAAATCGAAGACGGTAACAAAGAATTATATGATACGCGTGCGTTATCATGAACACATTGTTAATAAGGAAATATACAGTATTTTTCAAAATACCTATCTCAGTTTTCTGACTTAGCTATTTAAAGTACTCAGCGTTCAGAAATAGAATATTGCCACACATTCTTAATTCATTTAAACCATATGTGCGGTCGATTTATAAAAAACTCTTAAACTTTATAATGTAATCTGCAATACGAATGTATATTTTATGTTTAGTTCCAACGTTTGATATTCTTATTATAATCTATTCTAAACCGAACGCTGATATAAGGCTGAAAGTATTCCATCAAAGAATTCTATTCCAACACAATATGAGTCGCAGTGTAACACGGTTTTTAACCATATTTAAATGCCGTTAATGTTTACTCACTTGAATACGATCTTTTCAGCCCAGCTTTTAATCCTTGCGGAGGATCGTTCGTGAATTTGTTTGACATTTGGAGAAGCCCAATGGGAAAATTGGGGTGAATTTCGGTCGTAATCCAAAGTTGAAAAGATTCATGAATGTCTTCCGTCTCAGTGAGAATCGTCATCAACTCATTCAAGAAATCTAGAGCAAGATGACAATTCTGAAGCAGTGCCCATCCGCCCTAGAAAAGTATGCATACATTGGTTATAAATATGGCTGAGGTATATTTGACAAATGGAGATTTTCCGTGGCAGATTCATACTTGCCACGCGCAAACGTCACAATATACGAATGCATGACATCACAGTATTTAGTGTTATGTGTCGACCTCTGACGGGGTTATATTGAAAACATCAGAGTACGTCAAATTGTGCAAAAGGAATAGAACACACGTCGTTTGGTATTCATTCCCTATGCCCTCAAAAAAAATATTTTTTTCATAATTGTTGGAAAAGGAATGTTGATACCTGTGTCATAGCATTTTGTATCAATCGCCTGGCATGGACTTCTTGACCTTGTCCCATACTAACATTCCCACAATCAACTTTATGTTTTTTTGCCAGCATTTCTATCTGGTTGGTCGGATCAGATCCCATTGATAAGAAGCAGAGTAATGGAGTGCGTGGATTGCTTTCTGACAACATTTCTTCCAGATTCAACAACACACTTTCTGCGAATTGCTCTCCCAGTGTTTCAACGATATATTTACGACTCTAAATCAAAAATGATGAACATGTTAACGTAAAGGTGTTACTTTCTAATTACTTTGCCTAGTAATGGACTTTATCTTTTTTCTAGAAATATGACAACTACAAGTGTCCCTCTGTAATTATATTTGAACCAATACACTAGAGAGAAATTCCCCAGCGCTAGGGCACACTGAACGCAGTAATTTTAAGTAATTTTACATATTGTAGTTATCGTTTTTGTTTTATTGTTTCTCATCTTAAATGCTGTGTATTTAAGATAAGTAACATTCATGTATTCATTTTACATTTCTATGTCGTTTACTTCCTGTTGCATAGTGTCTGCTTTTATTGTTACGTAACAATAGAGGTAGACACTAATTGCATTAATTGTGCGAGCTGCAGTTTATTTACGTGCCGAGTATTTTTTTAGTATTTCAGTATTATTTCATTTCAGGCAGAGATGAGAAAGAAGAGTTGCCATTTTGCTATTATTGTTTGGGCCTACATGTTCACAAACTTCGAAAGACGTACCGACCACAAAATTGAGTTTTATTTAAAGGCGGCAATTTTTTGCATCGTGCAACACCTACATAATTTATTAAACCTTCGGTTTGGTGGTGGGGATGGGTTCCAACCCGTGACTAACAATTACTGATTTAAATTTGATATACCTGTGCCATTGTTCTGTCGGGGCACCAAGATCTTATCAGCAACAGTCTGTGGAATACTCTCAACGATTCTTCATAACCATCTGGAATAGTTGTGTTTTCGGGACTTTCCTTGTCAAACCAGTTTTTCCACTGACGCTCATTTCTTTGCACCTGTCAAACACAAGAAATTCGTTAGTAAAAAGTACAAACAAAACGACATAACAAATATACAAAACAATATATAACTATCTTTATAAAAAAAAAATTGCCCATCTAACATGAAAGAAACTAAGTGAAATAATCTAGCATTGTCAAAAAAATCACCTGGCTCAGGATGTCTCTGAAGTTTTGCAATTTTGAGAGTTCAACCAAGTTCATCCATGTCATGTCCAGAATCCATTTGCAAGGCTTAGGAGGGCAACTTTTCAAATCCAAAGACGCACCACCTTTAAGCAAAAATGAGAATAACCATTACTGATGCACAAACATAAATTTGGACGTGCAATACACAATATTCCAAAGAAAATTGTTTTTCTAGTAAATCTATTATTGCAAAAAGAAAACAAAAAGATAGCTAACGTGGCAAAACCAAAAACTTTATTGCATACGGACCTTTGATGAATGTGTTAAATTCTTCATGCTTTATTCTCTTCGATGCCAAATCAATTTTCAGAGCTGTCAGAATGCTGAACAATACTTTGTCTTGTTCGTAAAATCCTTGAGCAGAATACTTGTAAACATCATACGTCATTGCTTCAATAATGTTCGCGATACGTTTGCTTGTTATCGGACTCTTTGCAGATCTGATAATTACAAAAGAGTTTAAATAATCCAGAGAGAATATAGAAGAGTCATAAATAAAATAGCAAAGTCTATGTCGATGTAATATCACGGATTATTTGTGCGGACCTAGTTGGCAACGATGTTATCTATCGATAGCAATGATTTATAATTGGACGGTTACTAGCAAAATTCAAGCATGACCCATCTATCATGTTGTCATTATATTATTGACACAATTCCGTTCGAAAAGGTATAACATTTGACATAGGCCAGAATAAGTCTTCGGGTGAATGATTCCTCGTTTCTGTGGCCTGCATTTAAAAATATTACTGAAAGGTTGTTCGACATTCAACTACTACTCACGTTCTTAGAGCTTTGTCAAAAACAGCCAAGAACTGTTTGAGAGAAGTTTGATACATGACGTTGACAAGAGACATTTCCACGATGAGGAAATATAGAATCGATCCTCGTTTTGCAACTGCTCTGTATTCCTCTCTGGCGTCATTGATTTGAATTTCAGTTTCAGCGGCTATTTGTAGTTTTTGTGTAACCTAAATAAAAATGAAAATCATTTTTAATATAAATACTTTATATGATTGATAAGTTATAGAAGTCTGTGTCAAGTATTGATGTTGGCCATATGTATGATCAGAAGTGTCGTCCATCTACACATTCACTACTACTTGAATAGACGAAAAAATACTTAACTTGAATAAACCTAAAGCAATCTCGATAATTTTAAACGAGATTTAATTTGGACTCGGACATTAGTGATTAGGTATAAAAAAAATTTCAAAGCAATCAATTATCTAAATGTATCCTACCTCTTCAGCGGTCGTTTTTGTATTTGCAAGCATTGTTATAAGTCCTTCGTCATCAATTAAACTTCCTTGTGTTGATGATAATCTTGCCAGTAAATTATCTTCTAATTCTTGCATTTTTCTTTTGTTCAACGCAACATCACTCAACAATTCAGTTCTCTGCTTCTCCAATTCCTGAATTGAAGATTTTTTGTAATTTAGACTTAAGAGGCTGTCTGGATCATTTATCTTAGTTACTAAAAACTCATCATTCAAAAGTACTATTCTATTTCATTAAAACATTTCATACAAACTAAAGCTTTGTTAACATTGCCGAAGGTGACAGTATTTTGAATATAAATCATTAACCAAATTGCGCTCCCAAAATCTCCTTAGACCTATATATTGTTTATAACACTGTTAACAAACCTGTTTTTCAGTGAGGATAACTCTTCCCAGCAGTTGATCTTCCAGTCCAACAACAGTCACAGTAAAGTCAATGACAGATGTACGAGCATAAATCTCTGGACTGTAGGCTGGATTTGCAAACTTAGTTGTAATGAAAAGTCTAAATCCATTCATGACGTCAACTTCCTTGTCACCAATTTTAACCTGGTTGAGGTAATAAACAAATGTTTTATTAGGATTTAAAGCATTAAAGACTTCATATACATTTTATCTAGCATAAGAGATAACATGAAAATGTAAACCCTTGTTTGTTGAGATAACATGAAAATATAACCTTGTAGGTTGATCCAATTTTCATGAAGTTTTTCTCAAGGACATTATCCAAAGCAGGATCAAGTTCTTCGCCAACATCTTCGATGAGAAGTGGATGACCAAGTGATAAGGCATTTTCCAGGTGGTTTCGGAAATATTTATGATCAAGAGATGTGATCTGAACAATGGTTTAATAGTCAATAATGTTGAACAAATAATGCAAAAACAAAAGTGGAAATCATGACATTCTGGCTTACTTATAGTAAGCCAAACCTGTTCAACAAACAGTCATTTAAAATATTTTGTGGTCATTATATTCCATCACGTACAATTGAACTCGCATAACGTATCAATTTACCTGAATTTCACTGTTTTCTTCTTTCTTTTTGATCCATATTTTTCCTTGTTCTTGTGGATCGATCAATATTGGATATCTTGCAGCATTGGTCACGATAATTCCATTAGAGATGGAGAGTTCATCATTTGGAAGACCCTTTACACAAATATTAATTTGTCAACATCTAATTTCTAAAATCCAAAATTCTAATATCTAATATTTTTTTTCCGCTAATTTATTGCAAAAATAACTGTGTAAAAGAATAATAATTATATGGCTGTTAATGTAATTTGGCATTCGAAAATACTTTGCCCGTTATTGGTATATTGTGTAGAAAATGCTTTACCAGTTATTGGTATATAGTAACTAATACATGCATCGGTTTACACAAGGATTCACACAACACTTTTAGGGCTTTTAATGTGACTTGTGGCATTAAAAATACCTAGCTAGCTACTGGTATATACTAATACTAACCTGAAGGTTCCATTCACTGATGGTGGGAGGATCACTGAGCATCTCAATTAAATTTAATTGTCTCGTATGAGGAATATTTCTTGCATTCATTTCCGATATCCATTCTGTAGTTGAATTTAATATAAATATGATTTTTTGTAAATTAGCTATGATAGGTTTGCTGAAGATTTTAGATCAATGAAAGTAATTACAAATATGAGTCTAATTGAAACAATATAATTAACATAAAAATTCGACAATTTGACGTGAATAATAACATCGAACGCTAATTTAATGTTATGAACTCGATGACTCAATTTGAATACCTTTGGACAACAGGCCTCTAAACTCTTGGTTAAATGGTCCTGAGTATGACAAGAAAGCTGTAGCTAACAACACATCGCCAACAAGTCTTTTTGTTTGTTTTTCAAATTCTCTGCCTTGTTCTGTCCATCTTTGCTTCTCTCCACCGAGACCGTTGATTAAAGCTGAAGCAGTTTGCATCTTGTGACGACATTGTTCAGCATTTGCTGCCAGTTCCTGGAAAACAACATTAACATGATAATGGGTTATCAGTTATAATTTGAATTCGGTGTTTTAAGAGCAATATACAAACCTGTTTTTCTTGCACTGCTGCTTCATATTTTTCCTGCACTGCAGCAAGTTCTTTCTCCTTTTCGTCCAATTCATCTTGAGCATTTTTCAGATCAACCATTGCAGAATCGTATTTAGCTTGCTGCGAATAAAGATTTAGATGAAACGATTAGAGTGACTCATGTTGGAGCAAAACCAAAATCTAAGCAATATAACTCATTAACATGAGACTAATTCAAGATGGATGAAATAATAATTCCTTTACCTGTACAATCAGATTTGCTTTCAGCGGCAAAACTTCTTTGTTGATAGCATAGAAGTTTGCCATAGCAGTTGTCCATGAACACAATCCAGCTACATTACCACAAACTCTTCTTGCTGTTTCCAGGTTGTAGTCAGGTGCAGCAAAGTATGGCTGCATGAGTTCAACGACCTATTATAGTCAAAAATGAAAGAATCAGCTAACTGGTGATAACACTGAAAAAATGTTGTAAATACTAGTTTGAATTGTTAAGTCGAATCTCATAAAAACATGCAGAATATAAATTTTCAGACACGGAGTTCGAGCGTTGCTGCAAGAGAAGTAGTAGTATAGAGATATAAATTGAACAAATTTTACCACGCTGGGACAGTGCTTAGTAGTGCTCCTGGGCCCTCGTCAGCTCCACACCTAGTCTTATCGAATATACTATTTAACTTGTCACGATAAAGTTAACTTGATTTTTTTGTTGTCAGGTGAAAGTATCATTTAGTTTTAGAGTTACACTGTTGTGAAATAGGAGAATCCGTAAATAATTTACCTAATAACACCTAAATAATGATCGTAATTAAGTTATGGCTTCCACGAACGTAATAGGTATAAAAATGCAAAATGTCCCAAAGGAGCGCACGATCGTCCATACTGACGATGACCGTAACATTTGACTCAGTGAATAAATAACGTTTTAGTTTATCCAAACCTCGTCGGTGATAGAATCTTTGTTGAACTGTTGTAGATTGTTCAAGAATCCCGTTTCGGTCATCATTTTCATTGCTTCGCTCCAGGAAGGTTTGATAGTTGGTTTTTCTGGATCTTGTGTGACTGAATCTAATCTCCGTTGAAATAAGATAAGTACACAATCCATGATTCTCATAATGAGATGTGGTGGACGACCAAGTCTAAAATACGCGATTCATCAATGTTATTAGACGGAAAAAACTCGAAATAAAACAAAATACAATTGTATTTTGTTTTATTTTTATATTCAGGCGTTTCATCACGATTCCACATTAGCAAAAAAATTAATATTCCCTGTATTTTATGTAATGGTGTGACATATAAATATCAATTTCTGGATACGGTAACATAATATTTTCTAATGTCAATGTCATTTAAAAAGACTTGTTAATCTAAATTTTCATACTGTTTGCAACCTACCTTAAACAAAGCATTGCTGTTCTGGTGTTGTTATTATATTTTTCAAAATGGTACATATTTAATATCGATAGTATCATACCTTCGCACAGTTGCAATGTCTGCTTGTGTGATGGTTTTCAGAGCTTCCTCAGCTTGTTCCAATGCTGGTCTCGCTTCTTCGAGTTTTGCTTCAGCGATTTGTTTATCAGCAGTGATGTTGTCAACGAGTGCTTGTGCTTTATCTTTTACTTTTTGTACTTCAGCTTTTACTTTTTCTGCGGCTTGAGCTTGCACAGTAACCTGAAGTATTGATATAATTGTCGCATAAGACGATCGTTCTACGCGCTGTATGTAAGATTTTCATGCTGTCACAAATATATGAACTAAATGCTTCTTCACAAACATAATATGGTTTAACGTATATGCCACTGTTTGTCTAGACTCTAGACCTGACATCGGCAACTACGGCCCGCGGGTCAAATTCGGCCCGTCGGATAATTCCATCTGTCCCGCCTGATGCTGCCACGCCCAAACTAAAACCAAATTTTGATGTTTTAGCTAAAAAATAACTCAAGGAATTTGTTGAGATTTTGATTAAATTTAGTTTTGGCATGCGATTTATTGATTTCCACTTTTGCTTTTATAAATATTGGTCATAAAATGTAACTACTTTTTACGTCACACTTACATGGCCCTTTAGTCTAGGTGGGCGAAATTGCCCATCCCTGGTCTATACCCTTGATTAAGGTAAAGGATTGATATGAAATGTAGTGTTCTATACGCCCTAAAAAATTTTGCGAGATGAATCGATTCAGTATAAGGGTGTCGTTTGTTTAGAGTTTGTACTTGATACTATAAGCATTGCTAACGTTGCACAATTTTATCAATATTATTGCAAAATAAAATGTTTACTTCTTCCAAAATCTTTTGTGCTTTCGCATTTGCAACTTCTAATTCTTTTTCTTTGACAACAAGTTCTTTGCTTAAGCCTACAACTGATTTTTCAGCTTCGTTCAGTTTATCCAATCCTACTTTCATACGAGCAGACTGATTCTCCACTTCCTGGTAACGTTTGGCATAAATTTGCTTATATCCCTGAAATGATCAATAAAAATAAGCCTGAATAATTTTTGTATTGTACAACAACACAATAATCAATATTACGCTTTAATTATTAACGTTTATAAATGTACAATTTTGAAAAAATGACCTGTATGAAAGATAAGTACGACTTTGGTGTAACATGAGTTGAACGTCTGAATCTTTGAAAATATTCTCTGCATTTCAAAGCAACTCCATCATGATACAATCCCATTGTCTTTTGAATCTAAAATAATGGCATAACTTTTTATCTTTTGGTATGGAAAAAAAACAAGGGAAAATTCAATCTACAGTGCGGATTGCATTGTTTATATAACAGATTTACAATTTTCATATTCGCTCTATAAATTATGTTTTGCAATAATACACCATAATATATATATATTTATTATGAGCTCAAAGTTTATAATTATGAGAAATATAAATTTCAGCTAAACGGCAATACGTCGTGCTGTGTTCACAATTTTAGAAAGAAAGGTTATTTAATTTTCTCTTACGTCATCTTTGATCTTCTCAGAGCAGTTGATTTCGAACGAATGTAAGAAATGAGTTGATACAGCAATCAACGCGTCTTTCGGCCATCTACTGAACCAATCCATTGTACAACCAGATATTAAAGCAGGAAATTTCAGCGAACGATTTCGGAATTTCTCTCCTATAAAATTATTATATACATATATGAAAATTGGAAGATAGTAAGATTCATTCCATTTTATTATTGGTCTCATTATTGGTGAATGAATTGACGACTTTGCTTCTAACAACACAGACAAATACAAAACAAAAAGCCCCTTAGACTCCTATAGTTACTCATCTTTGATACAGATTTGAAACATCTGATTTTGCAGTTGTATCTTAAATTGCATGCTAAAATCGCTTACCTATAGGAGAGAAGCATAAAACCACATGAAGATTCTGTCTGACTCTGTTCATGAAGTATTCATAGAGATTCTCATTGGTTGGTGGGTGTCTTGGCATCTCTTTCTTCATGATTGGAACTAGTTCCTGTAGAAAGATGAGACATCTGTATTCATGATCTAACTTGCAAACTTACAAAATTTTTACAGAGATAGTTATAATACTAATGCTTTATACATATATATATATTTATTTCATTACCTGTCAATTATATATTTCTGCTAATTATGTCCTTTTTTACCTGTAAGACTTCATCCATTTCGTCTCTTGCAAACAAGTTAGAAACTTCACCAGATGAGAGTATATTATTCATGTATTCGAGGAATGAATCATCCTTGATCTCATTATCAGTGAAGATAAAAGTGATGCCTTTGCCCTGAAATAATAGCAATATTTCATGAATAGGAAGGTATACACAGTTTGACAAAGTTATCACAATACCTAGATAATATTCAAAATCATTTCAATTTTAAAACTACTTATCTGAAAAACAATTCTTTTTAAAGTATTTCATGATATAACGTACCTGAAGACCAGCAATCTTGTATAGAATTTTGAGATCATCCATCAAGTTACTTGTGTTGTATGATCGAGATAAAGTTATTTGAAACACTTTATATCCAGCAATGAACGAAGCAAGCTTTGTCAGACTTTGTTTTCCAGAACCTAGAATAAAATAAGCACAGTAGTTTAATTAATTTGATCTTTAAACTATACTGAATATTGAACAATCACAATGTTACTATCTTCAAATGCCATCCAAGTTGATCTTATGTTAAGCATTTGTGATCATATTTACCTCCTACACCGACCAACATTGCGTTCCCTCTCGGTGTTCGAATGATTCTTGATATCTTGATCATATGAACCATCGCATCATGGAAAAATACAAGATCCATTTTTGAGCCTCTAATTGTTTCATTCAATTGTTCCATATACCTAAAACAACAAGAACGGAATGATATACTCTCATATGAAAGAGTTCAAAGTACTTCCCAACTAAGGCTAGATTCATTTATTAGAATTCATGCATAGATCCAAAAGCTTGAAATAGTGTCAATCATATTTTATGAGAAATGACGTCACGAACTTTTCGTAATTTTTCATTCTAAACGCAGTCTCAAACCAGAGCCGAGCTTGACCCGAACCTGATCATTAAGTACCGAGGCTTTGATTATATAATCTACAAAATATAAGTAGTGTTGAATGTTAGTTATCGTTTATTTTTTGTATAATTGAATATAAATCCAAATATTTCTATACTACGTAGTGAAACGCAACAGAAGTTTAGATTGCTTACATGACAAGTTTTTCCTTGAGGAAATCCATGGACGGAATAGGTTCATAAATCTTCGGAGCAGAGAAATCAAAATCTTCAGGTTCATCTCCTGTCGCCTCTGGTGGTTCTCGCAAGAAATCACAGAAATAATGATCTGGTTCAACAAATGCTGCATATTCTTCTCCAAATTCATCATTAACAATACGTTTAAGTGGTCTTGCAAACCTGAGAATTTGAACAGCGGTTTTGATCATAATACAAAGTATGTGTAATTTTGGAAAATGTGTTTGTGGGATTATAAGTGAGATTAAAATTGTGGTATACTCTTGCCAAATTCATTTACTTTTTAGTCATTTAAAAATCAATTTTGTATTGAATGAGTCGAACACTAGGATAATATAAATACGGTTTTGGTGAATTTTTTAGAAGATTTCTAAAGTCATTAAATAAACAAAAAATCTTATGAGTTTACCATTTTGTGTCTTCTTCATTGACGAATCGATCAGCTATAACACGGTTGCATTCGTGCTTCCATAATTGAAGTAATTTCTCTGGTGTGTCAATCACGTCGCTGGATACGTTTATCATTCCCTAAACATGAAGATTATTTTGCTCAACGAGTGATTTTTCGGTTTAAAAAATAATATTTGTGAAATGCTACATATATTATATACAAATTAATTAAATCACTTTTGTTTCGCCCTTGCATTTCGCACAGCGCTATGTCATGTAACGCAAACACGTTCAATATACTTTAAATATCAAATATTCAACTTAAAAGTGTTGAATTCATATAGTAGAGAATTCTAACCTGCCATATTCTGCTCAGATCACGCAAGTTGAAAACGTAGTGAAATTTTGCTGGAGTTGGAAGCATTTTTATCTTTGTTTTCTGCCAGAGATCACGAGTCATTGGAATGAGTTTTGCAACAGTTTCACGAACAGATTGCTGTATGTAAATAGAATCAGTTGAATGAAATAGTTCAATGATATTTATTTATATTCATATAATACCGTGATGTTCCGAATCCGAACTATTAATATTAAATAATACTTCACCAACTAAAATATTCGTTATTCGGTAGTCTTAATGCAGTTTCAAATTCAAACTCAAATAGCATGGAGTTATTGATTCACGTACAAGATGAAATACTGATCGATTTGAAGATTTATCAACGTTTCTTGTATTAAATACAAAAAATAAAATACAGAATCCCATTATCTTAGACTTACATCAAATCCACGTTCAGCACAGAAATGACCGAGACCAATCACTCCGAAGATTTTGTCCATCGATGCAGTTGATGGTAAAGTGCAGTTGAAAATTGCAAATTGTCTTTTCAGTCGTTGAGGAATGTTGTTTCGTCCGCCTCCGGGATGTATCATAGCGGCAATGAACTGGTTTATGAAAAAAAAACGATTATTTACACCCACACTTCAGGCAGATAGAAGCACAGCTAAACATAAACTGAACCATGGCTTTCACTTCTTACTTGCATGTCTGCAATATGTGTGAAGTCACCAGGCTTGTCCAGATTGTAAAATCCTCCTGTTTCCAACAGTTGACGGACAATTTCGTTGGTCACCTTGAATACAGAATGATGTAATATTGAATAGGGAAATAATAAAATACGATTATGATAACCTAAAAAAGTACAATTTATTTAAATTATAGCTACTTTTCAAGTTCAGTGATTGATGTTCATACTTCCAAATAGGAGTATCTCGACATAAATTATATTTATTTATATTAATCTACACGAAGGTATTCGCTCAAACTCACTTGATCTCCCCATTCATTGATAATGGGCATATTGACATCATCGATGAATACCGTCATCTTTTTTCCTGCAGGTGGTCCGTATGTACTTCCCATTCGCTTCTCAACGTAACTTTCAATAGTTCTCTACAAATAGTTATATAGATATATAAAAGATTGGACACATTAGCTCGACAAATGCAATGAAGAAGACGCCAAAATGTAAAAAAATATATCTACTATCAAGCCATTCCAAATTAAATGTAATTTTAAAATACCAACATATCCGCCCTATTTTCCGTACTTTCGTACCTGGAAAAGCAATGGAGTCGTCGCACTTGAAAAGTTGAGATTCTTAAACAAATGTTCTTCTGGATTCATCCTGGATAGGTAACTTTTCACAATGACAGTTTTCGCTGTGCCCTGTTCAAAACATCAGTAATATAATGTGAAGAGGCTCTCATGATGAAAAAAAATTAATAACGCTAGCTAAATTAGGATTCAGCTCGGAAATGGTGGAATATTAAGGGCAATATCGCATGAAGTTAACTTGAAGTAAAAGAAAATTAAAAGATGCAAAGCAAGCTCGCAATTGAATTTCGGCGTAGCACGTGCTAAATGGCGCTTGACAATTTTATTGAAATCACGGTCAGATAACAATTGACTAGAAATATCAGATGTTTACCTGTTCACCAACAAGAAGAACACCCTTTCCTTGTTTAGCAACAGTATGAATAAGGAAATCAGTCCTTATGTTGTCAACATTTGGAACCAAAATAGAATGGAAGTCCGGGGTGTGATCGGTCGGATATTTGTATTCTAAAGAAAAAGAATCATTTATTGCTCTAAATAGCACATTTGTAAGCAATGTTGGTTGAAAAAAGAAACAGTTTTTTACCTGATACATGTTCTGACCAATGTGACCACTTTCCATCAGTGCCAACCATGTAATCAAATATCATGCTTTCTCCATCATCGCGTACTTGTGGCAAATCAATCCGAAACTCTTCATGTTCTACAGAATGAAATAAAAATGAAAGTTCAAGAATTTTTGCTTTATCAAGCTTCATTTTTATCTTTTCCCGAAGAATGTAAAAATTGTGTAATTTTGAGTAGACTATGATGACAAACAAATATTCCTGTACATCTGAACATAGTATCTCGCTTGCAGAATTGCATGCTTGTGTAGATCATTGTTCGAAGGAAGATTTCGAAGCATTCAAAGTAAACTTACCAAGAAGATATGCGTGCATCTTTCTTCTATCTTCAATTTCTAGCAATGCACCAACACTCCACATCATTGAAAAGGTGAATAATTTTCCAAGAACTTCCGACATGTTTGCTTTTTTGTCTTGTTGAGGAATCAATCCGTCCAGTAGAACTGCATGTTTAAAAATTGAATGTTACCTATGTGGATACGCCTAAAACCATTGACAGTTACTATAATATGATAACATACCAATAGCCTGTTTGATAATGAAAGCTTCAAGTGTATCCATTTTGAAATCCAAGTTTTGAACAGCGAAACGATATAGAGGTGCAAAACAATTGCTGAAGAGTTGTCTCAGAATCTGCAATTGAAATGGAAAATTAGATGATTACTTTCAGAATCAAATCAATTTTGATTTGTATTTTTTACATTTAGGCGCTTTAGGTGTCCGACGAATAAAATAAATACATGACAATCTGCAACGCACATGAGTGTATGACACCGAGTTGTAGATTGCAATTGCAAAAGGAAACTCATTAATTTATATATTATTGTTCAGCCATGGTTCAGCTTTCATATGACAAACCACGTGTCTTGTCCATATAATATTACAAAAAAACATTAAAATTCTAACCGTAGCTTCACTGTCCGATCTCTTCAGAAGCCAACCTTCAATAATTGGTTCCCAATCAAGAACAGATGAACTCATGTAGACCATTCCATTTCGAGATACGGTAGCTGGTGATGCATTGTCAATATTGCTTGGCTCAAAAATAATTTTACAATTTGGTGCCATTGGAATACGATCACCGTTTGCCAGAGTCAGAGTTTTGTTGTCGTCCAAGACACTGAAATGATAAAACAAAATGCTCGTTCAAAACATGAAAGCGCCTGTAGACTGAATGTACAGTATTTATGAGTATTTCTATCATAAAGGGAACCGAGAGAATAAATCAACTCTATCAAATCCATATACACTAGGCTTCAATTGAAAGGGGGCTTTTAATCGAAGAGCACTTTTTTTGTTTGTAAAACGCACTAAATCCAAATCCATCCATTGCGTTTGATGAAAATTGTTTATGAAATTACCTGTTTAAATTTTCAATCCAAATTGTATCAACTGGTCCATCAAGTACAAGCCAGATATGTTCTCCTTTCTTCGCTTTGAGAGTTCTGCGCCAGAGCGTGCTAAAGATTCCGTCAGTCCAGTCATTGGTAGCAACATCAAGTCTTCCAAACATCTGAGGTGCAGTTATTGCTTTTGGATTCATTCTCATTTCACGATGGGGTTGCCCACAGTCTTGAAAATTGGAGTGTTGAATATTTTGTTAGTAAGGTATAATGAGACTTTTTATCAGTTTATTCGCATTAACATTTTGCAGCATACCTGTAAGTGCTTTCATGAGAGTATGGATGCAAGACGTTTTTCCAGCTCCACTTGGTCCGAGTGCCATCATTCCATGTCTCACTCTTTGAGTTTCAAACAGTTGAACAATCTTGAGAACCCATGGTGCATGGTTTATCAATCCAGCTTCAGTCACTCGGTTCTTGATGGCACCTTCCAGTTCAGGATATCCAGCTTGATCCAGTTGAATTGCTACAAACAAGAACATTGACGATAAAGTACAAAGTAACGGCAAACTTTTGGTTTAGATTAATTCAGAGATATTCTCCACTACTTCACCCATGTTGCCACGCCACAGTTGCTAATATATTTTTTTTATATTGGCATGATTTCAGTATAAAATAGATAAGTGACAATTTCTTTTTTCATTTTTGGTAAGAATTTATCATTTTCACAACAATTTGTATACTTTTACAGATAACGAATCAATCACATAATAGCCCTAAAACATTTTTTGACCAACCAAGTTACATTTATTTATAAAAAATTTCATGGAAATCACTGCTGCTTTAAGATTAAAACTATTTGTAAATTGCATTCTATTCCGCCGACGAGTAAGTTCAAATCTTGCAAATAAATGCATCTTACATGGAAATAAATCGTTGATCAAAGATAAGAACAGAGGTTCGTCTTCATCGATTAGTTTTGACAAATTCATATCTCGTAAAACTCTCATCACAATTTTATGTTCTGTGTCCTCAGGATTGATGCGTTTAGATGCTCCAAGGGTTCGTAGAACAGACAAGATGTTTCGCAATCCGAAATCATAATGCACCTACACGATGAAATTGATATCAATAATTTACTCTCGATCTCTACATAGATACCCTCACTTCGTTCCATAATAAAGGGGTGGATCACTTCGATGTTTTCGAATAATATTAAGTTAGTTTATACTCAAGTTGACTTGTAACATATTTGCCATCTTTCTAAGCCAGTTTCATTTCTCAACAGAAGGTGTTTTCGAGTTTTAATTTATAATGTACATGTTTGAAAAAGCAAATTATTCGTAATTTTTTTTGGAACAATTTCACTTGCATTTTCATTATCAATAAGGCAACGATTGGTATGTAATAATTATACTCGATACGTAAAATTTATTGGAGAATATAGTCACCTGCTTAGTAAGCTGTTCTTCGCAAAGTTTGTATAAAATGTAGAATTTTCTGGCAAGAATTATGTTTTCCTTGAATCCAACAGCAGCCAGTTTAACCCTGGAAACAATAGAAGGAATAGTTGACCACGATATCATGGTATAGGAAACGTTTTATTTAGCTAAATTCTAGTAAAACACTAAAGATTTTTGATTCTTCTATAGTGTAATACCTGATAATAATCTGTCTGTCAGGCACCATCATTGCAACATTTCTAAAATTGATTTTCAAGTTCTCTGGCAATTCTTGTCTTCCAGCATATCCAGGATTCATGGTCAAAAATATTCCAAACTCGGGACTTAGTTCAACCTTTAAATAAAATTTACATCTCATATATGTTTCGATACTATTCACATAACATTAACCCATTCACGTGGATTGTTTAATTCATGCAGATAATACTGGGCTCACTAAATCTTTTCGTCTATTGTGTTTTAAAAGCTGTATAATACTAAAATAGTTTGCAATACTTCATATTTCTCTTATTTACCTCATCTCCATCAGTGAATATAAATTTCGATTTCCTTTCTTTCTTTGCTGACAAGACAACTGCAATCTGTTGTGCAGCTACTGACAATACTGGAAGTTCAATACGGTTGAATTCGTCGAAACATCCCCATGATCCAGACTGTGCAAGACCTAGTAAAGATACGAAAACAAGTCATAAAATATAGCTGTTACTTATTGAATTGTATAGATAAGTAATAAAACTTCCAAAACTTAATTTTTTGTGAAATAATGAACCAAAAAAGTTGAAACTTTAAAGACTTCAATCCGATCAAGCAAAGGCAGATACGTAGAGAGTTACTAATTTTGTAAGGAGCGGCACATTCTGGTATGACGTTGTCTACCCATCATATTACACACGGGGGATATGGTCAGCATATGAAATGAACGCGAGATCTTTTGACCTGCAATGCCAACATAATTGGGCCTAACGCTCCACTGGGTAGACCATTCTGCACATTCGCTGACGTTTTAGCGAATTTGTAGCACTCGTTACTATCTATGATCATAATTGATCGAAATTATGATCATACAAGAAATACTTCAACAATATGTTGAAACATACCCTTGAAAATTCGACCCAGGCCTCTAAAATCCATTTGATCAGAGCAATTAAAAACGACAACATATTTTCCAAGAGCTTTCCCCATATCTTTTGTAGTTTCAGTTTTGCCAGTTCCAGCCGGACCTGCAGGTGCTCCTCCCATGTTCATACCAAGGGCTTGAGCAAGTGTGATGTAACATCTGAAAACGATCAAAAAGTGAGATTATATACGAAAATCTAATATAAAAAATGAAAAAATTTATATGTGTATATTATACCTATCAGTCAGAGGAGTGATTACAAGTCTCTCAGTGCATCCCAGGAATTCGTTTTGATATTCGAAATTGACGTCAGTGATAGAAATTATTGTTTTATTTTTGTCTTCATCAAAGTAAAATCGACTTTGCTTTTGCCATTCGAAGTCTGAGACGCTTTTTACGTTTTTCTTCACCTGTAATCCAAAATATTATGATGAGATATTCGTGAGAAGGGAAATTATATATTTACTGTATTTAATGTATTTTTAACATTACTATGTAGTCAACGCAGGTTGATTATCTATATTTTAATCTCCAATTGGACCACTTCACATAAGTTGTAATAAATTTGGTTAGCTATGCCTAATTTAAAATAAATTAAAAATATATATCGAGATGATGGCGAATAACAGTGCAAATAAAATAGAAATGCGTTTTTACCAGTTCGTCAAAGATGTCGCGTTGATGGACGTGTATGGTGATCAATGTTTCGTATTTCACTCTTTCATTTCCACTAAGATTCATTGTTGTCATCTCAATGAGAATGTTCAGAAGCTCTAGAAATCCTTGATTTGTTGCTTGCATTATCTTCTTGTCATATTTAGCGTTTGCCAAAGCATCTGATGCATCACGAGTCCACAACATTTGTAATCCAAGTAGACCGACCTTTACAATGACAAAGGCACGATTAATTGTCGATACAACAAAATGTGATCAAGTTTATTGATATAACTATTTGCACTTTTACAATTTCATGCAATGGGACCGACTTACATTTCACACACGTAAATCCTAATTTACAAACCCGAACCAGTCTTGAATCCTAAATAATTGTTCTTTAACAGTTAACAAGTCTCGAACCAAAAACTCAAGGAATGACTTGATCGATTAAATAACTGTTAAGTAACAGTTCTACAAAACTGATAATCTGGGATCATGTTCAAACAAAATCATTGTTTGTTCAATTTGCAAATAAGTATCAACCTACCATTACCAAAAAATCGTTTTTTCCCCAAACTTTTTAAACTAGCCTTTACAAACCTGTGCAGGAAAGGTGTTCAGAAATTCGATCAATTGGAAATTAGTGTCCTGCAGTGCGAGATATGCTGTCTTGATCACACTATGAAGAGAAGCTTTAGATTTGTTTAGAAGTTGATTCAACCACACTTCAACATTTCCTTCAGCTAGTACAGGTTGTATTAGATCAATTGATTCCCCTTCTCGAGAATTGATCGCCAGAATCTTGTCATAGAACTAAATAAAAAGCAAGAACTTGTACTTTTTCAAGAGTAAATTATGTTCGTGATTATAACAAACGAAAGAACTGGTATTAAATAACAAAATTAGGAAATATTCTCATATGAATTCTTATTCTCTCATATATGCATGAATGCTAGAAACTTATTATTAAAATTAATAGTATTGTTAAATTCCTCAAATGTGACAATAGTAGCAGAATGTATCTTCGATTTACAAATGTTTGGACAAAATGATTACCTTTTCATGAAATTTGACAGTCTTGATGTTGTCAAATACATTCAATAAATGAGCTTGAATTGTATGTGAGTTACTTGCTTGTCCCAGTATCTCAAGCAACACAGGATCAGACACGAAGAAGAAACGTGGAAACAGAAGGCGTTTTTTCTCCAAATATCTGAATACAAATATAATGTTAGCACGCTCATTCTTGAACGAACTATACCACTGGTCCATTTGTAGCCTTCCACCGATGGTGGAGCATTTATAAAGTAAATAATCACACGGAGACGAAATTTCACTCAACGAGCTACCTAAATTGAGTATGGAATTTGAAAAGCTTGTTTCGTCGACAATTCAAATCTTTTCTTCTATATTTCAATTTGTAATTATCTATTTAAATCAAGCATTCCTTTGAAAAGCTAACTAAGTATTTAATTTACCCAGTGAGCGATTTTTGACATAATTCCAATTGTTCAAGCAAGTGTGGTAGAAGCTGATGCATTGTTTCATCACCAACACAACATTGTACAACGTTGGTAGTTTCGTGAGCTCTTGTCATAATTCTGACCCAAGTTTTGTCAATATTTGAAAAACGTTTTGCCTCCTAAACACATAAAAGTAGAAAATGAGGTAGATACTGCATTAAAAAGATAACATTATAACGACGAGTCTTTACACCGTTTCGAGCAAAAACTTCCTGCTATCTATAATGCTCCATGCCATCCGTATACACAAACATTGACACAGATGTTTTCAGTCACAAATGCTGACAAATAAATATATAATATTTTTCGCAGAATTTAACTCCAAAATTAGAAAATGAGAATACATCAGTTTGTAGTTAGTTAAAGCAATATATATTTGTCGAGTTCAATTGTTCTAAAAAGAGAATAAAACTTAATTAAACTCCAATCACAAACTGTACATCATACATTATCTTGCTATAATTATATTAACATGTTACCTTTGGCAACTGTTTCGCAATATCCCCACCAACAAATACAGCTTCCAAATAAACCCATAAGTTTTGCACAATCATCCAATTTTCAATAATTTCTGTTGTATTTGTTAGATTTTGAACCCACTTCTGGATGGAAGCCCGGAATGGGGTATTGTATCTGTAAAATATTGAAAAAAAATAGATAAACAAAATTTGATTATTAATAATATTGACAGGCAATTACTTTAGCTCATTTAAAGTTTCAGTCAGTTTAATATATTCTATAAATATTTATAAACCAGTGGCATAAATAAGTAATACTGCTATAGTATGATATCATCAACATTAAATGGGCGAACAACCTGTTGCTCATCAAGGAGCTCAGTATCATCAAGCTATCTTCAAGGGCTGTCACGATTTCAGTAGTATGATCTCCTCTCAATAGCAACTCGCCTCGACTCTTGAAATTTCCGAAGACGAATTCGTGTCCACCCCATTCCGAGATGACCTGACAAGAAAGTTGACAATACAGATGAAGTCTTTGCATCTGATGCCTTGATTATGTGTATAAGGTTTCAGAAATTAAATTTTACTGCGGTTTAGACAAGTTTTACCGATTTCAGTTTCGCTTCGATATCTTTCTCTTTGACGGCAGCAATGCAAATATCTTCAATATCTTCTTTGTGTTCAAGTAGCGGTGCTTCCATGATATTTCGTAGCATAAATGCCTCATTTTCAAAGTCAAATTCATGCTCGGTAATCTGTTATGAATAAGAATAAAATATGAAGCGAGAATTTGCAATAACCATCGAATGTCATATTATATGCAAATGTCTCTATATTCACCTTAGCGATCCTGTCCCAATGTCGTTGCTTCATAGCCTTATTTGACATCAATTCAAGCAAGGGGCATGTCTCAGAAAAATCGTCAATTTTGGTCTTCAGGTCCTGATATGCTTGCCATTCACGCAATGCACGAGGAAGCTTTCTGCATCTAAGAAATTAAAAAGTAGATTGTTTAGTGTGAACTATAAGTATTTACCCTTTGTGTATATTCTATACCTATACAAATATGGTATTGCAGATTTATCAGTTTAACATACCTGTTTTGAAATTCCAGCAATTCATCATTAATCTTATCTATGTCGATTTCTACCCATAATATGTCATAATATCCATTTACGGTGTTCAGAACGTTGTTATATAATCCGTACAGTTTTTGAAGCAATGAAAGTTGCTTTCGGACTTCATGTAGTTCAGGATATGGTGTGACTGGCAACCCAAAAAGCTCCTCTCCACCTGGTGAAATTTATTGTACAAATTTGCAATCAGGATAACAAACACTGTCAAATGAAATCTTTTACGGACACCAGAAGCATTATTATCAAAATGCAAGCAAACCTGAATATGTGATGAACTTTCTCCATATGGTGTCAAAGCGATTTTGGTATATAATAAGTCTATCACTTGCCTCCTGTGGCTGAACTCCTTCCACCATGGGTCCATTCTAAGTAATATATATATATAATTCAATGACTTAATAAACATAATTTCTTCTCTATAACACTTTATTTTGCGAGGAAAATTGCTTAGGTAAGACCACATTTTATATTTAATACATAATCACAGATAGTATCGAAAAATGACTAACCACTGTAACGTATATAATTAATTTTTAAAATATCTGCTCATTTACCGCTTGGTAACTCCCATAGAAATCGCTGAGATCTTCTTGAAATACTTCAATACTGTCGACCAGTTCTCCCCTAAACGATGGTTGTATATCAACAAGATTATTTTGAACTTCTGTAGCTTGCACGAGAAGCTTCTCCCATGTGTAGCGCAACAAATCAACTCTTTCTAACTCTTCTTTTGTCACAGGAATGTTGAATTTTGTCAAAATGTTGTAAGAATTCTGAAAAACAAAAATACCATGCACGTTTACTTCAATAAAAAGTACGCACCAAATTATTTTCATGGCCTCACTATATATATCATAAAATCGGAATAAAGTTTTTCGTTTTTACAGAATTTTCAAAGCCCAAATTCCTTTCGAAAATAATTGTTCGCCAAAGAAAGTTTTATCACAGAAATGACTTGAATTCAATACCTCAATAGGTCCAATAACCATGTCAATGTCGATTTGTCTTTCTCGGATTTCTTTCAACGTTCCCATCAATATACGAATGTCATCGAGATCTTTCACTGGTCTACTCAGTTTTTTCGCCACGTCATCAATAAACGACAGGACGTTTTCCATTTCAATGCAGTACTTCGCATTGCAATCACGTCCGAAACTCTTCATCCACTCTTGGCATTCCGTGGTGAGCGCCAACTTTAAATCATCTAAACATGATAAACAAAATAATTGTACATTACTTCTAGGAATTATATCATAAATATGGGCCAAGTAATTGAAGGATTTCATTCATTCAACATGTAATATTTGATCGCGCACAAATAAATAATGTTACATTATGACCCAAACGAGTCAGAATCATATTAATTTAGGGTGCAAAATTTAGCCTTTTTCATATAGACGTCCCTTAAATTACGACACAGATGTCAGGACGAGTTAATCATTAACACAAGTGCGTATTCTGCTGAACTACTGCAGTTGGCGTTAGGGCAAAGTCAGGGGTTCCCTCTTATTGTCTTGATGCCAATGGTAACATACGTCTTTACAATTGTTTGTTGTGTTTTATTTACCCGTATGCACCGCTACTGGTCCAGCGGAGATGATCTTTGGTTCAGAATTGATGTCATCAACCAGAGCTTTATAACGTAGTATTTCTTGCTCGTATTCTCCGACTGGAGTAGATTTGTTGCGAAATTCTTCTAGAACTTCATTTTTATCCGTTTTCCACACGAAGTGATATTTCTTGAAATGATCCAAAACGGTGTATAATTCCTAAACATTGATTAAACCAGATTGTTAGGAAATACATTGAAAAAAAAAATCACTTCATACGACAGTGATATGTCTTCTGGTTTACCTCTTTAGAAGTATTGATAGAACTGCCAATCATCAGTACCAGCTTGTTGACTTCTTTATTCGATCCAATTATATGGTAGTAATTATTTGATTGCACAACAAGGCCAGGCAGAGGCACGCGATCATCTAGTTTTGACTTTCTGGGAGTCAATCCATCTTTAACATGACTGCCGGTAGTCGACGAGTCCGATTCTCCTCCGACGCTAACGGTACTCATTCTTCTTTGCAATGCTCCAAAGGTAACGCCAGCAGCTGCGGGTGTCTGAAACAGTTGAATTAAGAGTTTCATGTCTTTGCTGCAAGTTCGTGTAAGATTTTTGAACAAACTTTATAAACTAGAATTTGGTTGGAAACCAAAGACTTATCGATCGAAGGTTAGGGGATCCCCCCTAAAACAGTGGTCTTACTCCATAGTGACACCGTGTGTCCCATCACTAATTAATTAATAACTCGCTAATTATACGACATAATCCATCCAAAATCGATAGGCTTCTGTTCCAAACTATGATGAATGCACATGCAAAATTTGGAGCAGATTCAACCTCGCTTTCGTGACATATCGCGTGTATCTAACAGACAAACAAACAAACAAACAGACAAATACCTATCAACATACTTACCGATCTTAAGATCGATAAGTAATAACTTTTAACACTATGAAAAATTACATTTGACCGAAGGACATCATCACGAAAAGCGTTTTGTTTGTAGTCTCATTTTTGTCGTTCAATTGAAAACATTTGTCGCCTACATATGACCTATTCCAAACTCATAAAGCAGTAATATTCGCTTGTAATATTTATTCATAGCATAGTTTACAATCAACTTATAATACCTTATTGAATCTATCTTTTGACCACTGCGACACGCCATGCATTACGCTGATGATACATTCAACAACGTGATTTACTGTTGATTGTACTTGATCCAGGCCAGGGCTGTACGAGATGTTCGGTATTGAAAGTATCGCTTTGATTAGGAGTAATCCAACTTTCTTGCTTTTCTTCGCTTTCATGGAAGATGCCTTTGAATCACCTTTACAATAGAATACGTTCATGTTATATTCAATTATATAGCAAGTGTGACCTGCGAACTTGATTATAAAGGGCATCGAATTTACCTGCAAATAATGTTGAGCTGGATGATGACGACGAAAGTCGCCTTCTGATCGACTCGAGAGTTGATCGAACAACTTTACTAAGAGCTTCAACTTGTCGCTGATGAAGATAGTTGAAAAGTTCGCTATAAGACAAGGAGAAAAATTATATACATATATATTAAGGTATAAATAATATATTCTGATAACACTGAAAATATTGGTTAGTAGGATTGGAATAAGAATGAACTCTTTGTAGCCGGACAAGCACTTAAGTGCTCATAAAATATGGCCCTAATATGATTGATGAGTGAAGAGTCAATATCCTTTATGTATACGTCAGACTAAGTCAAAACAAAAGCAATGAGAAACTTTTGCGTCGTTTTCAAGCATGATATATACTTGTCCGATTGTTCGTGTTCACAGTAGCACGTCATTTTTCTTTATCATATTTCAATTTTACGAGATTATATCTTGTAAGTATTTGAAAGCTAAGGAATATACAATGAATCTGTTCTTACTTAAAAGAAAGCCATTTGAGCAAGCGAGCAATCGTTTTTGGCGCGTAAACAAGCTACCAAATATTACCCGCACAATAATAAATTGCTCGCTCGCTCGAAAGTTCTCGCGAAACATGCGGTTTTTGTATCTTGAATATCTAGAGTTCCACTTGTCTGAAAGCTGACGTAATTGTCTTTTTCGAGAGACTTTCGTTTTCGCTTGGATTGATCACACCGATAACAAAACAAAACTTTCTTCAAAAAAAATTTTTTTTTTTCTTATTTTCAACGCGACACGGTTGAGCGAAAGACACAAGCGTCTCGAGCAACGGCTGGCATAAAGCGACAAATCACTCTTCCCAATGAGAGCTAAGTCAAGTTAATCACACGTTTGAACAAAAAGTTATGACATTTTTTAGGAGCGGTATACAAGACGCTCAGAGGGAGATCGGCTGAATTGGGTTTTGACGTAGTTCACTTTTGTAGTTTATTACCTAGCTTCTTCTTCCATCAAGGATCTTATGTCCTTTTTCTTTCTTCGTGCACTAGCTGGCGTTCTAGTCTTAGCACTGGATTGTGTAGATCTGCCGTCAGCCCCGGCGCTAGTTGGTGGAACGGGAGGTGTTTCCTACATACAAAAAGAAATGAAATCCAGGAAGACATATTGTAAAAAAGTTATAGCTCACACAAACCTCTTGCGTTACTTGAAAGTTCAGCAACATGTCAATTAGCTCGTTCACTGCTTCTTCGACTAATATACTCTTTGCTTGTAAGTCATGTGCCGCTTTAACACAGAGTTCCTGATAAAATAATAAAAGGTTACTAGCAAAATGTATTCGAATCTAAATTCAGCTATATTATCCCGAAAAATATGTGTCTCGTGGATCTTAATGAATTTCGTCTACATTTCAAAATTAAATACGAACACATTCATAGTATCACAGTTATTTGATGATAACGTACTTGTGTATTTTTTAAAAATTCTTGTGGTGTCATCGATTCATCATTTTTGAATTGTACCAATTTTGTCTTCATCATATCTGAAAGAACTCCTTCGATTCTGAATTTCATCAAATCAGAAATGCGATCAAGAAACAGCTCCAGTTCGGCTAAATATAGAAATGAAATTGCGTCATATACTTGTAGATGTTATTGTTGACATATACAATAGGGATTAGACTTACATAAAGCACTCCAAGCATTTTCAAGATAAGTGTCAATGTTGATGCTGGTCCAATTCAACAATGTTAATCCTGGCTCAAGCGCTGCTTCCACCTTTCCGATATGAGGGTCCATCAGAGGTTCAATAGAAGCAGGAATTTTTTTTCGTACTCTCTCATACTCGGACAGTAAATGCTAGTAATAAGTTATAGACAATGTCAAAAGTATGCATTAGTTAGATTGATAAGCAGGTTTGCAAAAAAAATATTGCGAATTCAAAGATTTGACATGCTACCCTAAAACAGATAACGCTTTCGGTTCAGTGTTACCTACCTTCAATTCGCTGTTATGTTTCTTCAACGTATCCTGTTTCTGTCGAATTTTAGTCGCAGTCAGAGGGATTTCGAGTTCCAATTTTGTCATACATCCTGTTTCTTTTATCAATGTTAACACGATAGCATCAAAGTTGACATAAAGTTCTTTAGTTTCAGGATGCTTGACCAGAAGAGATGCTTGTAAACCTTGAATATGTAATAGGTTGCAATGACGTATTTCGTTTACATTCGTTATAAATAAAAAAGAATTTGTGAATAGTATTCCTTCATTGATCATATAACATGCATTTCCCCCCTACGTGTCTCCTAGATTCTTACCTGCTTTGGCTAAATCCACTTGCCGTAACCACGCTCTGTGATAAAGTACTTCATATTCCAAAAGCACTTTGCCAATTTTGTTAAAATTACGAATAACTTTTTTGCCTTCCACAGTTTTCAAAATATCCGGTGCTTCAGCTTGCAACAATTCCATTGGCTGTTGTATGCGACGGAAAAGTTGTCTGGCCCACATTATTTTACCTTCAAAATATATACCACTGTTAAGACATCATTAAATCTGCTATAATTTATTACAGAACTAAGACAAAAAGCAGAACGAACTTACCAGCTATAGGTGGCATGTTTCTCTGCACAACTGGATCCACTTTTTCTTTGTTGTAAATTTTCGAAATATTTTCCATTTCTTTGCCGTAATTGACGAGAACTGTGTGATACTTCTCATCAATGTTCATATTGGGGATTTCCAATCTAGAATTAATAGTTAAAAAAATTCATGATTATTTTATTTGTGATTTTTCAAATGATAATCGTAAGTAGCGATATTCATACATCGTCAAACGTTGTTTCATTTCATTTACCTTTCAAATTTTCGCAACAGCTTCACAGCACGTTCAGTGCTTCCAGATTTGTCAAACTGATCATCCATGAACATCACCAACTGATTATGAAGATCGTTGATATTGTTTGTAAATTCTTCGAAATCGTCATCAAAATCTTTTTTTCTCTGATCTAATGGATTGTATTGCTTCTTCTTCATACTTGCAATTATCACCTGCGTGATTATGACCCATTGAAATATAAACTAGGTTGAATGAAGCCAGGCAAATGTTAGTCAGTGCCGAGTATGTATGACGCCACAATATTTTGACAATCAATATCAGTGACAATCAAAATCATAGTAAAAGAATCTGACAAAATGACAAATTCTCACTGGCGCCATAGACATATGAATACTAGAAGTGGAATAGAATTATGCTAAACATGCTAGTATAGTAACGTACGTTTCCATGAATTTACCTGATACTTGCTCGCTAAAGTTTCCAGTCCTTCCATATTGGATCGATCAATTGCGGAATACACTTTGATAGTTTCAAACATTGAGATAATCTTCTCTAATCGTCTAGCAAACGATGCGAACTTTCCGAAGATGTACATCTCACTGAAATCAAACTTTCTCTCATTTGGAGAGTTTTCAAGCTTTTGCTTCGTGTTTTGAAAGCATCGTGAATACTCCTGAAACAAAAGTGTTACACAATTAAATTTAATCCTATCGCTGTTTTTTGTCCAACGAAAGAATTAATTTGTGTTTCTGCTAGTTTGGGGATGAGGGAGAACGATTAAACTTCGATAGTAGGGTAGGATCCTATCCAGATCTTAATTTCATACCTCATTCAATTTAATGCATTCCTTCAATTTTTTGATGATTTCTTCTCGTTCTTGATCATAAATTCCCATTGTATCATTTTCCGTGATGTACAACTTGCAACTAGAAACCATTTGGTTTGTTACCTGCGTATATGTAAAATGTTCGATTATAGCTCAGGGGAACAAGCATGAAAGGTTATCATAACTTACCTTCACAAACAGGGATGTCATTCTTTCTGATGTGTTGTAGTAGTGACTGATGCTGTGAATCATTCGAATTGTGTTGATGAGACCTGGAAGTGATTCAATCATTGCAACAGGATCCCTATAGATAAAAGAATACTTGGTTGATATGATTATAATTGTGCGGTACTAATCCAGACATATTTTTTATATTTAGCTTATTCGTGTAATGCCAATTTACACAAAATCATAATTTTAAATATTGGTATTTTTACCTGTTGTACAGTGGAACACAGAATTTTTCAAGAGTGTAAAGATACTTCACATTGTCTTTAGCCTCATTGGCAAAATTAGTGATCCGGCCATCTAGTTCACGCCATGTCTAAAATGGGAACACTTGTTGTTAGTTTACATAAAACTTCCCCGAATTCACATACAAGTATCAAATCACTCACGACAAGAAGTTTAGATTTTGCGAATGTCAACACACTCAATGCAGCCTTGACGTTTGGACTCTTCAATTGTTCAAGGAGAAAATTGAATTTAGACATTCTTCGTTTCCAATGTTCCAATTCGGCTCTTGGGCCAATGTTATCTGCTTCTTTTCGCATTTGCTCACTCTCAGCCAGTACCTGGATAAAGGATGCCATAATGAATATGACCGACTCGTGTACAAAAGTCAACCAAAAAAACATATTATCAGCACATGGTTAAAACTGAAATATTAGTTTTATTTCAAGTAATTTTACCTTCTCAATTTGCTTTATCCAAACTCGGACACAATCTTCAATCAATTCAAGTGATTCAGAATTTGATACAACAGCTGCGCAGTCTGATGGTGTAGCCAATTTAGATAAGTCATAAGTGGTACATTCCTGAAAAAATGAACACCGTTATATCAGTAAAATTTATCGACTTGCTTTTGTGCTTTGAAACAGTCAAGAAAGATTCGTCCAATTTAATTGCATTAAAAATAGAATCAAGCTGAATCAGTGAAATAATGATCGTTTGATTAAATCCTATTTTGTTATCCGCTGTCCTGTTGTAGCTTGTACGACAAAGCTTTTTTGTATTTAAATATGAGTCACGATGGGACGAACAACCCAATTAAATCCTAATTCTTACAAATAGCCTCTATTCAGTTTCTTTCAACTAAACAGTAAAAAAGTCAAAGCAAAGGGAAAGCTTTTAGAAAATATTATCACTTTTCGGAAAGCATTTGCAAAATTACATGCCAGTGAGCGTTGAAATAAAAAAAATGCATTGCTTTTGAAATATATATCACTAATAGCCCAAACTCCGTTCAGCTCTTTTTCGAGGATGGTATTAAAAACATGTCGTTACCTCAAGCATAATTTTTTCATCCAAACTATCTCGAGCACCAGATAAGACATCTACGAAAGAATCCAAAACATTGATAAATTCTTGTTCTGTTTCTTTGCCACCAGTCGCATTTGCCAACTCTCCCCAGGCTGTTTGATTTTGTTGTAAAGCAGGAATAAATATTTGCACCAGCATCTTCTCTATAGCATAAAGTATTCCTTTCTCACCCGAATCCAACATATGCAATGTTATTTCCTAAAGATAAACATAGTAAATCAATTACCAGTTGAATAAGAGAAAATAGGTAAGTATTCCGTATTTTACAGCGTTGTTCAAAAGCTTGAGTGTTTGTCAAATCGCCAACCTAGCGTTCGACTAAGAATGAATCTCAAATTTTAAGTCGACATGTCAGATTTTGAAAATTAGATCTTGTAACCAATAATGTAGTACTACTCACTCTATGAATGTTTTCTGTTGTGATGGGTTTGTCAACACGATTTCTGAGGAAAAACACACAACGTCCTGTAAGAGCGACATCGGTTCCCTCAGTGATGAATAGTTTTGGTTTCTTCCCACGTGACGATTGTGGCTTGTCTGGTCTGCCAAGTCCGGTTAAATGTAAACCTTAAAAAGTTGAAGAATTTGTGAATTTGTGAATTTGTAACTTACTAACATTATTTGCTCAAAATATGTGATTTAGCATTTATCCATAATCACTTATGTTCTGAATTATGCAATTTTACTATAAATTCGATCTTACTTTGTTCCATCCCAGCATCGAACTCCTGGTAGAAAAACATAAGATGTGGTTTTCCTCCAACAGCAAAAAACTCCGCCATTCTATCAATCTGAGTTCCTTCGAGCAAAGATTCCTCAATTTCCGATCTGAAGAAAAACACCATAAATGTGATCACAATATATTTTGCATAAATGAAATTCATTGTAATTGTGGTATATTTACGTTTCCAGTCCCAATGAATGTCCAACGGCATTAATGATATATTCATGTCTTCCGTCGAGCTGGGCTCGTTTGTTTTCCCTTTCCTCCTTCAGTTTTTGCTGAAATGTACAATTTATTTAGACGCATTTTTCAACATATGTTTACCTAAAGGCTATGTATTACGTTGATGCGATGTTTGTACATTGATAACATAGAATCGCGCTGTGCTTATGTCTAATTGTCTTGGTGTTATCAGACAATAATTTACATTGACTTTATGATTTATTCGTTGGTTTATACACCACACAAGTTTTGGAAGCCCCATATTTCACATAGGCTAACCTGTTTTCAGGAAAATACTCATACGAATATATAACCTATTTATAAGCATATTATGTTAACGACGATTCCTTTGTATATCGAATTTGTTCGCGAAAGTCATAATTGTAAAGTCGACTTGTGCCTCGTTCTTAAATTAACACAGCTCAATCACACAATCGCAGTTATACATAAAATAATTTTATCGAACTTCCTATTATTTAATTTTGAAACGTTTCCTTGTTGTTTCTGTAAGTTATACCAACAAAATTATAATATTTGACCACTTTTTCAATATTTCGAGAGCTAATATACTCACGCTAAACAACTGTATTTTAGTTGTATTTCTTATATTGTGAACGTGACCTGCGAAGCCATTTTCCATTTTCCCTCTCAGCTATTCATATAAATTTACACTTCAAAGCTTGGCAACGAAAAGCTAACCGGCTTAATCATTAGGCTGACGAACTAAGGCGGATACTTGTAAAGCCATTAATATACTACAGCTTTATCATTTGACTCACAGGTCAATTTTATTTTACTACTCGATAGTTGAATAAGGGCTTCGAGTGTTCTCATCAACACGAAAAACTAATAAACATTTCGTCATGTTTACCAACGGTCATCCGCAATTTCTACCTAGCGTTACTATGAGAGTGAAAGTAAAGGAAATAGCCAATTGAATAGGTCTTATTCACGAAAACAAAGCACACCCGCGTAGATTTATTGTGGACGTACTTTTATCGAATAAAATTGTTATTATTTGTAAGCATTAAAATATTAAAGCTTGCGTGAGTTCAAACTAGTTCATTTTTTGCTAATAATTTCTATTTAAATTGGTAGATTTAACATATGGACTTTCAGACTTCATGCCCACAAAAAGTTGAAACGTTTGGTGGAGGGGAGATACATTCGAATTTATTCCATGTTTCTACGATCACAAATAAGACAACACTGACCAGACATATCTACCGAAATAGTTGCTCGTCTAAATTTAAGAATAATATTACAAAGGTATAAATTTACGTGACAATGTTATTATAACTCAGCTGTACATCTGAGTCTCTACAAAATAATTAGTTGCATTATTATTCATCTAGAAACTCAGGAAATACCGGTCTTTGCAAGTATTATTTACAGATCCACAATCGACTATTATATGAATGCGACTTGACAAATAACAGATTTCTGGTTATGTTTTTATTATATTCGCAATTTTTCTCTTGAAAAGTCGAAAGCATGCAGCGATTGATAAAGATACGAAATTGGTATTTGTGTGGTATTTAGCCTTGATAACTATTTCAATTGTAGTTTGGTAAGCGTTTAACATACTTGTCAAATATGCAGAAAATTAGGGAACAAGAGTTACATTTATTTTCTCACATGTTCGGCAACAAAGTATTCAGGCAAAGCGTATATCAATATATTATTATACTCAGTCGAATGTGATAAAGCGTTGTACCGCTCTTTACCTCTCAAGAGATATCGAGTCAATCAATATCTGGCAATGATTCTACGGAAACTCTGTATTCATTTTTTTCGAATACCCATCCAAAATCAAATTTGGTAATTATATCATTTTACACATTGAGTGAAAAGACTTACGCCGAGTAATTGCATTTCTGCAGTATTTGCATAAATCCTCGGTCGCGCCTCGTCGACTGATCGTTACCCATTCTGTGCTAGCCGTTAGAAATAAGATAGTCATCCGATAATTCTGCACAATTTTCATCGGTTTAAATAATAAATACTTGTTCAAACGGCGAATGATGTACTGCCTTGAAATTACACTCACCGAAATTCGGATGCACGCAGGTGGGTACATACCACCAAAAGAACATTCACATAAGAATATTGGATAATATTTCTATTACATTTCCAAAAGATATATAGTAAACATATGTTTCGTTCCATGTTATAATACGAGAAATATATATGTTCAACATTTAACATGTTGTATGTTAACTCTTTGAACCCTGAAAGCCGCTAAACCGGCTTTCCCGAGAAAGTCTTCTGACGCTGAAGCGGTTTAGCGGCTTTCGCATCCCGTAAGATGCAACTTTGAAACCTCATATCTCGCGAACCATTTATTATATTTAGACAAGTTTTACATCGTGTGAAAGATAATCTACAGGACTAAGTATAATTTTAAAATTGAGATAAAATATTGTGATCATCTTATGAAAATTGGCAAAATTAAAAGCATAAAAAACTTCTGAAAATCTAAATTGACAAAACTTAAATTTGTTTTCGATTAAACCTAGTACATTATCGACAAAATTTGTAGAATTTGAAGATAGCTTTCCAGTGATACCATTAGATTGAACTTATGTTGCACCATTCAATTTTAGAAGCATTTTTATTCGTGATTTTGTTTGTCGCAAGATCGAGGCGACGTCAAGGTGACGTAAATAACGACCTAACACATTTACGCCGTTACGCAGCGACGTTAAGCAATTACGTTGGCACGTAGCACGTTACGTTTCATACGAGAAACTTTTCCTCGCATGCTCGTAAAGTCATTTACTTAAGTTCGTACTCGTGAAGCGATAACGACTTTAAACGATACCGGGGAAATTTACGCATTACATCGGTTCGACTAAAACACACAATACGCAGTGTTATTTTTTAATTGCATAAAGATGAAAAATACGAATAGCCAAAATAAGGATTTTTAAAAAAAAAATGATGGAACATATCGATGGATGCATTGTTTAGCGCCATTGCTGAGTTTTTATTGTGCATATTTCTTCTTCCCGATAGATGAATACTATTCATATTTCATTGGACAAAGCTTTCGTTTAAAATCCATTGTAAATATAGCGATATCAGGAATGTAGCGTATATGCAGTAATTTCGAAAATCTAATGAGGCTGCAAAATGTAAAACACTGACCAGGTGAGCTACTGGTGCCAACCATGTCTTCCATGTACCGTTCGTTATCAGTTTTTTTTTATTCAATCTTCATGATATCCACGGGAATAATTAGCCTTGATGTTTCCGGCGGAACCTCATAAATTCATGAGGATCAAATATTTCGTTTTGGTCATTCATTTTCGTCCATATCCAAATAGTAACGTATATAAAATGGCCTTTATTATCTAGCAATTTTTACTATGTTCGATCAAAATTCGTCTGAAAGGGTTTTATCTGCGGCGAGGATATAGAATAATGCAATGAAGCCACAATCTGCACTCAAGCTGTGAACGACCAGATGTGCAATTGCGCAATATACCTCACGCAAAGAGTTACGCACGATACGTCGCATGAACGTTATCACGACAATGTCGCCGTCGCCTTTGCGTCCTTACGCAAACTTGGCGTCAAATAGTTGATAAATTTTGTTCGCACCATTTAAATCGATAGTACAAATTCTGCAATAATGAATGTTATCGTATGTTAAAAAGTCATATATATTCTCCGAAGGTAATTTTGTAATACTTTTCAAAATTGTACTTATATTGATGATACATTTCTAAGAAATGTATTAAATATTACCAAAATACAAAAAAATTGTAGATGGGACTAAAAATAGGCTTACACATCTCATCAAAACATCTCGTGAAAAATAATGCCAGTTAAAAATAAGAGACTAGATAAGCTTTTATATGATATATTACAGACCACTGATATCTAAATGGTTTTAGAAGTTATTTTGATTTAAAATTAGGGATATTACAATTTTTTAACGCGTCAAATCGATGCGACGGTGTGGGAGGTCAGGGTGAGAGAGTAGCATCGTTCTGGGGGTTCAGAGTTTAAAGAGTTAAACAAGTTTTGTAAGTTTTAATGTTATTAAACATCAATAACGAGTCCCCGTGAATTGTAACTCCTTAATATACTTTGGTTATTCAAAAGGTTACCCAATAGGTTGGTGTTAACAAAAAAATGAGTTAAAATTGTCAAATTCGCAATATATGCTGAAAAATGACTAAACAATTCACGTATTCACGGTAAACAATTCACGGTTGAAATTGTTTGGTCATTTCACTAATTATTTCACTGTGCGAGGCGAGGTAGAATGATTATATGCCTGATGGCACACTTAAATATAACAAGATTATCAGGTATAACCTACAACACACGGAAGCATGGTCGACTATATGTTATTTTGTACAGCACGACAAAATGCGATTCACCCAAATGCAAACTTAATCGATGCTTTCACATTAGATAATTAGTTGAATAATTGTCCTAGGCTAGTCCATGAAGTGTCTTGGAAAATACATTATTAGATTTGAACGTGATAATAGCGCAATTCAAGCGTTTTAGCAGGGTTAAATCTTATCATAATTTGATTATGTTTTGAATAGGCAGCTACTATCGCATGTAGGAATTCTTTATAAACAACATTTACACACAGCATGCTGATCATAAATTGTATAATTATTTTCATGCACAGTAATTCTTCGAGGTGCCTTATGTCCATTGAAGAAAAAATGTAACAACTTCGATTAAAAACTTTTCAAGTTTTATTACCTACCACGATTTTTGCGTACTTGCCGGTACATTGTTAGTGTAAGAAAGTACTTGTATAAGAATAGTTCCTATCATCTTACCATAGCTTCAACGACATTATGCGTACTCTGTCTGTATTTCCCACTGGCCGAAGCAAACCGACTTTGGGACGAATGAGTCGCCATTATGTCCAAATATTTTTCCACCTTAATTTGTAGCGTTAACTTCAAATTGGTGTAAATATATTCCCATTGTTTGCTCACAAATTAGTCTGTATTTACATCCATTATTTCTCGACCAATCGTATAAAATTATAAAATCGCCAACAAGCTAGGCTGTATTGTTGGCTATACAAGCAGAATGATACTTAGGCGAGGCAGGCAATATATATGCTGTTTGGATTGGGTCGCCGGTAGCAAAATCGAACGAATTCAGCGACTTATTGTATAACGTATCATAACGTTGACAATAAAACATAAAAATGTCAGACGGCAAAGAGAAATGACAGATATAACAATGGATAATAGTCGTTGTTATAAATTGGTACTTAACGTATCTTTTCTTCGTGCTCAATTTTAAAAAGAAGCCACGAAAGTTAATGTACTTCATTGTTACACCACATCAAATGTTCTATGTTATATTCTAATCACACTTGGCCGTGCATGATAAGTATTGAAAACGATCGGAAAATACGTCCATAGGGGCTTCGATTTTAAATAAAAATCCTGGTATAAGAAATCTATCTTTGTTTGATTAAAATGTTTAAATAGTCTTGATACTTGAACAGGCAGTAAAAAGTGTTCCTGTCGGTTTTGCCCAACCAATGTTATCCTAATTTTATTGTTTAACCGTACCGTGCTTATTAATATCATACGATTACTCCACTCAAACATGCTTTTCGAATTTTGAACATCAAAATACATTGGTAACAAAAAAATTAAAAGGGCTGCAATATTTCAAGCGGGAACACATCGGGTCGCGTGTTTTCATTTACTTTTATCCGAATTGGAATATAAGAGCATATATTTATTTTGAGTTATGTACACAATACGTTAGCAACGCAGTCGGTTCCTTACGATATATTGAGCTTGACAACGTCGATATCCTGAGGATAATGGGCAGTAGACTGTGCACGTGATTTCGTAGATCACGTTCTAAATCAGTTCTCGTGCTTTGGAACCTTTTATTGTGCTTATCTTCAAACTACAAATCATTCAATAATGTTATGTTTGAGTGGTCTATACCAGAAACAATGCTTCTCGTTAAGCTACACGCGTGAAACGCTGAGTTCGTCTCAACGCCTCAAGAATGATGTAAGATGTACTATATCGCAAAGAGAAGATAATCGGAAGCACAAACAGCATCAAACGACTTTATTGAATGATAACTTGAATACGATGTATCGAATACTTGTTACACAAGTGTTCCACACCTGTCCCTTTTAGCTTACTTGTCCCACTTCGCCACAGTTGTCCCAATTACCATACGTGTGCCACACTTGTGTCCCATGCTATGTTCCAGTCTAAGATATATGGGACACTTTAGCAGAAGATTGGAGCATTCATATAAAATGAAATTCTTGCAATAAGAATAAGAGTCGGACAAACGGGGTAAGTGTGGAAAATATGAGTGACACAACATTTTATAGACACCCACTTCAAAAAGCCATTTTTAAGCGAATGAACATGTCCCAAAATCTTCAATTGCTGATGGCTTGTAACAGACTAACACTGTAACATATTTACTCTGGCAAGTTTTGGCATATCATTCAGGCGTTCATAGCTAGGGTTAGGAAGATTTACCATATTAGATGTGATTATCACAATTTTCTACTGCTCCTTATTCGAAATGCAAACACATATTGGCATCGGGGCTATATTAACCAAAATGGCGACCATCTCGTGAAATATAAAAAAAAAACTATACTACGGACATCATTTGAAAAAAAGCTGTTGTAAAAGTTTATGATGAGGACGTCACAAGGGGAATCCGAATTTACTTATTCGTCAAAGACCTTCATTAATATCTAATATTACGAGAAGACATAAAATTCAAGGAGAATAGTGTTATCCAAAATAGCTGTCAGTTGAGCGCCATCAATACATACGACATCATAAAAAAAGCGCACTCATAATATTACTCTCTTACAATTATAATAATCTCGAAATAATAAACCGTGGCCAGCGAATATGGTTTTTATTGTTCATGAATTTTACTTTTGTAATGTAATGTTCTTATGTCGGCCAGTCTATATTTTATAATTTGACAGTTTTAGTTCACACTGGCGTACTAGCTTAAATTGCGTTGAGGGTAATTTACGGGATATTGTACAAACAATTCATACAATCGTTTTGACCACTTTTATACAAAGTTATGTTGTCTGATATGAATGATTTATCACAAATACGCTCGAAGCGGCGATGGGCATAGGCATACGGATATAAGAATCCAACGCCTTGACATTTGACGTAAATTTGAAACCAAAAAGAAAGAAAAATGACGGACGTGCAAATATAAATATATCTTTGTTATAAACAATTTTAAAAAATGGAAAAGGCATCATCTGCGTTATTCATATTCCTCCTTCCCAAAAAAATCACTGCTTGAGTCGACATAAGAATTTATCCTAATTTACGAATTATATAAACATAATCACTATGCAATACAATTGAAGCAAAAATAAATAAAGACAAAAAATGCTCTCACCATGTATCCAATAGCAAATCTAGCTTGGTGACGAATCTTAAGATGATCTGGGAGGTGTTTTCCTGACATTATATTTTTCACCGTCTTCGCAAAACTAAGCTGCCTTCGCGGAGGTAGATCTAAGTTACTCAAAGCTGTCGGGCTGAGATTAGGATTTTTTGATTCAGATTTTTGTTCTTGATCTTCCTTGATTGTTGTACTCTGTTCATCTTTAGTGGAACTTTTACGAGATCTCTTATGAGACTTTTTTTCATCATCCGAGCTGCTACTACTACTTGATGACGAGCTTGACGGCCTACTATTATTTTGACTTAGTTCAGCTTGTTCGTTATTGACTGAAGATTTACGAGACGAAACTTTTCGCTCATGTTTTTCAACATTTCTCTCATCTGTTTTTGGTGTCTCGGCTTGTTTTGCTGAAGTACTGCTATGATGAGACTTTTTATCTTCGTCGTCGCTGCTAGAACTTGAATCTTTATTTTTTGTAGATTGACTTTCAGTTTCTTCCGCCTTTTCTTCAACGTTTTCATTTTGAGTTGGAGAAGAATCCAATGTGACAGGTATAGCTTTGTTTTCCTCGCTCTTTTCGCTTTTTACTTCCTGAACTTCTTTACTTGAGGCAGAACTGGAACTACTCTCTGAATCTTTTCTTTCTTTTTTGACAACTTCGGATGGTTTTGGATCCCCAGTAGTTTCGCTTCCTGGTTCTTGTGGTACTGCTATGTCACCAACATCGGAAGTTGGGTTAGAGATAGAGGCTCCTGGTTCTGTATTTTTAACATTTTTTCCTCTATCTTCTTTTTCAGATGAGTCAGATGATTTTTCAGAATCGGATGAACTGCTACTTTCGTTTGTTTCTTGCTCTGTTTCTTTCGCAGCATCTGTCGGAATTGGCTTGGCTGGATTTGATTCTACAGTTGAAACAGCTGTGTTCTCTTTATTCTCGTGTTGAACGGATTCCGCATCACTTGGCGCATTTTGTAAACATTCCTGATTTTTTTCATCACTGTCCCCACTTTCACTCGATGAACTTGAAGATTCTTTTTTCGTATCTTCAGGTTTGGTTTGGGCTGTTTCTGTATTCTCTTTCAAATTTTCTTTGTCGTCTGTGTCAGTGGATATCAACGTTATTTCCTCTGGAGATTGGCCGTCAACAGTAGAGGAATTTTTGATTCCAGATACACTGACATTATCATCTTTGTCGGTATTGTCGAGGGTTTTACTCGATTTACTTGTAATCGATTCTCTGGGAGATTTCTTGCTTGAAGTATTTTTCCCATCTTCAGCGATATTGGAACTAATTTTAGATGAAGACGAGGATTTTCTCTTTGATTTTTCACTATCTTCTTTATTAATACTTGCAGAACCAATACTGGAAGAATCTATATCTACAGATTTTAAAGGTTTTTCAACCTCATCGTTGTCCATTTTGGACAGATTTGGAACGATCAATACGACGCCAAATGTGTTGTTTAGCTCCTCCTTAAATTTCGTCTGCCGGCATGCGCTAAAGTGATTCTTTTCTCGTGTGTTGATGGTTTATGACAGTCGCCAACCACTTATTTGTTTGGAATATGGAAAGGTAAAGATGGCTAAAGCTTTCTGTGCAAATACATTTAAATTATCTACACGTGTCTCGGAACGCTCACCAAACAAATCACAATAAAACGACGTTTACCAACTCGATTGTAAATTGGGTGTAACCGGCAGGTTGCCTAGGTATCACATCCCAACGTTGTCGTGCGGTTTATAATTCTTGTAAGTAATATACTTGTATTATAACTAAGAAAAATGTATGATTACATTTACTGATTATGCTGGGACATCTAGAATAAAAATACTGCGAGCATCTGAAAGTGGTAGGAAGTAATTAATTTATTTAGATTTATGGTGATTGATGAATACCAATCAATTTATTGAAACTTTGATCTAACATATGGGCTTCTGAACAATTTATTCAAATCTGCGACATATGGAGCGATACACTTGGTCATGATAACGTAACTAAGTGTCTGTAATTGAACATATTCCCCGCCACATATACAACCATGCACAACGTATACATAACGGAAATTAGCACATTGTATTCAAACAAAATCTTTCGCTCTAACACGCATTACGACGAACCGTGATAAAACTCATGGCCCCATTGTATACCTCATTAGTCATTACGTGAAATATCCGTTCGCTTATCAGTGAGTACTGACGAATTTAATTGATGCGATAAATCATTAAGTAAGTTCATGTACGCAGCACTGTTATTCAGTATTACAAACTGAGAAGCAAATGAAACAGAACCAGAATCTGATCGAAAGGATTATTTATTTAAAGATGACATCGATTTCTTGAATGTTAATCTTGCTTGAAATGTATGTAGTTATAGAGTAAGTTTCAAACCAAATTGTACAATATTTTTCTCCGGTGTATGTTTTAAAGCACACCTTTTTTTATTAATTCCAACGCTCGTGGTGTCGCGATAACCCGCTAAAACATAGTGAATTGGAAAGGCTTCAGTTCCACCAATTCTTTTCATCAAAAGCATTTATTGCGTCGGATAAGTTGTTACTTTGATCAAATTTTTTCCGTTAATATTTTAAAATTAAAATTAGTTGTAGGCTTAATGTTAGAGACTGTACATGATTTTTTTTAAATATTTGTCGCTAATTGAGACTGGAAATTGAAATGAATTGCTTAGCAATACCATGATCGAAAACAATTGTCACTGACGGGATAATATGATATTATAGTAGGCTATGACATAACGAAAATATGTGCTTCAAATTGGTTAGTAAACCGGAAACGTAATTGCTAATAGGATAACGGCTTTACGTTACATCTTTACATTCAGTCATTTGGGACTAGCTTTAAACACTAGTTTTGACCACGGCTTTTGTGCAAGGCGTTTGCGTGACAGGTATTTTACGGTTCCATTACATTTGAACCCACGTACATTTGAACCCATGACAATTTCACCTGTATGCTATTGCACCTATGAAATTTTTTTGTTTTGTTTCACGGATAGTTAAACCCATACTAACCCTAACCCATGGGTTTTAGCACCCGCATATAGATTGAACCCGTGGATATACGCATGGGTTCAAATGTACATGGGTTCAAAAGTACGGTCACCGGAATGCAAATGATCAATTTGAAATTTAGTTGCCTGCTCTAGGCCTGGGAATGGGGGCCAATTCACGCATAGGTGTAATAATTGGACGGATGGAATTTTTCATGAATAGCGTAAACTTACCGCTTTTAACTAAAATTTCCAAAAAATGCGCCTCGCCCGTCTTCGTTTATAGTGTATAATTTGGGTAATGCAAAATTTTCTTCGTCAAATCAAATACAGTGAATTGTCGATGCAATGATAGTTTGTATTCAGAAATATCTCGAACTTTGGGTACTGCTTGAAACGCAAATACATTTTTTGTTAAATACTTTTATTCGTGGTGGCGTATGTTGCGCTATTTCTTTTTGAATAAGAATCCATGCTTAGTCATCGAAACGTCACGTCAAATAAACGACTGAGCAACTTAAATGACAGTTAGGAACAACGTTTTTTGAGCGAGTGGTGGTATAGAACAGATTTGTGCCGTAGATATATATATATATGCTATATTGTAAGGATTTGGTTTACAAATTTAGCGGAAGATCACCTATTTATAGGATATAATCTATTATATATTGATAAAGTCTCTTTCGTTTTCTCTTTGCCATTAAAAATTTTGTTCAAATCACTAATATTGCCTACACACTTACTCATAAAATTGCTAATTTTCTGATTTCTATTACTGTAAGGGCTTTATCGTGTTTTTCGATTGTCTAGCACATAGGTTCTCGAAGTGCTCCGTACGGAGCCCCAGTGCTCCACGAGAGAAACCCAGGGGCTCCGCGAGCTATTCGATTACTTTTTAAAATACTGACTAATTTATAGCCTCGAAATATGGCAAAGAGGCGGAATTAAAAAATGACATTATTTATGAGCAGGAGCGCAGCCAGGATTCTTAAGATAGAGGTGGTTCAAAATTGGAATCGGAAATTTTCGCGCAACATTCTTCGCGATTAAAAAAACGGATAACGAGATTTCTGTTGCGTAAAATATTCAATTCATGACCGATGCGAGCATTTAACGTGTCTCGTCGTTATAATGTAATTGTGCTCATCGTTACTCACGTTTGATTCGAGATTACTATTAGGATTACAAAAATGAAAGAATACTATTCTAAAATAACATTAAATATGTGATAAACTGCCAACTATAAATATATTGGAATGGTATTTTTGCGATCTCAGGATTCGTCGTACTTAATTTGTTCTTTCGCACTCGAGATTCGTTTTTAAGATAGCGCGGTTGAAAAATCACAATGGATGGGCAAAATACGAACAATTGAAATTTATTTTATTGCATTCGGCTCCGTCGGTAGTTTCAGATTCATGACTTGTATTAACCCTATTAAAAAGGTTCAGCATTTAAATTGAGTAAAGTACTTTAACTTGCTCAGGAATATTAATCTGAAAGTAACAATTTTAACATTTATTTTGGGGCAACACCAACAGTTTGAGAACCCCTGGACTCTAGCATCATTAGGCCTAAAATATGAGTTTGACATTACCGTATATTGATCAAGCACAGACTATGGCGAAGGTCAGATAAACAGGAGAATTTTATTCAGCGTTTTAGTGACTCGTATGTTGTTTGTGGAATTGAATTATATTATTTTACTAGTTCCTTGAAGATTGAAAAGGTATAAATACGACCACACGGGAATCAAGTTACTTTGTCAATGCTGCTCACCCACGAGACTAATATTACAATGCAATAGTCTGTTCATTCTACTATGTTGTTTCAATGTAAAGTAAGGCTAATTTGTTCGAATACGATGCGAATTATCTCAGTTTTGTTTAAAATACTAAAATAAAACCGTTATATTTATGCAGTGTTTAGAAGCAAGCAGTAAGTCGAATTAATAATGGAAATTATTCTCAATTCGGGAAAAAGAATGCCATTGATAGGACTGGGAACTTGGAAGTCTGCGCCAAACAAGGTTAAAGAAGCCGTTGAGACCGCCATTGATGTTGGATATAGACATATCGATTGTGCATATTTGTATAAAAATGAGCAAGAAGTTGGCACAGCTATAAATGAAAAGTTTAATCAAAATGTTATAAAACGAGAAGATATTTTTATCACAACGAAGTTATGGAATACTTTCCACAAACCGGCTGACGTGCTACCGGCATTCAACGCGTCTCTCAACAATCTTGGATTAAATTATATTGATTTGTATTTGATTCATTTTCCCTGTGGCTACAAAAACAGTGGACCGAATGTTTATCACCCGAAAGATGAAAATGGGGATCACATATACGACGATACAGATTATATGAGCACATGGAAAGAACTCGAAAAACTCTTGTCTTCAGGAAAAGTGCGATCTATCGGGGTGTCGAATTTTAATGAATATCAGCTGAATAGGATACTGAATGAAGGTTCCATTGTGCCGGCAGTAAATCAAGTTGAATGTCATCCATATCTATGTCAAGATAAAATGATTGAATTCTGTAAGTCACACAGCATCGCTGTTGTTGGATACAGTCCATTTGGATCACAGGATCGTTACTGGGCATGTCCTGATGAAACAAGCTTACTCGACGAGCCGACGATTGTTGGCATAGCCAAAAGGTATTTTGATGCTTGGCAACACTTTATTTACCGTGGCACAAAAACTTCTATCTGCAGATAACTAACAAATGTATTAAAATCTTTCGCATTTCATTTGTTTACAAACCGGAAATGATGATACATATTTTTAAACATTATATATTCAGTAAGATCCCAATATTTGCATTAACTACAGTAGGTTGTTTATGTATTTTCGATATAACATGCGAAATGTTTACTTCAGACACGGAAAAACTACCGCCCAGGTCATCTTGCGGTTTAACATTCAACGTGGTGTGACCGTCATACCGAAGAGTGTAACGCCCTCTAGAATCGAGAGCAATTTCGATATATTCAATTTCACGTTGAACGAGGAAGATATGGACAGCATACTGAAATCGAATCGAAACTGGAGAGCTCTTGATTTAGTTTGGGACAAGAAGCACAAATATTATCCATTCAGAGATAACTACAGCGAATAAACATTGCTGCTTAAGTACTTCAACTAAACAGTCTTATTCATTTCACTATATTTCATTACTTTATCCGAAGATACGTCTACTGAATTTCTTAATATTATGATAAAACACGGCTTATAAAGTGTGAAGTCTTGACAAGTTGAACAATCAAGTATGATATCATAATGTTGGCATTCAATACCCAAATAATAAGGTCGAATCAAGATCTAATAGTTGTTTTTATGTTCGTAGTTGTATCATTAAATTCCTTAGTATTTTACTTATATTTTATTGTATATAGAAATATCGCACAGAATTTTTACTCTCCAACTAAATAAATCGAGGTATCTTTGAAATATTTGCATTATAACGTGATGTTAGCAATTCATTGCTCGATACATTTTCGGGTCAAATATTATAACTCTGCTTCATGTTCCATGGAAATTTTTTGAGTTCTCAGTCTCAATCCAGCTAAACCCCATGAAGCCCCATGAATGGCGAGTATGTAGTACGGAATAATAATATAAATCTTTGTTTTCACACAAAGGGGAACACTCCATGCAAATCCAATAACTGAACCGATACTAATCATCAATGTTTGCCCGGAGTAGCCGATTGCTACTGAGTCTTTCTGATGAACTGTTGTGGTTCCTGAAATTGAAAGAATAAAGCGTCTGAATGTTACGAAATCAAACAGTTGAAAATATGTCATGGCTAGATTGTATAACCAAAGCAAACATAGGAAGTTAGTTCTTCGACCTCAGTCGTGAATACATTTATTATTTGACGAACTTGCGCGCTATTTCGGACCATATATTTCTTTGTTCAAATACCTATTTAAAGATTAAAATGCACTTTCGGACACAAACTGTATCCAAAAACGGTTGGCAAGATTGATATTGTTGTTATTGTTGAGGTTGCTGTCGTAAAAAGTCGTGTAGTAGTAAAGATTGGAAAGTACTCAAATTGACCTTTGCTACATATTAATAATAATCGTACATATATATAATTAACAGTCATACGTTATTACTATTCGGTGGTTACTCATTTGACCTCCGTATCCATACATTTGAGCAATATTCTCTTGTTTCTGTTTATATGAGTACATACCCAATATCAAATATGATATAAAAAATAATTAGAATGCATTCAAATCAAAAATAAGGTAACATTTAGTCAGCAACTAAAAATATTTAACCTTACTTGGATACAAATTAGCAAGTACAAATATAAAATGATTTATATCGCACGCTACTAACGCAGCTTTAACGCCATAAAAATTAATTATTATCGGCGCCACGAAGATGCTGCAGAATATGCTCGAACCCATCGCTGTCATCAAAGACATACTTTCTAAGCCTTCGTCCGCATTGATGCTGGTTTGAAGATCTCTCAGTGCTGAAAACCACATTAATTTGGTAATACGCGTTGATTTAACTGAAATAAATAGAACATAAATTAATATAAAACCGGTCACAAGTTACTCATAACTGCGTTTCCAAGGTTAATTTGAATGTGATACTGTTTTGCTCTTGTTCACAATAATTTCTTCTATCGCCCAGATTGAAAAAATGTGGATCCATGTGATATAGTATTGAATATATAGATGGATACAGAATCCCCTTTGTAGATTTATTAAAAAGAAGGTAGTTGCCCAACAATGTATTAAAAGAACACTATGATATCTAATGAAACGTAATGGATTTAACATTTGGCTTAAAAAATTTTGTTTTTTAAATATGAATAAAATAAATATCTGTAAGTCCACTGAAGTCCAACGAAAATCCAATTATGCAAAAAAGAAAGATTCGTCTCAAACGTTTCTTCCGTTCTTCATTGCTTTTTAATTCAGATGATTTTAAAACGACATCTAATTTTTTTATATTTATATAGTAAATCAAGTACGTTTCGATATTAGTCCTTCATCAAGATTCAGTCATTGACTGCATTAGAAATTATTAAGAAAACTTTCAGCATATTATTTCTAAAGTCATATATCTACTGTGTAAACCTATCAATGATACAGCACATTCTGATACAACCAGGATCGGTGGTAAAAGTTATTTAATGATATGACGATGACATTTTTTCTCACCACTTTCTCGTTTCCTTAATTAATAAAAACGCGATCAAGCATACTGCTTATTTCCTCCTTTATTTACCTTAGTGACATTAGTGTAACGCATAAGGAGGTAAAATTCAGAAATGGTATACTTCTCACTAGCAATTAACTTAATAGCCTTGAAGTGTAATACATATATGAAGTTTTAGCCATACTTAGAAGCACATTCAAGATAGTTGAGAACATAAATTTCTTACCTTCCCGTGATGAATGTGTCATTTCACTAGATTGATTGATTGATTTGCTTACAATAGATTGCTGGAAATGTTGATCAAAAATACTTAGGAATCAGAATTGTATTATTCATTCTAATTTCGAACCTCATAAATATTCAGTTACAGACATTTCACTTCATTCACCAGAAGTATAAACTAAACCAATGAATGTCCCGTAAGCCGTTAAATCGTATATAAGTGAGATGTCGGAAAACGTTTTCTATGTAAATGGAAATTACTATGTAGTCGTCTGAGGTACTGATCAGGCATTCAATCACAACACGCTTGTCACAGCCTTGTTGATGACAACTTTGTAATCGCAGCAGGATTAAAACAAAACCATAAATTTGAAATTACAGCAGTCGTCTCAAAAGTAGAAATTTTTGCATTCCGACATTATATAGCATAGTTTTATTTGCAATATTCATAAACCTGGAATGGCGACTAAATATTTGCTTCACAATGCTTATATGCGCAATTATTGATTCCAATATACATCTCCGTGTTTTCTATGTGGATTTATTATAGAAAAACTATTGAAAGTAGTGTTATATTTTGAAGCCTTTACTGAAATTCCTCTTTTTATTTATACAAGGAAAATTATACCACCAGAAACATCAATGAGCAATGGTAATAAAAAATGAAAGCAGAATATTATCTTTTTTAATTAATTAAATCTTTTATTCGAAGATGACACTATGTTTTTTTTTGTTTTATGACGTCAGGTTTTCGAAAGCGACCCAGTTGTTTTATTATCTGGGTCCGAGGTCCTATGGTGGCCCATCGTTGTCACGCTTAAAATTGAAAAAAAAATAGAAAATAAAATAAAAAACTCAAAATATAAGTAAAATAAAAAAATAGTTGTGAAAAAACATAAAAAAAAATGAAAAAAAAAATAAAAATGTAATACAAAAAAAAATTAAAAATAAAAACGAAAATAAAATAAAAACGAAATAATAAAACAAAAAAAAATGAAAAAAAAAAACGTAAAAATACAAAGTTTTTTTTTTTACAAAAATGCGCGTTTTTATTTTGAAAAAAATTTGCTTCGTTGTCATGCATATTCCTACGCGCACAAACGGTGTTTGCTGGGTTTCTAACTCACTACTGATTTTCTTGAGCAATATTCAATAAATTCAAAACGAAAATGTTCTATAAATTCTTCATGCTACAAGTTCAACTAGAATTAATATATTTATAACAATGATAAGAGAATATAGAATTGAGTACGAAAATTCGAGAAATTTGTTTTTACGTGTAGAAGGTAATTGAACTGGAGAATGCTGCTCAGCTGCCCGGACACTCTTGCGATACCTGTACCGTCTGACCGTACCTGCACCCATGCAATCACTCATGAAACGAATGGGAGATACGGATAGTCTAGCTCAGGGTCGTACAACCAGTGGCCCGCGGGTCACATGTGTCCCGCCGAGGAGTTTCGAGTGGCCCGCGCTATATTTTCGTAATTAAATAAATAAAAAAAATGAGTAAAACTTCTGTTTTTCGAGTGATGTAGTTAATATGAATGAAGATTTGATACAAACAATTTGTTCATTTTCCTGAAATGCGCTCTGCTAGCTCTTTCAAACGAGCCACGAGTGCCATCACCAACGGGAAGATATCGATACATAAATAGTAGCTTACACACTTGGGCAGAATGGCAGTTTTAATGACCTCATTATTTAGCAGCACGTACTCGTACAAGCAAGTTTTTTCACAGATGAACCATGTCAAATCCCCTGTGTGATCACTAATTTCTGACAGTCACGTGAAAAATTCGCTTCGCATTGCTACATCGTCTTTTTCAGCGAATATTGACAAACTTGTTAGCGAAAAACAGTGCCAAATTTCACACTAAAATGTCTACGTGTAGAAAAAACTTTGTTGACTTTACTGTATCTTTTTTTTTTATTGTTTCTATTATTGAGAAAGTTTGGTGCGAGGGTTTTGTTTGTTTTTGCATTAACTTTTGGTCAGTGTAGCAAAACTAGAACATAATTGCCATGTTAAGTGACCCGCGCAATTATTAGTAAACTAAATGTGGCCCGTCGGCCAAAAAGGTTGGCCGACCCTGGTCTAGCTAGTAGAATATAGTGAAGCGAGGGATGGACTGAGCATAGCGAGTTACAGGTTGTGCGTAATATTAATTACCAGCATGGTACCGGTTGTCATGAGGATACAGCCAATGGCGCGTCAAACTTTTTTTGCTGATAATGGTGCTCCTTAAACCTAACTTCAAAATAAATTTTTGGGGATAAATAAATTATAAGTTAGATGTTGTTATAGACCAGGGCTTCCCAAACTTTTGAGCTCGCGGCTCCTTTTAATATATTAAAATTTTTCGCGGCCCTTGTTCACGATAAATAATGCCAAACAGTTCGAATTATGCATTTTTGATGTTTTATTGGCACAGCTAATTCTCAACTCTAACATGTCTACTCAATAACATAACAAAAACAAGCCCATATTTATTCAGATTAACGTTTCTCAATTATTCGTGTAATGTAATGGGTACGAATGCTTTTTTCTGCATAGCAAAGTTCAATGTATGTTTGTTTATATAGGCCTAAATGATGAATTACGATGTCTGGCTACCGACGGCATGGTCCTTATCTCGAACTGTTCACTCTTATTGATCAAACTTAGCATAAGGCAGCATCTTGTGCGACGCCAAATTATCAGGGAAATCACTCATGGCGCAACTACACG